TCCAGTGGGCTTTGGGAGGGTATAAAAATCAGCAAGGAGATTTTAAAATGCTTATTAAAATGCACATGGCTAGAAAAACTAAAAAGGATTGAGGATAGTCAAAGCTTATTTTTGTTTGTTTGTTTTACTTTTGTGGTCTTTTTGAGACAGGGTCGTGCCATGCAATTCAGGATGGTCTTGAATTCACTTTGCAGTCCATGCTGGTCTCAGACTTGCAACAATCCTCCAACTTCAGCCTCCTGAGTGTTGGGATTACAAGAGTGAGCCACCATGCTTGGCTGCTGCTGCTGCTTTTTGTTGTTGTTGTTATTGTTTGTTTAAAGAACAAAATTGAAGGCTAATACTGATAGATTTCAGGACTTTCTCTGAGAGTAGACAGACCTTGTTGTGTTGCCCTGATTGGCCTCAATCTCCCAAGCAAAGTGATTCTCTTCCCTCAGCCTCTCAAGCACTGTACTAGCTGGAACTACAGGTGCACACACTACACCAGGCTCCAGGTTTTAGGACTTTTTAAATTATAAAGTTACAAAAATGAAAACCACATGATAAGCTGAGCTTGCTGACACATGCCTATGTAATCCCACATGCTCAGGAAGTTCATATGGGGAGGATTATGAGTTTGAGGGTGTTCTGAGCCACTGAACATGAACCCGTCTCAAAAAATAAATAAATGCACCCATGCAGCTGAGCTGGGGATGTAGCCTGGAGGTGGAGCATTTAGATTTATTCCCAGCCACCTCAGTGGAAAAAATTTTAAAGCCGGGCATAGTGGTGTGGACCTCTTGTCTCTATTACTCAAGAGGCTGAGGTAGGAGCAACATTTGAGTCCAGGATGTCTTGACCAACCTGAACGTCAAGCCTCATCTGAAAAGCAAACTAACTAACAAACAAAAAATAAGTTTAAAAAAAAAGCCCATGTAGTAGATCAGTGGAACACAATAAAGAGTCTAGAAATAAATCCATACATAACAGCAGTTGATTTTTGAGCAAAGGCTGTACAGTGGAGAATGTATAATCTTTTCAACAGTGGTCCTGCAAAATTGAATATCCTTATGTAGAAAAGAATTGATTTCATACCTTACACTATACAAAAATGAATTCAAAATAGATCATATGTCTAAATAGAAGACTAAAAATTATAAAAGTTTTAGAGAGAAAATCTTTGTGATCTTGGATTACTTTCTTTTCTGCCCCCACCCCTTTTGCTGTTTGAGACAGGGTCTTGCTCCCTAATTCAGTGTGGCCTTAAACTTACTAGGAAACCCAGGCTATCCTTGAACTCATGGGGATCCTTGTACCTCAGCCTCCTGTGTGCTGGGTTTATAGGTGATAATTTCTTAAGTATGAAACCATATTAAAGTTAAACAAAACCAAGTTGATGAATTGGTCTTCATCAGAAATAAAATTTTCTTTTTAACAGACACAATAAGGGAATAAAAAGACAATCCACAGTATAGAAGAAAATAATTTGCAAAGGGTCAGTCAGATAAATGATTGGTCACTACCATACAAAGAATTCTCAACTTTCATAATGAGAAGATGCAATTAAAAAGCAGTTAAAAGATTTGAACAGAAATTTCACCCAAGAAGATAGATCCATGAAAAACAAGTACAGTCTTTTCAATAAGGATTCTGTTCTAGCCAGGTGTGGTGGCACATGCCTGTAATCTCAGCACTTGGAAGGCAGAGGCAGGAAGAGTGCTGCAAATTCAACTCCCACCTAAATAGCTGCTCCTGCCATCCGATTTGACATAATCAAACAAAACAAAAGTGAGTAAATTTTGAGGATGGCAAAATATAGTACGGTAGCAATTTTGGATTTACTATAGGCTTGTTGTGGAGTCCTTTATTACATTCATTATTTTGTTTCTATTTTTATTCTACTCTGTTCAGTTTTTACTACCTCTGAAGTTATCTGCAGCTATTTTGAAGACATCAAAAGGCATGGTAACTATTATTGATTTTGCAGTGTTTTGAAGTTCTGTAACTTTTACACTGGTTTGTTTTGATTGGTTTTATTCTGTTTTATGCTCTGTAACAAAAAAAAAAAAAAAAAAAAAGCAGCTTGCGCAATATATTGAGTTCAAGACCAGCCTGAACTGCATAGTGAAATCCTGTCTCAAACAAACAAACCAGCAAGCAAACTATATGTATATATAATATATGTATTTTCTAAGACGTGGGTAGGCGATTTTGTTGCTCATAGAATGGGGTGTGATTTTTTTTTTTAAGAATGTTTTATAAACTTAAGATGGCAAAAGGTCATTAGGTGATAGAAATTTGGGGAGTGCTGTCATATTGCAGTCTTCTGTTGACCAAAATGTCAACATTATGTGACTCACAACTATGGGAAAATATATTGAGCATTATTAGTTACCAGAGGGATGCAGATTGAAACCACAGTTTCATATCATTCCATACCTATTATGTACAGAAGTGGAATTTAGAATGTCTGATAACTGACTATTGGGCCAGGGATATAGCTCAGCAGTATAGTGCCTGCCTGGCAGGCACAAGGCCCTGAGTTCAATTCTCTGTACCAAAAACAAAACAAAACAAAAACAGCCTGACTATGAAATGTTGAAAGAAACGTGAACTCTCATGTGCTGGTAAGATTGGTAAGGTAGTATGCTTACTTTAAAGAACTATTTACCATTTTTCAAAATAACATATATTTATCAGGTAATCCAGCCATTCCATTTGAGGAATGGAATAGTTAAAAGCATATGTCCTACCTTTTTTTTTTTTTTAAACTTGGAATCAAACTCAGGACCTTGCACTTGCCAGGCAGGTGCTTGAGCTACTGAGCTGCATCCTCAGCCCTAAAAGCAAATGTCTTTAAAGCTTGTGTATGTGTTTCAGTGGCAGCTTTATTTGTATTGTAATAGCTTCAAACTGGAATAACCAACTATCTGTATTTATTGACGTACCTGAATGGATAAATTACTGTAGTAATGCATACAGTGGAAGACTACTTACTTATCAATAAAGGAATGTATGTTTGATAAAGGGAGTCACATGGATGAGTCAATAATTATGAGTGGAAGAAGTCAGACACCCCTCAAAAGAATACATATTGTATTGTTCTGTTTATACAAATTCTAGAAACTAATATAGTTGTGTGTTAACTATTTTTTGCCACTTGTGTTGTATTTGAACGTTTGAACAAAACTGGGTGTGGTGGCTCACACCTATAATCGGATAATTTGGGAGGATCTGTGAGTTTGAGGCCAGCAGGGCTACATAAGTGAGTTTGAGGCTAGCCTCAAACAAGACCCTGTTTCAAAAAACAGTTTGAACAGTAAATTTTAAATAAAATGTTCTATAACTGTTTTTTTTTTAATTGAAAAGAAAACAGGTGGTTTGCTGCTTAGGGAGGAGTGGGAGTGGTTATGGAGAGAGAGAATAGTGTGTTGTTTGTTCTGTTTTGTTTTTTGAGACAGGATGTTTACTATGCAGTTCAGGCTGGTTTTGGGCTCACTTTGTAGCCTAGACTGATCATGCGCTCTCAAGGATCCTCCTGCGTCAACCTCCCGAGTGCTAGATTACAGGTGTGTGCTACCATGCCTGGCTATGTGTATTATATTGCATGTTTAAATGAGATCTCAGTATAATTGTTTTGAGTGTTAGAATTACAGGCATGTGCTGCCATGCCTGGCTAAGTATGTGTATTACATTGCATGTTTAAATGAGATCTCAGTATAATTGTTTTGATAAAGTATATTAAGGCCTATGGAAATATTTAAAACTGCAGGAGCTCGATTTTATATTTAGAGGTATTAGATTTGAAGACAGTAAAAATCTTGACTTGCCAGGTGTGATGGCATACTTCTGTAATCTCAGCTATTTATGAGGCTGATGGAGAAGGATCCCCAGTCTGAGAGTTTAATCTCAAAAATAAAGTAAAGGGCTGGGGGTGTAACTCAGTGGCAGGACACTTACCTTGCATGTGTGAACCCCTGGGTTCAGTCTTCACTACCACATATATACACGTGAAATCTTGACTCAGCATTCATATTCTCTGTGTTTCTATCATGTAGTAGCTGATCTCTTAAATGTGTATTTTATGTTCATTTTATCTTTTTTTGATTTAGTTTCTTATGCTCTGTGTGATATTTATAAATGAAATATTTAAGATTCCAAAACTAGTATTTTAGATGGTGTTTAGGTAGTTGGTTGCTTATAAGCAACAAGAGTTCTAATTGGATTGTTATAAAACAGCTTTAATTATGCTTATTAATATTTCCTTTATTTTTATTTTGATGGTGCTGTGGATTGAACATACGCTGGGCAAGTCCTCTTACCACTGAGCCATACTCCCAACCCATATTTCCTTTATTTTCTGTGTTATGTACTGACTGATCCACTCAAGTTGTTTGTTTGAATGTGAGATTTTGTCTCTAGGACTACTATAACTTAAAAGTTAATTTTAAAAAGTATGACCTGACTATATTGTTCATTAACTGTATTTTGCTTGTTGCACATGCCTGTAATCCCAGCACTTGGGAGGCTGAGGCAGGTGGAGCACTGTGAGTTTGAGGCCAGCCTGGGCTACATAGTGAGTTCTAGGCTAGCCTAAACTATACAGCAAGACCCTGTCTCAAAAACAAAACAAAAGTATTTTGCTCAAAGGACAGCACTCATAACCCATCTATTAACACTTAGGTAAAGAATTAGGCACATGAAATGATCATAGGTATGTTATAAATTAACATACTTTGCAGGAGGAAAAGCTGACAGTATGATAAAAGCATTCTGTAAAGTGACAGTTTGATTATAAATTTAACTGGGAAGGCCAGGGTTATAGCTCAGTGGCATAGTGCCTGCCTGGGAAGCAGGATATTGTGTTTGATTTCTGGTACCAAAAAAGAAAAAAAAAAAAAAAATTTAACTAGGAATATACTAATTGATTATTGTTGACTCTAGGTTATTTTAATTTTATTAAGTCATGATAAAATATTTCATTCAACTGATTTTATTTCTTCCAACCCCTCATTTAGGAAAGAAAGTAACAGCCATGATAGAAGACAAAGGACCAAGAGTTACAGACTACTTTGTTGTGGCAGGTCTTACTGACACATCTACTCCTTTGGATCAAGAAATTAATCGTTTGGATATTAAATCAGCTGGGCCTAAGGCTCCAATTACAGACATTGCCATTATTATCAAATCAGCTGGGGAAGAGGTACCTGAAGGCTATACATGTGTTGAAGCCACTCCGTCAGCTCTCCAAGCAAACTTGAATTATGGAAGTCTCAAAAGCCCAGAACTTTTCCTGTGTTATAAGAGAGGAAGAGATAAACCACCCCTTATAGATATTGGGTATGGTGATTTTTTATTTCTTTCTTTCTTTCTTTTTTTTTTTTTTTTTTTTGCTATAGTTAGGGCAAAAAAATTATTTAAGATGTCACCTTAGTAGTAGAAGATTTTTTTTTTTGTCGTTACTGGGAATCTCACTCAGTACCTTGCGCTTAGTAGTAGAAGTTTGAAATTCTGTTGGTTTTATTATTATTTTAGACTCAAATATAGTAATATATTGCATATCTGTGCATACCCTCCCTGAATTTCTCTGTATTGCACTTTGTTAGGTGATTTCTTTTTAAAAGAACATTGAAATGAAGGCAGTAGATCATGAAATGTAAATTCATTTCTGTTGTATTTACTAGATAAGCTTATTAATTAATGGAATGAGAAGCTATACTGACGGACTTTTTGAGATACAGTCTCGTTGCCTTGCTCCAGCTGACCTTGAACTTGTTATTCTTTCACCTCTGCCTCCAAAGTAGCTGGGGCTGCAGGCGTCTCTGCTGCACCTAGCTGAGACACTATGTTTTGAAGAGTTCCTTGCATTTTTAGGAAGTTCTGAACTTGTTTGACAAAGAAGCATTCCGGTTTTGACAAACATAATTGGGGTATGAGGATGTGGCAGGTAGTCAGTTTAAGGCAGTACAATCTGGTGTCACCCTGTGTGCAGCCTTCACTGTTCCTTCTTTTAGCCATCTTTTGAACCCCACCACACCAGTCATAAATATGAATTTCTAAAGATTGCTGTTCTTTGTGCTTTCGGGGCACAATTTAAAAATAAAATTATTACTTAAATAATTAGGTTCTTTGGCGTTACAAGTGAGCCTTTCATAAACATCTTACAGTTCTCTACCATCTCTTTATAATTTCTGGTATAGGTTTGCTAGAGTTACAGTCTTTTATTTAACCATGATGGAAAATGTTCTCTTAAAAAAAAAGAGAGAAAAAAAAAAACAGAACAAAACAAAACAATGTAAGGGTACAAAAAAAACAGTAAGCTATCACCAGTTAATAGATTACATACCATCATTTTAGAATTGGTGATTCAGGTCACAGGATCAAAGCATACAAAGTGAGCAAACAGTGAGACTACAAATAGTTGTGTTCAATGATCCAATCAAAAACATTAATATGGTCATCTATTTAACACACCTAAACACACTTGCTGTTGTATCCTTTAGGGCACTTTTTTTTTTGCTCTCTTTATTACAACAAAATTTACACATTTTGGGTTTTATTGCTCCCATAGATCTTAATACTTTTTTTTGTAAGAGAATAGAATCAAACATGATAAAACAAAGCTGTCACTCAAAACCAAGGCTAGACAAATGTTTACCATAATGCTTCTTGCTTCCTTAAGAAGAATTGTCTATCTCATTAGGTATTATAAAGTTGAACAAAACAGTAGAGAACAAGTCCAATAAAACCTAAACATTGTAAACCTTACAGAACTTCAAAAGAGGATAATAGTCAAACCAGAATGGGCATCAAGTGAATCTTAATTGCCTTCAAAAGTAGTTGCCTGTACTCTGATACTTAAATACTATCATACAGAGCGGAACAGTCTAATCAGTCAAAACAAGATAGTGGGAGTATTATAGGACTTCAAATCAAGTTAATAGGAAATCAAAAAGGCAACTATAATATATCCTGCTAGTTTTTTTTTTCTTCTTAGTTTAAAAAAGAAATAAAAAAAAATAAATAATTTTTTAATGAATAAGGGAGAGGTTGAGATAAAAGAGGGCATAACAACATAACAATACAGGTCAAAGCATGACAGTTTCAGCAACCTAGTGCTTTACCACTAAATAACCCGTAGGTCAAATAATTGTTAATATCCACTTAAATATTTTGATATGTTCTCATCCTCCCCATTTTTTCCTTAGTCCAGTTAAGTTGGGGGTTTTTTTGGTCTTTTTTTGGTCTTTTTCTTTTTTTATCGGTACTGTAGATCGAACTCATGACCACACACTTGCAAGGCAGGCGCTTATGCCGCTGAGCTAAATCCCTAGCCTCTAGTCCAGTAAGTTTTAAAAGACCTCATAGCTATCATAAAGACACAAAAATGACCTGGATGTGGTGGTACACCTGTAATCCCAGCTCTTGGGCAGGCTCAGACATGATATCTCAAATTTGAGATCAGTCTGGACAATTTAGTGACTGAGACCCTGCCTCAAAAAAGAGATGGGGATGTACTTCTATGAAAACGCCCTGGGTTTAGTGTCCAGTGCAGCAAAAAAAACCCCAAATAAACCAAAAACAAAAAAGCCACACACACTCCTCTCACTCAATTAAATGGAGACAGTATTGCCAAGTTGTGGCCCTGTTACTGTTTTATAAACTGAGAAGAGATATTTATAGAAATACAGATAGAGATATTTATAGAAATACAGATTTTTGGGGGCTGGGGATTTAGCTCAGCGGCATAAGCGCCTGCCCTGCAAGCAGGCAGTCATGAGTTCGATCCCTGATACCAATAAAAAAGAAAAAGACAAAAAAAAAAATTAAAAAAAAAAAAAAAGAAATACAGATTTTTCTTTTCAGTTATTTCTTGTTTTAACAATCTATATGTTTAATGACTATTTGCACATAAAACCTACTGCTTGGACTTATGACCTGTCGTTTTTTTTTGGTACGGTTCTGTACATCTTATTTATAGCGCCACACTGTCTTTATTTTGTACAGTACAACTTGTTATATAGTACTGTAATTTTTGCAGATTGTACAGTATATTACTACAGTTTTATGTTGTGTTATACAGTACAGTACTGCATGTAAGAGTTATGCAAATAAAAGTAAAGTTACAAAATAGGAGTTTCCTTTGACCATTTTTTGTTCTGAATATTGTATATATTATATAAAATTCCTCATTTAGTGACCAACTTGTTTAATGACTGAGGTGTAAGACTGTGACTCCACTGTTAAATCAGGAATATTTGTAATAGTGGTATTTTTCAGGAAAAGATACTGAACTGTAAAATCTGATGTTCCCATGGAAATACCAACTACTGTATTCTATAAAGTGTAATTTAAATAGGGTGGTATTTTTTTTTTATTTAAAAGGAAAAAGAAAACAGAACAAAACAAAACAGTGTAAGGGTACAAGTAATACAGAACTACAAAAAAAAACCAGTAAGCTATCACCAGTTAATAGATTACACACTATCATCTTAGAAACGGTGATTCAGATCACAGGATCAAAGCATACAAAGTGAACATTCAAACAGTGAGACTACAAATAGTTGTGTTCAATGATCCAATCAAAAACATTAATATGGTCATCTATTTAACACACCTAAACACACTTGCTGTTGTGTCCTTTAGGGCACTTTTTTTTCCTCTCTCTTTATTACAACAAAATTTACACATTTTGGGTTTTATTGCTCCCATAGATCTTATTACTTTTTTTTTGTAAGAGAATGAAATCAAACATGATAAAACAAAGCTATCCATCAAAACCAAGGATAGACATAGCACATGATGTAAAAACAGAGTACAGGAGTTATCAACAATGGTTACCATAATGCCTCTTGCTTCCTTAAGAAGAATTGTCTATCTCATTAGGTATTATAAAGTTGAACAAAACAGTAGAGAACAAGACCAATAAAACCTAAACATTGTAAACCTTACAGAACTTCAAAAGAGGATAATAGTCAAACCAGAATGAGCATCATAGTGAATCTTACTGCCTTCAAAGTAGTTGCCTGTACTCTGATACTTAATACTATCATACAGAGCGGAACAGTCTAATCAGTCAAAACAAGATAGTGGGAGTATTATAGGACTTCAAATCAAGTTAATAGGAAATCAAAAAAAGTTACTATAATATATCCTGCTAGTTTTTTTGATTTTTTTCTCCTTAGTTTAAAAAAGAAATTAAAAAAAATTAAATAATTTTTTAATGAATAAGGGAGAGGTTGAGATAAAAGAGGGCATAACAACATAACAATACAGGTCAAAGCATGACAGTTTCAGCAACCTAGTGCTTCACCACCAAATAACTCGACTTAATAGTAGTTACCATAGTGTCTTTTTCCTTGAAATATTTGAATATAACTTCATATGCTATAGCATCAAACATATCAAGACAGTGTAACACCATTCAAGTGGATGAGAGCATTGTAGAGTATTTAGAACCAGCTAACAGAAAAATGAACAATGGTTTCTATATTGTCTCTTTGCCTATAACAGTTTTTGTTTATACTACCACATATGATAAAATCTAGCAAGATACAACATGATAAAACCAATGGAGACAGAAGAAGCATAGTTTGGTGGGGCTTTAAAACAAGATGGTATTAAATCACCACTAGTTATTATGATGTCTTGTTTTCTTCAAAATAGCTGTTCATTGCATCACAGGCCATAATATCAAACATCCCAGAATAAAGCCATTCCAATTAATGAGTGAAAACTTTATAAGGCTTCAATATTAGATGTGTTTATTAAGACATAACAGGCTCTTATTCAGAGTTCTTATTTTCCTTTATTTCTCTCTCTCTCTTTTTTTTTTTTTTGGTAGCGGTAATTGACCTCACACTTGCCAGGTGGGCACTATGCCACTGAGCTATATCCCCAGCCCTCCTTTAATTCTCCCCCAGCCCTCCTTTATTTCTCTTTCTCTCTCTCTCTTCCTCCCCCGCCCTTTCATTTTGTTTTGTTTTTTTGTACCAAGGATTGAATTCAGGGTCTTGCAGTTGCCAGGCAGGCACTTATGCCAGTGAGCTAAATCCCTGACCCCCTCCTTTATTTCTCTTTAAATTGATTTGCTTTTCCAACTGTTACAATTTTTGAAAGATTTCAAAGTGTCAAAAATCTATAAAATGAAATGTAATCATAAAGTGCTATAATAAGCACAAGTACCCTTTGCTTCTAGGTGATAATTATAGTGTAATGAATAATATATTTTTCACCAACAAATGTTTTTCCATATTTATGAAGTGACTTAAAAGAACACTAGAGATGTCTTGAGAGTTCCTCTGTAAATACTTCAGCGTGCTTCCCAGACAGGTTTCTGCATAAACAATAAAAGTCTAATACTTCCACATATTTTAAAATACTCATTCCATGCACATTTGTCCCAAACTATCTTAGTTTTAACCCCCACACCCAGTTGAACCCAGGGTGGTTGCACTAAGGGCATCCCCAGCCCATTCATTTTTTGAGACAGGTTCTCTCCAAGTTGTCCTGTGTTGGACATGTGTATATAATTATGCCATATGTCTTTTTCCACCTAACATACTTCTTCCACTTAACATGTTTAGGTTCATCCATGTTGTACTACTTTGGTTTTTTATTTTTTTAAACAGGATTTTGCTGTACAATTCATACTGACCTTAAACTCACTTTGTAGCCCAGGCTGACCTCAAACTCAACAGTGATACCTCAGCCTTGTGAGTGCTGGGATTTCAGGTACACCACCACACCCGGCCTATGTTGTACTGTTTACTAGTTTGTTTCTGTTTTTAGTGGTGCTAAGGCTTGTACACAGAGGCACTCTACCACTTAAGTTGTATCCCTGGCCCTTTTTATTTTTTATTTTGAGACAGAGTTTCACTAAGTTGTCTAGAGTAACCTTGAACATCAGCCCTTTTGCTTTAGCCTTCTGAGTAGCTGGTATTACAGCTTCATTCCTTTTTTTTTGCTGGTATTATTGCTTCATTCTCTTTTATTCTGTTTTGTGGCCACCACATTTTAATTTCATTCATTAGTTGATGGATGTTTGATTTTTCTTATTTGCTATTACTAATACTTTTATGAATTTTTTGTATACCAGTTTTTTTTTTGTTTTGTTTTGTTTTTTTCTTTTTTGGGACAGAGTCTCACTGTGTAGTTCAGGCTGGCTTTGAACTCACTATGTAGTTGTGGCTGGCCTCAAATTCATGGCAATCCTCCTTCCTCAGCCTGCCAAGTGCTGAAATTATAGGCGTGCATGTCGCTACACCCAGCAATGTGTACAAATTTTGTATAGGTATCTGTTTTCATTGCCATTGAGTGAGGAGACTTGCTAGGTTATGTGGAAATGGTTTAACCTTTTGAGGAATTGTCCTAGTGTTTTTTGTTGGTTTGTTTTTGAGACAGAGTCTCACTATATAGTTCATGCTGGCCTCCACTTGTGATCCCTCCTGCTTCAGCCTCCAGAGTGCTGGGATTACAGGCATGTGCCACCATGCTCAACTCCAAAGTGTACTTTTAAGCACTTGATTTCCACTAACAGTGTATGAGGATTTCAATTTCTTTACATCCTCAGCAACATTTGTCATTTATCTTTTTGGTTATAGCTAGCCCAGTGGATGTGAATTGGTATCTCTTGTGCCTCCCCCAGAAAGCACTGGGCATTGAATTTAGAATTTAGAGCCTGTTAGGCACTGCTGTACCACTGATCTGAATACCTATTCTCCTCTTGTGGTTTTGATTTACACTTCCCAGATGGTTAAAATGTGCTTCTGGCCATTTGTGTATCTTCCTTGGACAAATACTGATTCATAGTCTTTGCTCACTTTTTATTTATTTATTTATTTTTTTGTGTTGGGAATCAAACCCAGGGCCTCGCACTTGCCAGGCAAGTGCTGTTTCACTGAGCTACATCCCAGGCCCCTGCTCACATTTTAAGAAACAAAACATTTTATTTTAAAATAATTTTACATTAGAGCTGCAAAACTAATACAGAGAATTCCCATTTATCCTTAATCTACCCTGTGCTTGTTGTCTTTTTCTAATGAATTACATGAGTTCTTTATATATTCTGAAAAGAATTCTCTAGTTACATGTGTCAGTTATATACATTTCTCACATAATGTGGATTTTCTTTTCATTTTTATTGATGGCAGTTGTAGGATGGATATTTTCAATTTTGATGTGATCTATCTTATTGCTGTACTTTTTATGTTTAAGGATGCTTGGTCACAAAGGTTTCACAGAATCACAAACAATTTTTCCTTCTCTTTCCCTAGGAGTTACATGGTGTTAGTTCTCATCTTTAGAACTACAAAACCAGGCATGGGCGTGCATACCTGTAACCCCAGTACTCAGGAGGCTAAGGTGGGAGGATTGCTGTAAATTTGAGGCCAATCTGGGTTACATAAGCTAGGTCAAGGCCAGCATACACTACAGAGATGTGTCTCAAACAGAACAAAACAAAACAAAAACTGCTGTAAGTGTGGTGGCACACAGCTGTAATCCCAGCACTTTGGGAGGCTGAGGCAGGAGAATTGTAAATTTGAGTCCAGCCTGGGTAACTTAGCAATTTAGTGAGACCTTGTCTCAAAATTTAAAATAAAAAAGGACTGGATATAGCTGAGTGCAAAGACCCTGGATTTGATGTCTGAACTGTAAGGAAACAAAACAAAACAAATCTGGTGGGCACAGTGATGTATGACAATAATTGAGATGCTGAGGTAGAAGGATCTCTAGAGTGAAGCAAAAATTGTAAAAGAGAAATTGTTCTTTTTAAAACTTTGCTCTTTTGAAAGTGTCTTGCTCTGTAACTGCTTCATGGCCTTATAGTTACTTTCTTGACCCCTGTAACCATGAGAGGGTAACTGAGCATACAGGACATTTGATTGTAACAAGGTGTTCTAATGTAGCCTTGTAATCCATAATCTCACTCTGCTGCCTAACCAGAACTGCCAAGCTGTTCTGTCTCACCTTTGTGCCTTCTGCTTGTGCATCATATAAAAGCCCTAGGCCACCAGAGATCCGGGCTGCTATTTTCGGAGTGATCCCAATCAGTGCTCATAGATATCAAAGAAATCTGCCTCCAAATGCTGGGTGGTGTTTGTTTTGGTATTTGTTTACCACAGTACTAGTTAGAGGCCAGGCTAAGGAACATAGATACGATCTCAAAAAAAACAAAACCAAACCTTATTTGATCTCATTTTGAATGTTCTGATTTATAGTGTAAGAAAGAGATCTAATTTCACACTTTGTATATAATGTATATAATTTCACGTGAATATCCAATTGTTCCAGCACCAATTTTTTTTTTTTTTTTGAGTACCAGGGTTTGAACTCACAACCTTGTGCTTGCCAGGCAGGCGCTTGTGTTGTTGAGCTAAACCCCCAGCCCCATATTGTTTATCTTTTTTTTCTTTTCCCAGCACCAATTTTTGAAAGAACTTTCATTTTCCATTGAGTTGCCTTGAAAAATGTTGTTGAATTGAGTATAATGTAAGGGCTAAATTTTGCCTCTTCATTCTGTTCCACTGATGTACACTGTTCTGCACTAGATTGTTCTGATTACCGTGGGGTTTTAGTGTGTTTTGAAGTAGGGGATTTTGAGTCTTTAACTTTGTTCTTTTTCCAGATTGCTTGGGCTGTTCTGGGGCCCATGAATTTCTGAATGAACTTTAGGATCAGCTGTGAAGTGCCTTGACTTTGTAGATTTGTTTGGGGAATGCTACCATCTTACCGATACTGTCTTAAAATGAGATGTCTTTATTAATTTAGTAACTTTTAAAATTTCGTTAAATAATGTTTTGTAGTTTTGAGTCAGGATTTTAGACTTGACCTCACTGGGTAGCACAGGCTGGCCTCAGACTCATTGTGATCCTCCTGCCTCAGCTTTCTAAGTGCTGACAGTATAGGCATGTGCCATCATGCTCAGAGGTTATTATTATTATTATTATTTTTTTAAATCTTTTTGAAACAATTTCATTATGCAGTTCAGGCTGGCTTTGAACTCACTTTGTAGCCTGCCCAGTTTGGCCTGAATTTGCAGCAGTCCTCCTGCCTCAGCCTCCCAAGTGCTGGGATCATGGGTGTGTGCCTCCACCCCTGGCTATTTATTCTAATTAATTAATTAATTAATTAATTTTGAGACAGGGTCTTGCTATATAGTTCAGGCTGGCCTTGAACTCATTGGGTAGCCCAGGCCACACTTGAACTCATGGCAATTCTCCTGCCTCAGCCTCCTGAATGCTGGGGTAATAGATATGTGCCACCATGCCCAGTTTTCAGAGGACTTTTTAAAGGTAAATACATGAGACAAATTGCACAGAAATTTTTTTGTGAAAACATCTGAATACCTGATCAAACTTAAAGGATTGACCTGAAAATGTTTGTAGTGTCAATAAAAAATTATTTGATTCTATTTATGCTTCTTAAATTATAAGATAGCTTTTAAAAAATAATTCAGAGATCTATATTTATATTTAAATTAATATATTATAATAATTTTGTTGTGTGTGGTTTGTAACTCAGAATTGAGAAACAATGGAGAAGGCTGGAGTTTTGTTTCAAGAAGAAAACTAGCATGAATCTGAAGTCTGTGTTTCTTTCCTTCCTCTCCCTGCTGTGCAGAGTTTTATACGAAGGGAAAGAAAGGCTTATTCCAGGATGTGAAGTGATCCAAGCTACACCCTACGGTCGTTGTGCCAATGTCAACAATAGTTCCACTACTTCACAGAGAATCTTTGTCACTTACCGAAGGGCTCCTCCGGTTCGACCCCAGAATTCCTTGGCTGTAACTGATATCTGTGTTATTGTGACCAGCAAAGGAGAAACCCCTCCTCATACTTTCTGCAAAGTTGACAAAAACTTAAATTGTGGAATGGTAAGAATGAAGTTGTTTTATTTTTAAAGTTTCATTTGAAAACAAAAGAGATACTTTTTGGTCTCAATGTTAATTACTAGATTGTTTTAATTAGTACTGTATATGTTTGCAATACATAGTAAATGCATTCCTTGCAGAGAATTGGTATATATACGTATCCTATGCAAGTAGTTTCTTGTCATATTTTTATGATTATTGTTTTTATTACTATTAGCTCGTTTTATGATTGACTAATTCTTAAAAATTTTATCTGATGATTTAGAATAAATCCAGAAAAAGTATTATAAGTCAGCCCCTTTCCTCTTTTTTTGTGGTAAATCCTAATATTGTCTGTGTTTATCAGTGTCTGCAAAGGCAATTGAAGACATTTGAGACAATGAGAGTTGTCCTAACATTTTTAAAAATATTGCCTTAGAGTAAATAAAGGGATCAGGGATATAACTCAGTGGCGCAAGCACCTGCATGGAAAGCACAAGGTCCTAAGTTTGATTCCTGGTACCCCCCCAAAAAAATTAAATAAATAAATACTGCATTTTTGCATGCTTACATTTTAGTTTTTCTTTGAAAGAAAACAATAAAATAAAACTACAAGGATGATACTGGATTTCAAAAACAAATCAACAGTAGTTTTTTTTTGAAACAGGATTTCACTAAGCAGTTCAAATTAGACTTGAACTCATTTGTAGCTCTTGCAGCAGTCCTCGTGACTCAGTCTCCCAAGTGCTGGGATTACAGGCATGCACCACCATGTCTGGCCTTAAATTGACTTTTTTTAAAGATGGGTTTTATTATTTTTTTAAATCTGGTTTTATGAGTGCCAGCAGAAGTGGGCTACATGGGGTGGTGGGTGGCCTGGACTGGGCAGCGCAGAGCACAGCAGTGTTGGGGCACCAGGACTGCAGCAAAGAAGACTCCACTGCAAGCAGGCCCTGCCTGTCCTTTAAAGTTGATTCTTTAGTCAGATTTATTTTGAAAAATATCTTCAGATTGAACTACCTGAATGTAACTGGTGCAGGCAGAGGTGATGTGTAGCTATTGCAGTGGTCTCTACATTTGGTGCCTTCATAGCTTAGATTCCAGGCTCTCCTGCTGTGGGCTTTATTGTTTACTCCACTTTGTTCTTTTTCAAGCTGAAGTAGTCTCTGAATGATTGAAAGGTTCTTTTTTGAGACTATCTTTTTTTCTCAACAATGCTGTGCTGTATTTCATACTATATAGTCTGTTTGATGAACACAAGGTTGTGTTGTAGTTGGTATTGCTGGGAGTTGAACACAGACCCTTACACATGCTAAACACATGGCTTACCAGTGAGCTAAATCCCCAGCCCTATAAGCTTAGGTTTTCAAGGGATTCTCCTGAATAATCAAAAGCTTCAGATGACATTCAAGAAAATAACTTCTCTTCATTTTGTCTTTTCTAACCCTTAATTTCTGTTTTACAGTGGGGTTCAAGTGTGTTTTTGTGTTACAAGAAATCTGTGCCTGCTTCAAATGCAATAGCATATAAAGCTGGTAAGTGAATTAAAGATTTGTCTCTGTTTCTGTAGTTATTGGTATGCATTAACATTTAGCTAGGAGAGACAAATTATATTCCCTTAAGTAGTTTGTGGGATTTCTTTATTCATAAACTAAATTTGCTATAATTTTAGCATGTAAAGCATAAGTTTTTTTTAATGAATTGTGTTGTACAAGATGTGTTCCCTCATCCCCAAATATGCTGTTAATTAAATTTAAACTTTTACCCAAAGCAAGAGTATGTGGAGTAAAAACATTCAAGCTTTTCGTCTACACTAATAGATTTAACAATTTAATGGGAAACTACTTACTCTCTGACCTTTTATATTTTGGCAATCAGAAAGGTGAAAACTGCATCTTTACTTCTTATATTTCCTTCTCTTATCTTTGTGTGTCTTATTTGAAACCACATGTTACTTGCCATGAAAGGTGGACTTGCTTCCTTTCTCCCTTGTTGCAAAGAATCAGCTATGTGGAGGAGAGGAGGGCCTGAGAAACTTTTCTGCCATGAAGTTTTTGAGAAAGCTATCGCCACATTGTTACTGCACAGTAAAGTGTCAAGGGCTGTAAAGATTTAAGTGTGACCTCTTCATCCCACTGGTATGGTGGGATAAAAACTGAAAATACAGGTATGCTCCAGTTGTAAATAGAAGAGATGCTGGAATACTTCTTTGTAAAAAGAAGTAGTGCCAACAACTCTTTGAATATGCACAGGTTTTGAAATGAAGTTTTCAGGGAAGCCAGGCAAATTAATATCTGAAAATTCGTGAGTTTGCTTGTAAAAATTCATACTAATGAATCAAACCATTTAATTTATGTTATAAAAATAAAGGCAACACTAACAATACAAGTTCAGTATCAGTTAAAAATATGATACTGCTAATATTGCTGTAGTATGTTGATTGTATGTGATTTCCTAAAATTTCTTTTTCTTTTTTTTTTTTTGTGTGTGTGTGTGTGTTGAGAAGAAGATATCTAAAAACTTGCAGAAAGAAGCTTTATAAAAGTATTTAAATATTTGATACAAGACACTTATTTTAGACTACAGAGTTTTGGAGACTAAATTTGGAAATTCTGATACTGATTTTCAAGTTTTTAACTTAGAAGAGTTCTATATATTGGCAACATTAGAAGCTAATTAACTAATGCCATTGAGCTATTTTATTCCAAAGGGGCTTTTTAAAACCATTCTCAGAGTACTTTCTGCTCCTGCTTTCTGAGTCTCACATACTCTGTACTCAACCTCAGATGTTTCTGTTTTATTACTTTTCATGTTGCATGCCTTTTACACTGCTTCTCGCTCAGTATGAGCATAGGGATTGTGATAATTTCTGTTGCCTTGGCATTATTTTATAACACTTGTCTCTTCCCTGAATTTTTTTCCCAAAGAGTAACTGAAACAGTTGGTAAATTTTCCTCTATCTGACCATTCTCCACAAGGTGTTAGCATATGTAGGAAAAAATATATTCAGATTACTGATCAGTATAGATGATCAAGTCTGGGATATATTTAGTGTTTCTTTTATCATTAGCTGAGTTTATAAGTAAAATATACAGAGTAAATTTATTAGTTCATTTTGATTTCCATTATACCAAGAAAAGATTTGATTTGAAATTTTGTACAAATATATATTCCCATGAAATTTGAAATAAAATATCCTTTTAACATGTATCATATAATTTATAGAAAACTTTTACTGTAAATGTTTATCATTATTTCCTTTCTCCAAAAGGTTTAATTTTTAGATATCCAGAAGATGATTATGAATCCTTTCCACTCTCAGAATCTGTACCACTCTTTTGCCTTCCTATGGGAGCCACTATTGAATGTTGGGACCCTCAAACCAAATATCCACTTCCAGTGTTTTCAACTTTTGTCCTGACAGGTTCTTCAGCGGAAAAGGTATATTTTTTTTCTTGTTAATTAAACCTGTTTTATCCATGTTTTTAACCTATAAATTAGTTAATTTGAATGTTAGGATTGTTTGGGCAAAAGAAATTTAAATTCATACTGTAATATCCAAGGCATAAAGTCAACATAGAATTGTTATACAGAAGCAAATGCAAAGTCTTTTTGGAGGGACACTTCTAAAACCTGAATCTGGTACCAATAAAAAGACAAAATAAATAAATAAATAAATAAATAAATAAATAAATAAATAAACAAACAAACAAACAAACCTGAATCTAAAAATGAAATCATAGTAACAGAAAATAGGAAGAATCAGTGTGACATTTTATAAAGTTGAATTGCACCCTAATGATATCAAAATGATAAAATGACAACATAAAAGAAGTTATTAATTGAATATGAACTGAGATGATTCAAGATCAAATAAGGGGACTCAAAATATCAGGGAAAGAATAAGATATTTTAAAAAATGAGTAGAGCAGTTGGGTTGGAGGCTTAATCTCAGGAGGAACTAGGAGGCTTAGGCAGGATATTTGAACGTCAAGCCTACCTAAATAATATAGCAGGTCTGTCTGCAAATAAAAAGGTTTGGGTTGTGGCTCAACAGTAGAGCTCTTGCATAGCATATATGAGTTTGATGCCCAGCACTACCAAAAAAAAAACCCAAAAACAACAATAAAAAAACCAAATTGGAAAATAAATAAATCAAATGTGTAGAAACTAGTAATAATATCTTTAAAATCCAGTGAGCAGCTTTATTTTATTTTATTTTATAATTTTGAATAAAGGTATCACTAAGATGCTCAGACTGAGCTTGACGTTTTCTCCTACTTCTCATAGCTGGGATTATAGGTGGCATGTGCCACCATGCCGTCTCCATTTGTTCTTGACTACCTCTACTTCTGTCCTTTTTATTTTTCCTTTTCCATGTTTCCAGTACATAATGCTTATATTCATTGTGAGGAGTTGGTACATGTATAATTCTTTCTGTATCCCTTTCCCCTCCCATCTGCCCTGCCTTCCTCCGTCTATTGTTCTCCCACTTCTGACCAAATGTCAGGTTTTATTTTCCCCATTCCTCTACCCTCCCTTCAACTCTTTCTTCTTTCCTCATCTACAAAAGCTTATCCATTTTAATTTTTTTTAACTTTTCCCTTCTTTCCTTCCCCCTCCCCACCATCGTTCCCCTCCCAATTTGAACATTTTTTTCCTATTTCACAATACCTATCATGCATTTTGGCCCTTATTTAAACTTTCAGTTTCTCACACCAGAGAAACCATGTAGTATTTATATGTGTGTGTGTGTGTGTGTGTGTGTGTGTGTGTGTGTGTTTTATTTCACTTAAGAGTATGGTCTTACCTACAGATGTCTCAAGCTTATTCTTTATGGCAGAGTAGAACTCCATTGTATTAAAAAACATTTTCTTTATCCATTCACCAGTTGTATATCAAAGTATTTTATAAAGTGCTATATTAGTGTTGTTTCCATTTAAAAGTAAAGGCGGAGACTGTAAACAAATAAAAATAGAAATTTTTTTTTTTTTTGTCTTTTTTGAGATGGGGTTTTGCTATGCAGTTCAGGCTGGCCTCAAGCTCACTTTGTAGCCCAGGCTGGTCTTGAACTCGCAAGATCCTCCCACCTCAGCCTCCCAAGTGCTGGGATTACAGGCATGAGCCACCACACCCGGCTCAAAAATAGAAATTTTAAAAATTTAATTCTGGTGACCAAAAACACCCTCTTCCAACCTGAATTTTCTCCCTATATATTGTAAAATTGTATTATGTTTTAGTAGGAAGTTAAAATAATTATTCTGGCTGAGTATGGCAAACTTGTAATCCTAGCATTATGGGAAGCTGAGGCAGGAAGAATATAAGTGTGAACCTAATCTGGGCAGTTTAGCCCTTAGCAAGATTCTTTCTCAAAATGAAACAAACAGAAAGATCTTGGATGTAGCTCAATGTGAAACCTTTGAGTTTAGTCTTCAGTATAGAGCAGGAGGGGAGGTAACTATTCTAATGACATTGGAGTTTTTTTTTTTCTTATATATAGAACAAAGAAGCAGCATAACATTATTTGCAGAGTTAGGAATTACAGTATGAAGGTTTAATAAGTACAGTGGGGATTTGATTTGGCTCAGTGGTGTAAGTGCCTGCCTGATGACGCAAGGTCATAAGTTTGCTCCCCGGTACTTAAAAAAAAAAAAAGATTTAATAAGTAAAATTCCATGAATGGTTTAAATACCAAATGAGATACTCTAAAGGGAAGATTAATAAAATGGAAGATAGATTTTCCTAAATGTGATACAGAAAAAGGTAAAATATAAGAAGGAATTGGAATATGTACAGGACTAGAATGAAAATGTACAGTAATTATTAAGTTCCCAAAGAGAGACTAGAAAAGAAAAAAAATAACACTTTAAAGCATTGATTTGAGATTTTTCTATGGTCGATGGAATGTCTTTAACGATGCACTCTAAATGTTCCACAGAAAATTAAATAAACCTACCTCTTTTCATGTTACAGTGATGCCATGTAGCACCAAAACCAAAACAAAACAAAAACAGAGAAAAAAATATTAGTTGCCTTATATAAAAGATATATGACTATAATAATGTAATAAAATGATGGATTAAAACAGAGAAGACAAAAATGTTAAAAAGCAACTAACAATAAACTTTATTAGAAACTTGGATAAAACAGGTAAATTTATTGAAAAAAAAAAGCTGACTTGTGGATCAGACCATACATCTGTGGCCTCATGTTATGACCAGTGTGTTAAAAATAATGTATATAAAGTATCCAGGAATAATGTACATGGAGTATCCAGCATAGTGTCTGAAGATGAGTGTCTTACTTTTCTCTCATTGCTGAGACAAATACCCAACACGCAAAATTAAGGGAAAAAAGATTTATTTAGCTCACAGTTTATGGCGGTTTCAGTCCATAATCAGCTGGCTCCAAGGCAGGGTGGTGTGGCACACACAGTCTAAGGCAGAAGACAGCAAAAGCAGCAAGAACAAAAGGCAGGGAACATGCCTCTACTCCTCTCTTATATTGTAAGCAGACTGCCACTCCGCCAGGGCAGGCATAGACTCACACCATGTCTGTACCCTCCTCCTGCACAAGCTCAGGATGTTTACAGTGTGAAGACCCTGGCTCCCTGCTGAGTCCCTTAGTTTAACTGAGTCCCTTAAACTTGTAAACTGTAGTGCAAGTTGACATGATGTATTAGACATAACAATCCTCCCCTTGTCAATCTGGCAACCATACACATTTCTTTAAGCCAGTTTCCAGATACAAAGACTTATTCTTATCATTTCACAACTTGAACATTGTAACACAGGTTTAGCAGACCTTAAGGACCAGTATTAAGCCTATCAACATTGTATTACATTAGAACCATAACATTTTACCCCTGGCTCCCCAAAGACTCATGTACATTCCTTTATGCAAAAAAGCATTTAGTTCATCTGCAAGAGTTATCAAAGTCTTAACAGTTTAAGCACTGCTGGAAAGTCCCAAGACCCAAGTGTCCTCTGAGATATAAAGCTGCAAGCCCCTGTATGAATAAAGAAAATCACTTTCAACATTCAGTGGCACAAGATAAACATTTCCATTACAAAAGTTACGAACAAGGGCATACAAAGTATTGGGACCAAAGCAAGTCCAAAATCCAGGAGGACAAATGTGAAGTCCTCTAGCTGCATGCCACCATCTGAAGCAATCTGTAGCAAATTGTGAGCTCTAAAGGCCAATGTCACACCACCCATATGGTACTTCTGGTAGTTGTAGCTCCCATGGCTTCTCTCTTAGCCTAACTTTGCTCCGTCCTTGCAGCTTTCCTTAGCTCCAGTTTTGTAAACTTACTGGGATCTCCGCTGTACCTTTGGCTTCACACTCACAGTTTCGTGTACTGTCCTCTCGGGTGCACACTGCCTCACCCCCCAGGCCTTCTGAAATCCATGTGGAAGCCTTTTTAACCCCATCAGTCTTGCATTCTGCATACATCTAAAACCAGCATGATGTGGATGCTGCCAAGATCTACTGCCACTTGGAGCAGTAGCCAGGCTTTCTTCTCTCTTGACTGTAGGAGTTGAGTACCTGGATTGCTGGGCACTCTTGAGTACAATTCTGAGTAACAAATTTTCTGTGCTGCTGCCATTCTGGAACATGGCATGGCTGCAGGTGTCATTATAAAACATGGTGTTCTGTGGCTTTCTCCTCAAAGCAGTCTTTCACTTTTGAAGTTTTGAGGCTGCAAAAATTGGAGACTTACTGCTTTTTGTGATGCCTTCAGGCCATCTTTTTCCGTGTTCATGTACCTGCTTAGCAATTGAGATTTCCTCAACCCTATCTTTACAGCTTTATTGTAGCTTCCTTTTTGGCCAAAGTCACAGTATTTTAAATCATCCTGCTAGGTTCTTTGATCTTGATTCTCAATGTATATCTGGCTAAAACGCAGCAATAGTAGCGATGCCACTGCTTTGGCATTTGACTGCCTTGAAATTTCTTGTAGATTGAGGAAAAAAGCTAAATGGAATTAATGTAGAAGAACAGAAATTTCAGTAGGTTAAAGGCACTTGACCAAACAATTTAGGAAAAGAAAATAATCAGGGCTATATATTGACCAATAGTTAGAAAAAAACTGAAGACAAAAAGGAAATAAAACATTTAGATGTGACTGAAAAACAGACATGGCTTATACCATATATAAAATAGTCGGGGATTTAGCTCAGTGGCATAGCACCTGCCTGGCAAGTGCAAGATAGTGAGTTTGATCTCTGGTACCAAACAAACAAACAACCCCCCCCCCAAACATATATATGTATATGTATATATATTAAAGTAAACTCATAGCTGGGTGAGGTGATCTTAGCTGTAATCCCAGCACTCTGGGAGGCTGAGTCACAGCCTTGCCTGGGAAATTTAGCAAGTTAGCAAGACTCTGTCTTGAAATTTTAAAAAGGATTTTTAAATGTAGCTTAATGTGAAGGCCCTGAGTTCTATCCCTAGTACTGCAAAAGCAACAAACAAGAACAACAACAGGCCTCAAGGTAGGGGGAATCTTAGTGGTAGGGGGAATCTTCATGACATTCAGTTTATTGGCGATTTGTATTATGACACCAAAAGTATAGGTAACAAAAGGAAAAATATATATAAACTAAATTTCTCCAAAATTAAAAAGTTTTGTCCATTAAGAACATCTGTTGAGAGAGTATGCTTAATGGACAGTGTTTTACTGCAGAAAGGGTAAAAAAAGTATTTGCTTTAAAAAAATTTTTTAAATGTAGTCCTAGGGCTCAAACTCATGGTTTGAAACATAGTAGGCAAGTGTTCTACCCTTGAGCTATACTCCCTGCTACTAAGGCATTTATATCCAGAATATGTAAAGCTTTCCTGCAACTCAGCAAATAAATCTGAGCAGCCCAGTTTAAAAATGGGTAGAAGACTGGAGTAGGTTTCTCTCTAAAGAAATGCAGATAGCTAATAAGATGAAAAAAGATGCTCCACATGGAGTCATTAGGAAAGTACAAGTAAAAAACACAGTGAAATACTATTGAACATCAATTAGAATGGCTATTTAAAAAAACAAACTCCAAAATAAGTACTATTGAGAATGTAAGGAATGTTGTTACCTTTAAATATTGCTCATGGGAATGTAAAGGGTACTCCTGCTATGAAAAAGTTTGGCAGTTCCTCCAGAAGATAAACACGTAACTATTGTGTAGTTTTGAATTGAATTGAAAGCAGAGAATCAGAACTTTACATCAGTATTTACAGTACAGTAGCCAAAAGATGGAAACAACCCAAATGTACATTAGTGGATAAATAGTTAAACAGATGTGGGGGCTGGAGGTTTAGCTCAGTAGCATAAACACCTGCCTTGCAAACAGGCAGTCGTGAGTTCGATCCCTGGTACCGATAAAAATGAAAAAGACCAAAAAAAAAAAAAAAAATAGTTAAACAGATGTGATATGTACCTGCAGTGGAATATTATTCAGCCTTAAGGAGAAATGAAGTTCAAATATATGCTGCAACATGGATGAACTTTATTTTTTGTTTGTTTGTTTGTAGACAGAGTATAGTTCAAACTGTTCTTGAGCCCACTATGTAGCCCAGGCTGGCCTGGAACCCGTAGTGAACCTCTTGCCTCAGCCTCTTGAGTGCTGGGACTACAGATGTGTGCCATCAGACCTGGCCTGTGAATATACTTTGAAGACATTATGCTAAGTAAAATAAGCAAGACACAAAAAGAACAAATACTGAATGATTCCAATTTATAGGAAGTAGCATTAGAATAGGCAGATTCATAGTAGAGGTTATCAAGGATTTGGATTGGGAGAATGATTATTTAAGAGGTACAGAGTTTCTGTTTGGGAGATGGAAAGTTCTGAAATGTCATACAACATCATGAAGGTTAATACCACTCACTGATGTGTACACTTAAAAACGATTAAAGTGACAGACTTTATTTCTGTGTATTTTTCCACAATTAAAAAAAATCACAAGCAGGTGAAAGTTGAGTAAGGTCATTAGAGTACATACTGTAGCGTAGGTACAGAATTTCACTATGTGGTTCAAAATTAGGGCAAGTTCCAAGAAGTTACCATACATTTTTGCATGAGATGTATGCTTTAATGAATAATCCCAATAGAAAAAAGCTGGAGGGATTTACATTAAAGTCAGTTTATCTCTAGGGTAGAATTTTCAGTGAGATTTTCTTTTCATGTATCTCTTTGGTATACATTCCCAGCAGCTACTTCTTATTTAGTAAGAAAAAAAATTAATTTTTTAAATCAAATTTTGTTGGTTCATGTTAGATTAATATAATGATCATGTTCGCCATACAGAATTTGTATCTTTACATGATATACATTGATTTTTTTCCCATTCCCCTACCTTCCCTACAACCTGTTCTCCCCTCACCATTTACAAAAGCTTTGTTTCCATTTTCCTTCTTTTCTCATCATGTTTTCTTTTGTTACTTCTCCCTTCTTTCCTTTCCCTTTTCTCTTGAGTTTTTTATTTGTACATTTTCTTCTTGTTTTCCAATATCTATTATACATTATGGTCCTTATTTACACTTTTGGTTTCTCACACCTGAGAAACAATGCAGTAGTATCTACAGGTGGGTCCAATATATGTCACTTAAGAGTATGAAGTCAGAGTACATCTGTTTTCCTAGAAATGTCTCAGTTGTGTCCCTTCTTTGTGGCATAGTAGTACTCCATTGTTTAAGAAACATCTTTATCCATTTGCCAGATGATAGGCACTTGGGTTGTTTCTAATTTGACTATTACAAACTGCTGGTATAAACATAGGTATGTATATATATATATATATATATATATATATATATATATATCGCTGTGCTATAATGCTTTTAATTTTGGGGGGAAGACATCCAGGTGGGGAATGGCTGGAAACTCTAGTCCTAGTTTTTTGAGGAATCTTCATGCTGATTTCCATAGTAGTTGCACCAGTCTACACTCCCACCAGCTGTGGAGAAGAGTCCTTTTTCCCCACATCCTTGCCAGCATTTGTTATTAGTGAAGGAAATTAATTTTTAAAAGCAGTCTTATAACAGAATTTTGTTACTTCATAGGTTTACGGAGCTGCTATCCAGTTTTACGAACCTTACTCTCGAGAACTTCTAACAGAGAAACAGCTTATGCAGCTGGGCCTGTTGACACCTGTGGAAAGAAAAGTGGTCTCAAAGTCCATCAATTCAAACAAATGCATTTGTTTACTCTCACACTGGCCTTTTTTTGAGGCTTTTAGAAAATTTCTTATGTTTATCTATAAACTTTCTGTGTCTGGACCACATCCTCTTCCCATTGAAAAGTATGTATAATAATTAGAACAATGTTCAGTGGAAAAACTGGGTTTATAACTATTGATCTTACTGCTTAACCTTTAACAGCAGAGTTGAAAGTGAGAGTCCTGGTGACTCTACTGAATTCTTTGTTCACTTGAATCATTGGCTTGGAACTTAAAATTGAAGAATGGTAGTAAGGACAGTGAAATATATGTCTTTTGAGAATTTAGCTGAGGAAGTGAGTCATATAAATTTGTGTTTTTTACGTTTCTGTTGCTATTCATTCTCTACTAGCAGTCAATTCATATTCTAAGTGTAACACAACTAAACTGATAAAGAAATTGTTAAGGGTGGATTATTGATGTTGCATGTAAGTAAGGTTTGGTTTTAGCACAGGACAGAATTCTTCATGTTTTTTCCTTTGATTTGTTCTCTTTGTCATGGAAATCTTTTGTAAGAAAGAAAAATAGATGTGGAGCCGCCTTGTATTTTTAAAATTCTTTTCTGATTGTTGTGGCACATTGACTTTTGTTTGTTTGTTTGTGTTTTGCCATCCTGGGAATGGAACCCAGGGCCTTTGCATTGAGCAACATCCCTAGCCCCTCCGCCACTTTTTTTGTGGCAGGTTTTACTGAGTTACAAGGTTACCCAGGTTGGGCTTGAATTTACCATCTTCCTGCTTGAATCACCCAGAGTGCTGCTTGGGTTACAGACATGCACCACGCTACACACCTGACATTTGTTTAATATAGTATAAAATTCACATACCCTGCTGACAAAGTAAGACGTTTCAAGACTTTTGTGTAAACCCACCAAAACTTGGTATATAAAAAAGGTCTCAACTTCAATGTTGTGCTCCTAGATACCAATATAATGGTTCCTATTTCTAGACCTAGCTTTCAGCTGTCAAATTCATTTTAAAAATTTGAAGTAAAGTTCAGTTTTGGTGACATAATAACAAAATTTACTGTAATGGTAGCTTGTGAAAATAAAATCAGTACATATGACTTTTTTTTTTCTCAGTTCACATACTTTCATTTTAGTGGGTCAAAAGTTTAAAACTTTGGAGAAATTTAAACATTATTTCCAGATGGAAAAATAGAGTCAGTAGGTATTTGTCCAAAATTATAGTAGTAAATCTGGAATTAAATTCTGTGTTAGTGCCAGAGGAGGTGGCACATTCCTGTAATCTCAGCTACTTGGCAAGTAGAAAAGGACTGAGGAGGGGCTGAAGGTTTAGCTCAGCAGCCTACATGCCTGATTAGCAAGGCATTTGGTGGTGAGTTTGATCCTCAGTTACCCCCCCCCCAAAAAAAAAGAGGAAAGGGAAGGACTGAGAATGTAGTTCAGTGGTAGAATGCTTGTGTAGTATTCTTGAGGCCCTGCATTCAATGCCTAGAACTGAAAAAAAATAAAAATAATTTTGTATTGTTGTTAATTTGTTACATCAGAATTTCTTTCTGATAACCAAGGCCATGAAATTAGCGTCTTAGCCAGGCATGGTGGTGCACAGCTGTAATCCTGACCCTTTGGGAGCCTGAAGCAGGAGGCCTGAGCCTAGTTTGGGCAATGTAGTGACTTAGACTCTAAATTTAAAAAAAAATTTAAAAGAACTTAGTGTGAAGGTCCCAGGTTCAATCCTCTGTACTGAAGAAAAAGTTCTAACTTCTTTATGAGAACTATATTTATGGTTTTTTCTGGTAACACATAAAAAATATTAATATAGACTTTGAATTAGAAAAGACATTGTGCATTTCCGTTTAGTGGGTATTTACATTGAGATTCTTCGTTCTCCCCGCAATTCCTGATCCCTTCCGGTCTCTTCCTCTCCCTTCCCTCTGCTCCCTCCCCTCTTTTCCCCTTCCTTCCTTCTCTTTCCAGCCTCTTTTCTCACCCTTTCTTTTCCCTTCCCCTTCTCCTTTTTATTGTTTTGTCACCTCACCTCCTTCCTTCCCTCCGGTTCTGGGGATTGAACACAAGGTCTCAAGCCTGCTGGGCAGGCACTCTGCCCTAGAGCTGCATCCCTGCCTGAAAATGTCTTTAGTATTTGGGCTAATATTATCGTAATATTTAAGATGTGTTAAAATATTATGTATGAAACATTTTAGAGAAGTAATTACGGTCATGGTTTCATAATGTTTTCTAGGTACATTTCATATTTTATGCAAAACATCCCTTTTCCTTCACCACAAAGACCAAGGATTCTTGTCCAGGTAATGAAGAATAATATTTTGGGAAAGCTGCTTATGTCATTCCAGTCATTGCAGAGTGAATCCCATGGCCCTTTGATTATGAGATGAGTGATACACATTCATAAAAAGTTCTTGAATTTGCTTTATTTATGGCTGTACTGGCCATTCTTATGGGCTTTTGGATCCTAGATGCACAGAATTGGAGTAAATGTAATGTTTGGTTCATGATATTGTTATCATTGGTCCATGCATGGCGTTTATGTAGCTAATTTTAATCATGTAAAACTCAGACTAATATAACCATGTTCTCAGTATCAGAATGACTCATAAATGTGAAATGAACTGTGGTTGTAGTGGGGAAACTTTGCAGTGGTACTTTTAAAACTGTCTATGCTGAAGAATTTGTTTTTCTTTCTAGTAAGTGGCAAAGCTAGATAGGTATTCAATTTGAGAGGTACATAATTTACTGGGTGAGATATTGTAGATGTGAACGACCTGACCTGGTCTGTAGGTGATTACATGAATTGCTTGCTTACATGTAGGCATACGGACAGATTTTTATAAAAGTTGCCATGTTATTTTTGTTCTCATTTATATATTACCTCTTTTTTTTGGTCATTTTCCTTTTTATTGGTACCAGGGATCGAACTCACGACTGCCTCCTTGCCAAGCAGGTGCTTATGCCGCTGAGCTAAATCTCCAACCCCTTATTGTCTCTCTCTATACTACAACTGTTTGTGTATTGGCAAGTTTGAGTTATGCTGGTTGGTAGAGGCAAGCTCTAATAGTTAAAAAGAGACGATCAACATTATGTAAGGTGGGATTAAGCCAGATGCTATTGATCTTAAACACAGTTTAGTTCATCAAGCACCTGTTAAGTGCTTAATAGTCTGTTGAGTAAATAAATTGAGATTTTTATTTTTGGTATTGGGAATCAAATTCATGACTTCATACTTGCCAGGCAAGTGCTTGTGCCACTGAGCTAAACCTGTGGCCCCCAAATAGAGGTTTTTATAAAAAATTACACTCTAAAAATTTTAAGCATATGTTAACCAATTTCCTTGATCCAAACTCTGCAAAACTGCATTTAATGAAAAAGAACTAACAATGTCTGAGTGAATATAGTTATCATTTTATATCATACTATGTTTCAAAGAGTATATTCAGCTATTCTCTATTTACCCTTAATCAAAATATCCAGATTTCAAAATTGATTTAGTTAATTTATCTTTTTTTTTTTTTTTAAAGCTATCAGCCCATGATGCACTAACATTATCACAGCCAGTTTCTACACCTTTACCACTAAGGTAATTAATGGTATTTATTTATTGTGGTGTTGGGGATGGAACCCAGGGACTTGGGCATACTAGGCAAATGCAGTATCACTTAAGCGACACCTGTAGCCCAATTAATGGTTTCTATTTTTTAAACTTTTTTTGGTAGAGGGTGTTTTGAGACAGGGCCTCCCTATGCAGTTCAGGCTGACCATGAGCTCACTTTGTAGCCCAGGCTGGTGTTGAGTTTGCAACAATCCTCTTGCCTCAGCCTTAGTTAATGGTTTTTAAAATGATATCACGCAGAGTAGAATGCTTTAAAATATTTTAGGCATTAGGATAACAAAATTAAGTGTTATTTTATAAAACTAGGTATCTATTTTTGACAATTGGATGAGTGGTGATACTATTTTTAAAACAATGGGAAGGAAAAAAATTGCTAGATTGGATGTAGGGAAATCAATCTTTCCTATGATCTCTCCCATATCTAGGTCATAACTAAATGTTCAAAATTTACTGATTTTAATCTAAATGTCTTTAATGTATTTGCTTTTCTTCATGTGCATCACTAATCCAGGTTAGCATACCTAGACCACTTCATTATTAACCTGTGGTTTGTTTTTTTTTTTGTAGTTAGTGTTTGAACTCAAGGCCTCATGTTATACCACTCAGTATATCTCCAGTCCTTTTTGTCATCTTTTATTTTGAGACAGGGTCTCCTTAGTTACCGTGTCAAACAACTTCCAGTCCTTTGGGTAGCAAAAATTACAGGGATGTACCATCAACTCTAGCTCATTATTATTCACCTTTGGATTGACCCTTTTGTCTTTCTTTGGTTCTTTATTCACAGTGCAACCAGTGTATATCCATTTGAGAATAGATAGAATCATTTTAGTTTCAGCCTGATTTCATGTTATTTTCACTTTTTCCCCCTACTGTTGTACTAGTTTATATTATTATCTCATACCTTTGATCCCATTCCTAGCTTTTTTTTTTTAATTCAGCTTAAATGGTTGTGCTTCAGGTTGTATTTCCTGATAAATGCCCCTTTGTTACCAATTAATGATTTTTAATTATCATTTTTATCATAGGATGACTTTAAGTCACTCCATTATACTATTGCACTAAATTTGCTTTTTGTTTTTGATTCATTGCTATCAAATTGGAAAATAATACTAGATTCTTTTTTTTTTTTTTTTTTGGTACCAGGATCTGAACTCAGGACATTGTGCTTGCCAGTGTGGTACTTATGCCACTGAGCTATATCCCAGACCCCCACCTTTTTTTTTTTTTTTTTTTGGTATCATGGATCAAACTCATGATCTTGCGCCTTTATGCTGCTGAGCTAAATCCCCGGCCCAATACTAGATTCTTAATCTATTTTTACACAGAAGATAATTTAATAAGCAAATCTTAATACATTTTTAGCAAAATAGTTCATAACCCTTTCTCTTTTTGCCTAGTGGAGCCAACTTTAGTACCTTACTGATGAACCTGGGTCCTGAGAACTGTGCGACACTGCTGCTTTTAGTTTTACTTGAGAATAAAATTCTGCTGCATTCTCTTAGGCCAGCTGTGTTGACTGGGGTAGCTGAAGCTGTTGTGGCTGTAAGTATAAAATTTTCCTTTTATAACAAAAAACCGACAGAGAATTTGCACTCCAAAGTAAAATCTTCAAAGAAAGCAGCTGTAAAAATTACCAGCCCAATTAGCATAAATATAACTGGATTGCGAAGAAAAATAGTATATAGAAAACAAAGGTGATTTCTATTTGAAAAGAAATACCAGTTGCTAATTTTTCATTTTAGGGTTTTCCAGAGAGTAGAAACTGTACAAGGCATAGTGAAACATGTAGCCAGATGTGGTGATACATGCCTGTCATCCCAGCACTTGGGAGGAGGAGGCAGAGGATTGCCATGTTTTCAAAGCCAGTCTAGGCTGCATAGTGAGTTCAAGGCTACCTGATTGTAAGTGAAGCTGATTAAATTAAGCCCCAGTGAATTTCACCATAAGTTATGCAAATGAATTATATAGTTAATTTCTTCCTATTTTATTTGTTAATCACTGTACCTAGTAGCATGTAGGACTTGATTATGAATAGGATAATATAAAAGTGCTTAGTTCTTGTATAAAGCACAAACACTGATCAAACAAATCTTGTTTAAACTTTATGATGGCTTCTTATATTTAAAAATGTGATCATGTAGGGTTTCTTAGTATAGAACTTTGCATAGAACTTTAGAACTTTGGATGTACCATTTCTCCAATCTAATGTCTCACTAATGGTTTAATTTAACCTCATTGATTGTGTTTTGGAAAGTTGCCACTCATATATCCCCTCCTAAAACACTTGTGTTTATCTGTTCACACCTTGTCAAACACATTTTATTTTATTTTATTTTTTAAGACAGACTCTCACTAGGTAGTTCAGGCTGGCTTTGAACTCACAGTGTAGCCTAGGCTGGCTTGGAACTCACAGTGATAATTCTGCTTTAGCCTCTTAAGTGCTGGTATTACAGGCATATGTGACAATGCCTGACTGTCAGACCCTTTTGACACAGGCTCTTGCCTGATTTCAGCAATACTGTGCAAAGACAGGTGGGAAAAAATGCAAGGTTGTATAAGGTTTAGGTAACTGACTTCTATTTTTATTATTTTTGATTTTTTGTTTGTTTATGTTTGAGACAGGATCTCACTATGTAGTTCAGGCCAACCTTAAACCCTTGATGGTCTTCCTACCTCAGTCTCCTAAATGCTGAGATTACAGCTGTACACCACCATGCCTGGCAATTGTAACTTTTTTAAAAAAAATTTTTAGTAGTACATGTTTGTAGTACATAATGGTTGCATTTATTGTAGGAGGTACATACATAGCACATTATTTTTATGTCATCACACTCCCCATTGATAGCTGATGTTAAGAGAACTATCTGAATTGCATACAATATCATTGATAAATCAAGATGTAGTAGTTAGGCAAGTTGAAGAAGAAAAAACTGAAAAGAATGGTAATAGGACAGATATTTCCAAAGGGAAATGATGTGAATATCAAAGAAATGAATGAAGAGCTATCGCAAAGTTGTATGTGTTTTTTGTAAAGAATGTGTGTTGGGGGCTGGGGATTTAGCTCAGCGGCATAAGCACCTGCCTGGCAAGCATGGGGTCGTGAGTTCAATCCCTGGTACAAAAAAAAAAAAAAAAAAAATGCATGTTATAATTAAGATAGATATTTGTAAAGGCAAATGGGTAAAAATTCTCACAGAACAATTTAACTGACTATTTTTTCAAGATGTTAAGGCTTCACTGAAGTTGAATTATTTTGTCCATTGGAACAGCTAATTTTTTTGTTGAGATTTTTCAATTGACTTAACCATTCCCAAGAGAATCATTACTTTAAAATTTTTATTATTGTCTATGCTGATGATTGAATCCAAAGCTTTTGCATTGACCCCCACCCTTAAAAAAAATATTTTTCTTTAGACAGTCTTACTAATCTGCCCGGGCTGGGCTTGAATTTGTGCTTCTCCTACCTCAGCCTTCTACCAGTGCTGGGATTACAAGTGTGTGACCAAACCTGATTTTATTAGTGCTTTTTAATGTAGTGCTTGGCGGTGACCCAGGCCTTATTCATGCTCAGCATGAACTTCACCACTGAGCTCTATACTTTCAGGCCCATTTGGTGTTTTTGTTTGTTTGTTTTGAGGCAAGATCTTGATATGCAATTCAGGCTGGCCTTGAACTCACTATGTAGCCCATGCTCTCCTTAAACTCACACAGTCCTTCTGTGGCCTCTGGAGTGCTGGCATTATAGGTGTGTACTGCCATGCTCCACAAATTTTTTAAAAAAATCCTTACTGCTCTTAGTTGAATTTTGGCTAAAGGTTATTGTGAAAATAGGTGGATGAGATGCATAAATATTAAAAAGCATAAATTTGTTTTATGATTTTTTTTTTTTTTTTTGTACTGGGAATTGAATTCAGGACCGTGCATTTGCCAGGCAGCCACATGTTCTGCTGAGCTATATCCCAGGCCCCATGTTTTATGATTTTTTGGGGGGCAGTTTTATCTCTGTACTTGAATTCTTTCCAGTAAATAGGAATGTGAGTTTTATATAAGTACTAGAAAAATTAATATGCCAAGAACTATTGGCACTTTTATTGGGCATCTAATCTTTGTCATGTTTGAAATTTTTAATCACATTTGTTTATAGTTGTGCTTGGTAATTCTTTTTTCTTTTTCTTTTTCTTGTGTTTTTGAGACAAGGTCTCACAATGCAGTTCAGGCTGGCCTTGAACTCACTTTGTAGCCCAGGCTCACTTTGAACTCACAGTGATCCTACTGCCTCAGCCTCCCAAGTGCTGGGATTACAAGCATGTACCATCATACCTGGCTAGTAATATTTTACAGTCATTTAGCTTAAGAATAAAGTTTAAGGTTAAAAAAAAGGTAAACGCCACTGATTTTCAGTGGTCCTTTTTCAATAATACTAGTTAATGTAATAATTTTCGTTGCAAATTAAAATTAACTTCTAACTTGGTTAACTTTTTAAAAACTTTTTTTCTAGATGATCTTTCCTTTTCAGTGGCAATGCCCATACATTCCGCTGTGTCCGCTGTCCCTGGCTGCAGTGCTTAGTGCGCCTGTACCATTCATAGTTGGAGTTGACTCAAGGTATTTCGATCTTCATGAACCACCTCAAGATGTTGTGTGCATTGACTTGGACACGAACATGTTATATGTGTAAGTTGACTGATTCTGTATTATCTACTACCTCTGTATTTTTCACCATACCCGGTGACAGCCTTTTTTTTGGAGCGGGGGGTACCAGAGATTGAACTCAAGACCTTGCGCTTGCCAGGTAGGCTCTTGTACCACTGAGCTAAACCCTTAGTCACAGCTTTTGTTTTGTTTTGTTTTGGTTTCTTAAGACAGAGTCTCATGATATAGTAGTTCAACCTGGCCTTGAACTCGAGGTAGCCCTCCTGCCTCAGCCTCCGGAGTGCTGGGATTAGATGCAGCTCTTTGAAAACATCTAGAGATAGCTGTTTTGAGAAGTTGCTAATAAATTTTCATCTTTTATTTCTTTCTTTGTTTTTTATTTGTTTGTTTGTTTGAGATAGAGTTTCTTTGTGCACTTCAGGCTGACCTTGAACTCACTTTGTAGCCACATTGACTTCGAACACACATTGATCCTGCTTCATTAGCCTCCCCAAGTGCTGGGATTACAGGCATGCACCACCATGCCCAGTTCTAAGTCTTTATGTTTAATACAACTCTCAAACAAGAAGCGTATCAGAATCTGGGAAAGCTGTGTAGTTTTGAAAAAAAATATGTTCAAACTGAAAATGTTCGTTTATAAAATATCATTTAATGTTTAATGGTAGGCAGAAAACATTTGGGTTTATCTTACCTATTTTTTTCTTTTGGTACTGGAATCAAACTTAGGACCTTGTGCTTACCAGGGAAGTGTGTATGCTGCTGAGCTATATCCCCAGCCCTTACCAAAAGAGAATACAGACTTGAAAAAAAATCATCAGAGGTGGTGGTACACTCCTGTAGTCCACACACCTGGGAGGGTTAGGCAGGAGGGTTGTTGCAAGTTTGAGGGCAGCCTGGACTACCTATCGAGACCCTGATTCAAAAAGAAAGGGTTAATCACTGCTTTTAGAACTCAGATCTTTTTAGATTTACTTCAGAATCCCTAAGTAAGTAAAATAGGTTTACCTCTTTGAAGTAAAAGTATAATCACTATAAGAGCAGTTGTGGCAAAACTGTGGCATACTTGCTGTAGTGAGCTGTTTGTATCATTGAAAGCTCTAAAAGGTTCAGCGTCACTGCTATAAAGGATACACCATTTTCTTGGTTATCAGGATCTGAATTTTATAAAGAATTCTCCTTTCCTGCCACCTTTCTTTCTTTCTTTTCTTCCTTCTTTCCTAATACCAAGAATGAAACTCCAGGCCTTGCTCATGCTAGGCTAGTACCATCCCACTGGGCTCCTTCCCTCACCCGTATCTGTTCTTTATTGCATGGAAATCAATACTGATAAGAATAAGCCATAGAGCCAAGTACGTTGGTATTCTTGGAAGGTGGAGCTGGACATGATGGTGCACTTCCCAGCGTATGGAAGGCTCAAGTAGGAGGGTTATGAGTTTGAGACCAGCCTGGGGTACCAAGCAAGTTCAAGACAACTGCTTAATTAGACCCTGTAAACTGTCTCCCCTGTCATAGTTTGTGTTTGCTGAAGGAAATAAATAAGTACAGCAGTGATACAGGTGAAAGTTCAGAGCATAGCATGTCACATTAATAAAGGAAATTCCTCTGGATGGATGCTTAACAGTTAGTGCCCCCAAAGGATAGGGAGGGGAGAAAGTTAAGTATTAGGTTCTTTAGATTTAGTGCAAACTTTTAGGTTCTGGAGCACTTTTATTCTTTCCTCTTTGAGTTTTGCCAAAATGAACAAATTACAAATTTGGGTAAAGCTTAAATAGAATTGTATGGAAAGAAATTGGTGCATAAATCAAAAAGAGTAATTTCAGAGAGGAAGAAAATATTTGCTGTAGGTTATAAAATAAAAGCTGGGCAAGGATGACACATGCCTCTTGCCCCAACGTGGCTGAGGCAGGAATCTTGCCATGAGTTTGAGGCCAGCCTGGACTGCTTAGTGAAATCCTGTCTCTTTAAAAAAAAAAAATGTTGTAGGTTTTAAAGTAATTTTGAAATCAATCTAACAATATTTTGAAGCTATACGAGATAGCTGTGGTAGCTCCTAACTATGAATATTTAGGTTTTCTTACAACCTGGAAATAATGAACCACTTACGTGAATTAAATATTTTTATAGTATGCATTTTGTTACTTTAAACTACTCTGAAAAGTTATTGGGATGTTTTATTGTGGTCCTTTTAAAAATGACTGTCAAGGCCAGGCATGGTGGTCAGTGTGTGTAATCCCAGCGCTTGGGAGGCAGAGGCCAGGAGTTCAAGGGCAGCCTGAATTACAATAGTAGTAATAATAATAATGAAAGAAGAAGAAAAGTAAGAAATGACTATCAAGCTATTATTCAGACTTTTTTTTTTCGAGACGAGTCTCGGTACACAGTTCAGGTTGGCTTTGAACTTGCTTATGTAGCCCAGGCTGGCCTTGAACTCTGTAGTGATCCATCGTTCTCAGCCTGGGATTACAGGTGTGTGCCACCATACCTGTTTGTTACTCAGGTTTTTACCTTATTTATTATTCTAATAAAATAATGTTGTGGATATTCTTAATTTCATCATTTGAATAATTTTTTTTTTTGGTCTTTTTCGTTTTTATCAGTACCAGGGATCAAACTCATGACTGCCTGCTTGCAAGGCAGGCGCTTATGCTGCTGAGCTAAATCCCCAGCCCCTGTTTGAATAATTTTAAAACTTCTGTTAATCAAAATAATATTTTCTAAAGTAACTTTGAACTTTTTTATCAGTTGTACTTAGACAATTATGAAATAATTCTAGATATCCAAAAGTGGTATAGAATAATGCAAATAACTCCATCTATCTGTAAACCACCCAGGCAAAAGAAATAAAGTATCACCAGTCCATTTGATGGTTCTCCATAATCCTGTCTTGCTTATGTCTCTCAGAGGTGGCTGTTATTTTGGATTTGGTATTATAGTTTCCACGTGTTTCATGTCCATTTATTATTTGTGTATTGATCTAAATGAGAGTTCATTTTGCGTGCTTTAAGACTTTTTGTATGTCAGTAATTTTCTGTGATTAGCTCAGCATTCTTTGTGAGGTTCATCCACTGATACATGAATCCTTAATTCATTTTCAGTGATTAACAATATCAGTTGATATTTAGGTTGTATCTAGATCTTTTACATTTATAAACAAGGTTGTTCTAACCATTAATTATTGTACATATTTTACTGAGTAGATGGGCCAGCATTCCTCTGATGTCTACACCTGGAAGAGCTAATTGGTTGTTTGCTGGAGAATGAACACTTTCAAACCTAAAAACTAAAACCAAATTACTTTCCCTGGTCTACCGCCTTTCCAATGTCAGATAAGAGTTCTCATTTCATATGCCTCCCCGCACTTGTTATGGTTGGATTTTTTTTCCATGTCATTAAAAGATTTTTATAACTGTAATAGTCTAGATACAATTTCATTTTACATAAAAAGAATTCATAGTGTAAGCATCCACCGAAGTATTTTCAATTCTTCTTCCTACTTTATCCCAAAGAGTGATCGAACATTTGTTCATAAGTAACGTTGCTTGATTTATAAAATTCCTTTCTCTGGGAAAAGTTCAAAACTTATGTGGATAATAAAATAGGAAAAAAACCCTGATATAGTTCACTCATCATTTCTGTAATTAATTAATGAGTTTGGTTTACCCACATGTTAAATTATAAAACCACACTATGTAAAATAACATCTATTACATTTAAAAAGGTAAACCCATATTTATTTACTAGCACTGTTAAAACATTACACAAAACACATTCAAGTGGCAAGTAATTATAATGCAAGCACTTGCATGGCAATTCAAATTTATTGAACTACTGATGCTGTTATATAAAATTACACCACTTTAATTAAGGCTTTTAGTTTACATTTGGCCACCTCAAAGTAGTTGTAGCATTAGGTTGGTCAATTTAAATACTGTGGCTCCTTGTTGGATAAACACACAATCTTTGCATCCAAATGTTAATGCATACAAAGCAACAAGGCATTGTTAAATAAAACAGTAATAATTACTGCAAATGAGGTCCTGTGACCAATTACACATGATTAAAATTACTTCCCACATTCACATTTGCATCCATAGTACTCGTCCACCATTTAACATCTCAACCAAAACGTTACACATGTAAAACAATCACTAACAGGCAAAAATACTAAACCTGTATATTTGGTATTGCAAATACACTTATGCATGAGCAAGCAAGGAATTCACAGAATCTACAGCTGCAGAAGCTGAAAATGATTTACAAAAATTGTTAAATCATTAAAAAATTGTTTGAAAATATACATTTCTTGTTGTAGACCCCCACTGTACACACAACTATAAATAGTGTTCCCTATGTAAACAAAAAAGGAAACATAATAAGGAATTTGAAAAGTCTGGACATTTCTTTCCCAACAGATGTTAAAGGCAATGTCTTTAATTTAAGACATTATACTGAAAGGACTATTGTATTTTAAAGACCAAGATCACTGTGACCACAGGTTTTTGAAAAATTAGAAAAACTATATAGCTGTTTTAAAGCGGTTATTTTGTACCCATACGATAGTGACTGATTTTTTTTAAAAAAAAATTACAGTAAGCTACAAGTATGAAAGAAAGCGAAGTTGTCTGGAGTAGTCTATATAGAAGCTCTTTGGACTTTCTTGTATTATGCTAAAATAGTGGTGCTTTTAGGATTTACATTATTGTACTCTCAAAGTAATGGGTGTGTTAAAGTATACAGTACACCATTTTCATACATGTACAACATTGGTGGATGAAGGTTTAACGAAGTTGGAATGCTGGCACTGTTGAATTGGGCAACAGTTCAGAGCTACAATACATTTAGTATATTAAAGCAGCTGACATGATGACTCATTATGGGCCTTCCCAGGCACTGGAGTTTTTCTGTTAATTTGCCACACTAGGTCATAAAAGATCTCATTAACATTTATTTTTGATTTTGTAGAAGATTCTAAGAATGCACAGTTGTTCCACTGTCTTGCTAGATTCTGACCTTGTTCCTTTCCTACAACTCTTTTATCTTCCAAGTCACATTTATTACCAACCAGAATCATGGGAACATCATCAGTGTCTTTAACTCCAAGAATCTGTTCTCTCAGATCTTGTAAATCATTAAATGTGGATTGTGCTGTGATGGAATAAACTAAAGCAAAGCCTTGTCCATTTTTCATGTATAAATCTCTCATTGCTGTAAATTGTTCCGTTCCTGCAGTATCCAAAATTCCAAGCATACACTGCTGTGCATCTACTTCAACTTGCTTTCTATAAGAATCTTCTATCGTAGGGTCATATTTTTCAACAAAAATGCCTTGAAAAAACTGTACAGTCAGAGCAGACTTTCCAGTGCCTCCTGAGCCAGGAATGACTAGCTTATACTCACGCATGATGCCAACTTATCAAACAGAGTACCCTCTCACGCTGTCACCGAGTCTCAGCCAGCATCACCCTGCGCTCCCTCCGGGTCGCTGCTCCTGGCACCATGGTGTTCCTGCCGCTGCCGCTGCTGCTGCTGCTGCCGCCTCTAGGACTACTTTACACGCCTGACTCTGGGCGAGGTTTGGCCTTGTTGCCTTGATGTCAGATGTTCAGCCTCACTCTCCTATGGTTGGATTTTTAAATTGTTTGCTGATTTGGCCAGGATAGTGTCTTACTATGGCTTGAATTTACATTTCTCTAGTCAGTTGAACATTTTGATTTCTTTTTGCTCTTTGGTATTCCTCTCCTTTGAATTTGATGTTCCTTTTTTTATTTTATTTTTTTAATGAAATAAGAGTCTCTCTGTTGCCCGTGTTGGCCTCAAACTCCTGTGCACAAACATTTCTTTTGCTTAACCCTAAAGTTTTCTTTATTGATTACTGATTCTAGTTTTTTTTTTTTTTTCTTATAGTTCTGGGGCTCAAATTCAGGGCCTCACACATAGTAAGCACATATCTTACCACATCCCCAGTCCTTGCTTTTAATTCTTTTTTGTGAAATCCTGTGCCTTGAGATCATCAAGTATTACCCTGCATATTTTTAGTTGCAAAGTTATTGTCTCTCCCATTTAGGTCTTTAATTCAGTTACATTTGATGTGAGTGTGTGATGTAACCCTTGTTTTTTATGTAAACAGTTGTCATACAGACTTCTTTTCTTTTTGAGACAAGATTTTTTCTGGGTAGTTCAGCCTGCCCTTAAAGTCAGCTGTGCTGTCCAACCTGGCCTTCAACTTGTGGTGCCTCAGCCTCTCCCATATTGGGATGACAAGCATGTGCTACTACATCTGGTTCCAGACTGTTGGTTGGCAGTTAGTTAATGTGTTGCCCACCGTCCTCCTTGTCAGCTGTACTGCATCCAGTACCTATGTGTATGTTTCTGGACTTACTCTGTTCCTGTGGTCCATTGCACCTCTTGCCAATTATACTATCTTAATGAATTTAAGATTATATTGTGTACAACATAGATGAACCTTGAAAACATGGTGCTAAAAGACCTTATATTACTGGTTGTAGTGTGCACAGCTGTAATCCCAGTACTAGGGAGACTGAGGCAAGAAGATCACTGTAATTTTGAGCCACCCTGGGCTATATAATGAGTTGAAGGCAGTCTAAACTACATAGTGAGCCTCTGTTTAAAAAAAATAAAACAAACAAGCAAAAAAATGGGCTGAGGATATAATTCAGCAGCACAGCACTTGCCTGCCAACCACAAGGTGCCAGCACAAACAAAACAAAACTATATTATGTGAAATGTTCAAAATAGGTAAATCCATAGAGGCAAGGAAATTGGTGCTTACCTTGGAGTGGAGTTGGGGAGGAGAAGAGTACACTAAAGAATATTGGAAGTGTGGGTTTCTTTTTGAAGTTATTGAAATACTGAAAATTGTTTGTAAGTGTGGCTGTATAATTCTATGTATGTACTAAAAACCATTAGACTTCTTCAAATGGATGAATTATATGGTGTATGAATTATCTCAATAAAGTTTGAATTACTTTTTTCCATCTTTAAAAATGTTTTATTTTGATATATTTTGAAGGAGTAAAAAGAACCCACATTAATAAGTTAAATCTTAATATTCTGGGTAAGGGGAGGAAGGAGGGTGGATGAGAGAACCATAAAGTTTTTAAAAGTTAAGAGATTACTACTCCTCTTTACCCCCTTTCTTGTTTAAAATTGTTACAACTGCATTTAGTTTTTGCTTTTCTACATAAATTTTAATATCATCTTGTTAAGCTCCACACAAAACTGTTGCATTTTGTTTAGAAATCTTTTGAATTCATAGTTTAATTTAGGGCATAATTTTTGACATAGTCTCCCTACTCATGAATTTAGTATTTCACTTCATTGATCTTAGTATTTAATGAACTTTACCTCTTCTCCAGAAAGATTATGCTTGTATTTTGTTAGACTTATTTATTCCTTGCTACCTTAAGGATTGTTATTGCTACAGTAAATGGCTTTCAGGCTGACCTTAAACTCACTTTGTAACACAGGCTGGTCTTGAACTCATGGCGATCCTCCTATCTTGGCCTCCCAAGCGCTTGGATTACAGTCGTGTGCTACCACAACCAGCAAATGGCATTTTAAATTACATTTTCCACTTGTTATTTGCTGTGACGTAGAAATGCAGTTTAAAAATATGTATTAATAGTGGTGTCAAAGCTAGCACTTTGTATAATTTTAATTAGTTTATGGATTATTCTAAATTTTCTAGATATGAACAAGCATAACATGTATAATCCTTACACATTTAAATTTTTTTGTTTTACTTTTCTAGGTAGGATTGCTAGTATAATACTGAACAAAAGTAGTAGCTGGCCGTGCTAGTACACTGCTGTAATCTCAACACTAAGTCTGCTCAGGCAGGATTGCTGCAAGTTCACCAGCCTGGGCAGTGAGACCCTGTCTCAAAGAGAATAAACAAACCCAAAATAAAAAGATAAATAAAAAGAAGTGGTGATAGCTGGCATCTTGTCTTGTTTCTTATTTCAAAGGGAATGCTTTGAATAGTTCCCCATTAGTGTCATAACTGCTTTAGAGCAGGGATTGACATCCAGCCCAAAGGTCATTTTTGTAAATAAAGTGTTATTGGGACATAGTCTTGCTCATTCACTTACACCTGCTTCGTGGCTGGTTTTTTTTTTTTTTCCCTGCAATAGCAGACTTCAGTAGTTGTGAGGAAACATGGTTCTCAAACCCTAAAGCATTTGTTCTCTTACATTTGATAAAAAGTTGTCAGCCCTGCCTTAGGGTTTTAATTGCTTAATAACAAATGTAAGGAGGTTTCCTTATATTTCTAGATGATTGCTAGTTTTGTGTTTCTTTTTTGATTGTGGTGGTGGTTGAGACAGGTAGCTCAAGCTGGCCTTGAACTCCTTGTGATCCTTTGGCCTCTTGAGTGCTGGGATTATAGGCACACCTTGTATTTTAAAATAATACATACGTTTGCAACTTTTCATAATACAATATTTTGAGAAGAGCATTAAAAATTTCTTTAAACTGTGAAGTAAATTACACAGTATTATAAAATTTGTACTGAACAATCTTTGAACTCAAAATATTGTTACAGTGTTTTCAAAATATTCAAGTAGACTATTGCTGAGAAGTTAGAATGATTAATGTTTATAAATCATATTGGCCTGATGGATAGCTTTAGCTACAGTCCATGTTTGGTATATGATACTTGCTGGTTATTTTTTTCTCAGTGCAGTTTGTATTTCTGTCATCTACGTGATTTTTAAAACTCCTAGTGTACTTTGTGTTGGTCTGTGACATTACTACAGTAATTAATGTTGTTTTTGACACAGAGTCTCGCTATGTAATTTAGGCGGGACTTAAGTTTACTGTGTAACCAGGCTAGCCTTAAGTTTCACAGTAACCTTCATGTCGGCCTCCTGAGTGCACTACCAGGCCCAGCAATAATCAATGTTTAATGTATCTTTTCCCATACTTTTAATTGCAGGTTTTCTAATGTAATACGCTATTTATACAATTTGTATGAAGTCACACAGGTAGCAGATTTAGAGCCTGGTTACAAACTGATGATAGTCCAGATAGTAATGACAGTGTTTAATTTGGGGGCTAAAAGGTAGAACCAAAATGTAAGAGCACACACGATGGGAGAAGTTTATCAGACTTGTCATGTGCCATTGTAGGCAGGGGTTACAAGGAGAACAATTACATATAGGACACATAATTTGTAGTACTGTTTATAATGATCACATTTTAAGAGTTGAGTCTAATTGATCTGAGTTAAATAGAAAGAGTCAAATACAAAGAAAGTGCAGGAAATCCATCCACAACACTAAAGATAATGAATGGGGAGACTGTGTCCTGTCCTCTAGAATCCTTTTAAAATCCCAGGCTCACCGTTAATCCTTGAGACAGTGGGGCAGTTGGTACTATTCTGGTTTCTAACCACTGAAGATTTCCCTGACATTTTTGTTAGCTGAACTATGTATTTATTTCTATTTTTTATTTTTTTTTGTCTCTGTTTGTGATACATTGTGATTCTGTTCAATTCAGGTTATTGATAATGTGTTCATATCTCTTCTTGATCAGTTTTACTCCCCTGAACTGTGAATTTAAAGAACTGTTTTATATTTAGGCATTTTTAAGAAGAACACTTTTCTGTTGTTCTTCTCTGTTTTTTATATTATTGATATATAAAATTCTGGGAACATAAGTTTTTGGTAATATCTTTTAAAATGATCTTTTCTGTGTCTTTGGATTTTTAAAAAGTATTTTATGATGTTGAGTAATGGTGTTGTGAGTTACATTTTAACTACTGTAGAACTTCATGAGCTAAATATAGTTTTAATCCTTACTGAAATTCTAGTCTTTCAATTTGGGCAGTAATACTTTAGAAACCTTCCACTAAGGAGTTTGAAGTCTCAGATCAGTTAGACTCAACTCTTAAAATGTTGTAATTCTGCAATGTGACTTTTGAGTAAGACTTCAATGCGGTGTTACATTTCTGATTGCATTGAAAATCCATGTTGGACGGATTGGAGAAAATCAGATTTACTGAAGTCAATTAAAATGAAAAGGGAACCTCCTTGAAAATCACTTTATTTCAGGTTGCTTCTATCAGTTGTAACTGCTATCAAAATATTTTTTCTCTTTTCTGAGTTTGCTGTCAGAATTTTTGCTTAGTAAAAAACAAATTTTAATTTAAGAGATTTTGCTAATTGTGTTCTTATTTAATAGATCAGATGAAAAGAAAAATATGAACTGGAAGCAGCTTCCCAAAAAGCCATGCAAAAATCTCTTTAGCACCTTAAGGAAATTGTATCCCCAGCTGTCTTCAGGTAAATGTAAGAAAAAAGGAATTTGGGGGTGGGGTAGTGCTGAGGAACCCAAAGAAAGGATTTCTGAGTCAGTGTCTTCACTTTGTAGTTCAAGCTTGCCTTATTAATGATGTAGCTCAGGCTGGTCTTTGTGTCATCTTCCTGTCTCAGCCTCCAAAGTGCTGGGATTACAGGTGTGTACCACTACACCCATGAAAAAATGTATATGAAGGAATTCTTAAATTTAAACCTATTTTTGCTACTAAATGTTTTTTGCTTGTTTTTGTAGTGCTGGGGATTGAATGTAGGGCCTCATGCATGGTGGCATATGCTCTTACCACTGAGCCATCCCCTAGCTCAATTTGTTACACTTAAGAAGAGTCTTACTTTAATTTTTGAGCATATTCTCTGTGCTCTAGCTGCTATTTCCTTAGATAAGCAGAGAGGAATTTTAAGAAGTAATGTATTTTATTTTAGTTTGACTGTTTCCTTAACCAGCCGATCATTTTGTAAGTAATTTTATGTATTAATTCCCTTGTTTTTTACTTTTGCTTTGTCAGTTCACCGAAAAACTCAGGAAGGTTCTGCAGTAGAAATGACTCCAATTGAAGCAGATTTTTCCTGGCAAAAAAAGATGATGCAACTTGAAATGGAAATTCAAGAATCATTTTTGCGATTTATGGCATCTATTTTAAAAGGATATAGAACATATCTCAGACCAATCACAGAAGCCCCTTCAAAGAAAGCCACAGCTGTGGATTCTTTGTTTGATCGACAAGGTGAGTAACATTGAAACTACAGTTGTTTTTAATTGAAGTAAAAAATGTTTTCTATTTGACATTGTTACTAGCAAATGTTGATTAAAGTTCTTAAGAGATTCATATTAAAATATGAAATTTCATGAATTTGTAATGTGTTTTTATGAGTTGAGAATTTATTTTTATTTATGTTTAATTTTTTTGATACAGAATCTCACTGAATAGTCCAGGCTGGCCTTGAACTAGTTATATAGCTTGGTCTGGCCTTGAATTTGAGATTGTCCTTCCTCAACCTCCCAAGTGCTGGAATTACGGACGTAAAACCACTCCTGTCTTTTAATTTTTATGCCCTGTTATTTCCCCAAAAAATCTGAAACTACAGATTTGACTTTCCTTATGAAAAGTCAAAAATGTTCACATTTAAAATACTACATAATCTATTACCTTAGTAAAATGTAGCTGGTGATTTACCTTTAGTTGTTTCTCAATTTTGTACAGTTCTTAGTATTGCATACTTTTGTCTTTGAGAGATTCCAATTGGTTTGTAGAATGAGGCCAGTTTTTAAACATTCTGACAAATGTAGCTTTGTTTCAGAGGAATTCCATGGTCATTGTTTATAGAATGTGCTGCTTTATAGAATTATAAAGATTTTTTTGTTACTCAGTTACTTTTTTATATAATAGCAACTTTACCTCTATACCAATACTCATATGAAAATTATTCAATTGTTTTACCCAGCAGTTATTTTTTATGAAAAGCATTATTGCCAATAGTCTTTTTGTCCTTTTATCTTTTCTGCTTCAGGATAATTTGCTACATGGATATTCAGTCACCATTTACTGAGTTTGACTAGTTATTGTGTAGGATTATAAAGAAACAAAAAAACTTAACTGTGGAATTTTTTTTTTTTTTTTTTTGAGACAAAATCTCATTATGTACTTCATCCTGGCCTTGCACTCACATTATAGCCCAGGCTGGCCTCCAACTCATAATAATCCTCCTGCTTCAGCCTCCTGAGTGTTGCAATTACAGGTGTGCACCATCATGGCTGCAGCTCTATGGAATTCTAAGTGGAAAAAATCTAAAATATTTTAAAACTAGAATAAGTACTCAAGGAAGACAGATTTCACCAGATAATTCAGAAAAAGAGAACATTCTCCAAAATGGGTATTTTGTAAGACTTCATTAAAGAAGAACATGAATTTGAAGAGTAGATAGACTTAAGATAAATGGAGAAGAGTGGAAAAGGCTTTCTTAAAGTTCAGAGGTATTACCCAGTCATATCTAAATTAGAAGATGTTTGACCATTTATAAACCCCCTGTGGGGCTCTGGTTTCTCACTAGTAAAATGGAAATAATATATAGGGAACAATTGGTAAAAATATTTTAAAATACTTAATATCTGGTTGTATTATTGGTGGTAACAACAAAACAGAATGTACATCGAGAACAAAAGTAGAGGCATATGGATTAGTTTGCAAGGGCTGCCATGACAAAGTACCACAAGTAGAGTTTATGGTCTCACAGCTCTGGAGACTAAACTTAAGATCAAGGTGTTAGTAGAGTTGATTTCTTCTGAGAACCCTTATCTAGGCTTATCAGTGATGTTTTCTCCCTGGGTCTGCTCAGTGTTTGTGTCAAGCTCCTCTGAGGACACTAGTCATACTGGATCATCCTAATTACTTCCTTTTAACTCATTTGTCTCTTTAAAAATCTGACCTCCAAATACAACCATATTCTGCGGTAACAGAGTTTAGGACTTTAACATATGAGTTTCTGGGGGAATATAAGTCAACCCATCTATAATAGCATATTTCCAAAAATCAGTATAATTGAATCAGAAGTGAGAAGCTTTAAATGTGTTGTGGAAAATAAGGCTAAAAATAAGGTCAGGTCTCAGGTTCCTGGTGGTCTGAAGGAAGGGCCAGGTGAAGGATAGGGACTTTTCCCATAGGCAGTAATAGATTAACTGGCATTGGCTCTCTAAATAAAATGGTATTACCGGTTGGAAATACAGATTTTTACTTAGTTTGAGTCGTAAGGTTTTTGTAGTAAACAGTATAATATTTGGCTTATGACACTGTTTCAGTCTAAAATGTCCCTGTGAAGTGGGGAAGTACAAGCTGAACATGCTGCTGGGAGGCAGTCCTGTTCAGAGGAGGCGGTCACTGGGGGAATAACCTGGAAGAGTGTATTTTGTGCCTAGCTCCACCCCACTCTCTTTCTGACTGTCTTAAGTGGGACGCTTAGTTCTGCCAAGTCCTTGCGTCATGCCGTTTCTGCCGTGAAGCCAGGCAACAAGGCGGAATTGACCGAAGCCTGGAACCAAAATTAACTTCTTTTTAAGTTATGGGTTTTGAGCCCTGCCCTCGAGACCCCAGTACTGGGATTGAGCCCAGGGTGTTCATAGTGACCTACATCCCTCTCCCTTTTAAAATTTTTTTTTATATTGAAACATGGTCTTGCTAACTCACCAGATGACCCAAACTGAGCTTGAATTTGGGATCTCCTTCTTCACCTTCCCCAAGCACTGGAATTATAAGCATGCACCATAGTGATGAGAAAGTGAATAGGGAATATAGATATCAGACAGTGAAATAATAATACAAATATTGATTACATGTTGTGGAGGAAAATATTATTCATTACAATGAGAATGCTAGCTTGGTAAGAAAAATTTTCCAGAAGAAATAAAATTAGACCTCCCCCCAAATAAATAGGAATTACCTAGTGATTTTGAGTTAACTTTTTATTAGACATACTTTTAGAAATAAAAATAAAATAATACATCCTTTTCAGGCATCATTCAGCTAGCAGTTTGCTTCCTCTGTCTTCACCCACTTGCCTGTCCACCTGCTCTCCTCCTCTGCTTCCCTTCCTGCCCTCTTGTCCTCTCATCTTTGTTTGCTGCCTTTCCTTTTCTTTTTCATCCCTTTCCTTTTCATTTTAAGGAACATTCCAAGCACAGTATCATTTCCTCCATAATAACTCGTTATATTTCCTGGATTTGTATATGGATTTGGTTGATTTTATCCTTGTGTTACTTGACATTTCTTCTGTCCACCTGTATTTCTTGTAAACTTGTGGCTGGATGAAGAAATACAGTGTCTGATAGAATCATGTTGTGAGCTACATACATAACTGTAAATTTTCATAGTAAAAAAGTAAGGAATAAGGGACATTAATAGTTTCTCTAATATATCCAAAATAGGATCATTTCAACATTAATCAAACTTTAAAAATTATTAACAAAATATTTGCAAGTCTTTGACATTTTTCTTGTATTTTATATTTAATAGCACCTTTCAGTTTGGATGAATTTAAAGTGCTGAATTGCCACATGTGAGTAGTGGTTATCAAATTGATCAGTATAGATCTGAAGGTTTGATTAGATTCAGTTTCAGTTTTCTTGGCAGTAGTGGAGAACACGTGGCACTCACTACTCCCTATTACAGTTCATTGTATAGAGAGCTATATACATGCTTGACTGTCCTTTTAATGTTTCTAAAAATAACGTTGGGGTCATTCATTCTCGTGCTGTCACCCTTTCACTCAGTTGTTTCTTAGCTTTGCTGATCATTATCTAGACAAGTAAAAAAAGCTACTAGTACTTACTTGTGGAGAATAATTTACTATTTTTATTTTATTTAATGATTTCTCTACTAATAATAGTATCTCAAGGGAATCAGCCTGTAGTCTGCAGCATATGGAATGCCTTGAGGCATCAAAGAAAGAAAGACTGGAAGAAAAAGAAACTATCATACTGTCTTTTAAATGAGGGTGGGGCATGGATGCACAACTGGGAGGTAGAGGCAGGAGGATTGCCTAGAGTTCAAGGCTAGCCTGAGCTACATAGCAAGCCCTTGTCTCAAAAAAAAAAAAAAAAAAAAAAAAAAAAAAAAGAAAAGAAATGAAGAGGGAGGGGTATTAGCCAGATTGTGGAGAATGTGTTAGTATTAAATTTCAGTCTTTATCATAAGAGTAATTGGAAGCTTTTGAAGGATATTTAACCACTTACCAGTCCAATTATTTAAATACAGAATGGTCAAAAATTGCATAGTTTTCTCATTCACTTTTATAAGATAACAGGAAATTTACAAATGACAGTTTTATCAAATATATTCAAGAATTTTTCTGCATATAGAATGTCTTACAACAGTATGCAATGCAGTGAGTGTTACAAATCTGGATAGTCTAGTCTAACCTTTTGTATTACAGTCTTTCTTTAAACAACACACTTTACACTATCATGTTAGTCTTTTTTTCCCTAGTGGTTAGTATAATTTCTTTCTTTCTTTTTTTTTTTTTGTCTTTTTCCTTTTTATCGGTACTGGGGATCGAACTCACAACTGCCTGCTTACAAGGCAGGCGCTTATGCCGCTGAGCTAAATCCCCAGCCCCCTAGTATAATTTCAATAAAGTGACTACCCACTAAACATAGTGAAAAAGACACTGATGATGGATGTCCTCATTGGCATTTCACTGTCCTGTATTTTTTAACTGTTTGGTCTATGAGACCTAATTCAAATGTAAATGACTTTTAAACTTCCTTGTTTTGAATAAATAACAAACAAGTTCCATACGGTTTTGTCCAGAGGTGCATAAATTATTATAAAAATATTTTTAATAATATTTTCCCTTGCTTTTTGATTGTATAATAGCTTGTTAGATGTTGGTCAATTCTGTCAACACCACCCATAGAATTATTATAATCATTGACCACTGTTGGAATTTTTTTAGCTTGGTTTTTTCTTTCTTTTTTTTTAAATTGGTACCAGGGATCGAACTCAGAACTGCGTGCTTGCAAGGCAGGTGCTTATGCCGCTGAATTAAATCCCTGCCCTGGTTTTTTCTTTCAAGATCTATCACTTCTGGATTATGAATAGCTGACAGTAAAGAGATGTCTTTTTCGTCTTTCTGTTTCATAGCATAGACTTTTCCTCTATGATATGCTAAACATTTCTCCCTTCATTTTTTTCCTTTTGCAGATTTTTTTACTTAGCAGTAAGTTTTTATCATTTATAGCAGAAAATTACAGTTTTTCTCACAGATAAACACAAATTAATAAAAGAAAATAACCAGTACTTAGATTTCATTAGAAACAAACATCAAAGGTGGATATAAGGTTCAAAAAATAACAAAGTGTATAAAAATAGTTGATAAACATAGAACACATGCTAGGAGTAATCCCAGCACTTGGGAAGCAAAGGCAAGAGGATCACTGTGAATTCAAAGCCAGCCTGAGCTATGTAGTGAGTTCAAGACCAGCCTGAACTACACACATAGTGAGACCCTGTCTCAAAAAATAAAAAAGCCCCAAACACAATACACAAGTGTTGAAATGGCACTCACTGGAGTGGTGCTTGAATTAGTATGTAAACAAGTGAGTGACTTTCAGGGTAAACCTGTTAAGTTAGTAAGAGAATCCAACTTGCATTTTAAACTACTCTTAGATTGTTAAAGGAAAAAGTGTTAAAAAGAAATCTTTTTGCTTTTATTTGAAGTGACAGCATTAAAGTATGGGTCTACTAATTAGGAACTTAATGCATTGGTCTAAGTGATCGATGGAGGTGACATGGATAAACTCATGGTAGCGTGAATACAAGAGTGGTGTCACAGTTGTATTCAATAGATGATTGAATACGCAACGTAAGATAGAAGGAGATGTCAGAAGCACATAAAAAATTTTTGTTTTGTATGAATTCATTGTATGTGAGGATATGGACAACTATTGGGAGAAAATAAGAGACAATATGATAGTGAAGAGCTCTGGTTATCTTGCTTTGAAATCTGTGTCTCTTACATTGTTTCCTTATGATCTGTTTTGTTCTGTTTTGTTATGTTTAATTTTACTTTCTTTAAAATAAAAATTTTTAAAAAGCACCAATAAAGTTTTTATTTTTCAGTATTATTATCATTATTACTATTATTATTGTTGTTATTTTGAAACAGGATCCTGCTATATAGTTCACATTGGCTTTGAACTCACTATGTAGCCCAGGTTGACCTTGAACTTGTGATGATCCTCCTGCCTCAGCTTCCCAATGCTGGGTTATAAGCATGACCACCATGGTTGGCAGTTTTTTTTTTTTAAACAATTAAGTGCATGGTGATACTCTTCATTAGGAAGTGAAAAAGAAAAAGGAGGATCTGACCAGTTACTTTGGAAAACTTTTCTTTTGAAGATGAAAGCAAGACACTTGCACATTCGATTAAAAACAGCTAACAGGAAAAATGGCCCTCAGAACACTAGAGAGGCTAAAATACGAAGCCAATGTAATTGGCTTGTTCTTTTTTTTTTTTTAGGCTTGTTCTCCCCCCCCCCCCAAATCCATTTTATTTCAAAGAGAAAAAAAATTTAATGCATCAGTCAGGGTGGGCTTATTGTTAGATACAAGGAAGGACATATCCATTGTAAAAAAAGACAGAAGTCATGGATGTTATCTGAGAAAGACACATAGATTTGGTAATAAGATTGTGTAGGCCATTTCCACTTAAATTTTATATTATTTGCAATATGAGGTTTGTTCATTTGGGTTGAAGGATGACATAGAGGAAGAATATTTAAAAATTAGAAATTGTAATGAAAACATAGGTTCAAGGAGATTACATTGATTCCAAAAATGTCATAGGATTGCTAGTCAAGAGTTAAAGGCATAATCCAGGTTCTGATCTGCCAAGTTTTGGAAATTTTTTGATCCTAGTGTTGTCATTCCTAGTGCAGATTTAGGAAAAGCAAACAATACATTCTTCTAGAGATCCACTTATGCTATTGTTTGACCAGAAATGTGAAAAGGTTGAGGATATTGATTAGAAATAATTGAAATGCTGAATATAGAAGTGGTTCATCAATGCTAGATAAGCAGAAAATACAGGAGGGCGTAGGTGGAAATGTAGAGGGGCCATTGAGTTGGAGGTGAGAGGCCACTGGATCATTGAAAATCAAAGAATTAAGAGCCCGGAGTTACATGGTTTGTGTTGTAAGCGTAGAGAAAACGACGGTACGAATTAATAGAGATTTCAGACCAAGACCTCGATCTTCAGTAAACTGATGGGGGTACAATTAGAAGAGGAAAAATGGATTATCCAGATATTTATGCTTAACTGAGCAGAAATTTTACAAGACAATACAAGAATACTAATGGTCCAGGGGCACACTGACTCACTGGCTCAAAGCCACAAAGAGTAGCAGAGAAGAATTCCCACTAGAGAGCTGAGGGGCTTTGAGGTGGCTCAGAGTGGATTCAGATTCAGTGAAAAGATCAGTGGTATAAGATTTTTTGCATGGTTTATCAAGCACAAATATATGGTTACTGAAAACTATTAAAAATGTGTATTTGTATAAAGAATGTAATGTAGATAACTTTAAAATAATATTTAATGCAACATTTGGTTCTTTAAAATTGAACTTTATTTATAATTTTGTTTTCTTCAGGATTTTTAAAAAGTAGAGATCGTGCCTATACGAAATTCTATACACATTTATCCAAAACACAGATTTTTATTCGTTTTATTGAAGAATGCAGTTTTGTGAGTGATAAAGATACTGGATTGGCATTTTTTGATGACTGCATTGAGAAGGTAAAAACTTATCTAATATATGTTAAGAAGAAACAGATTGGCTTACCTGTATAATAACCTTTCTCTTTCTCTTTCTTATCATCATTTTCATCATTCTTTGTACAAAATAATATGATGACAGTGTAAGGCCGTGTGTGTGTGTATGTGTGTGTGTGTGTGTGTGTGTGTGTGTGAGAGAGAGAGAGAGAGAGAGAGAGAGAGAGAGAGAGATTCTCAGCTTAATAGAAAAATCATTTTCTTTTGTAGTATCTAGTTTCTGCCTCACATAATTAATGTTTTTCTGTGAATCTCACTTTGGTTTTGATTTCCTTAAGCTTCCTAAATCTTACATTTTTTATTTAAATGAATAAGATATGATTTAATTATGTTTTTGTTTTTGTGGTAGTGCAGATTGAACTGAGCACCTTGCAATGTTACTTCCATCCTTTTATTTTTTATTTTGTGAGTCTCACTAAACTGTCCAGCATGGCCTTGAACTTGCAGTCCTACTCAGCCTCCAGAATAGCTGGGATCACTGTGTCTGGCATGATTTGGTTTTATACATGTTTTCTACTTGTTTTTTTTTTTTTTTTTTTTTTTTGCAGTGCTAAGGATGAAACCCAGGGCCTGACACGTGCAAAGCAAATGCCCTACAATTGTGTCACATCCACAGCCCTGAGATTTTTTTTCAATTAAAAATATTTAGTTTTATTGGTAGCGGAAGTTTTGTATTTTGTTTTAATGTCTTTTCAAATACTTTTGCTAATGTATTTCTTCCATCCTCATAAAAACTATTTGGAAATGCCGAATGTTAAATTTTATAGCTTCATTACTCATCCCAAGGAGGTGTGAATTGATCTCGAACAGTGATGCCTTGCTTATATTTTTTTCCTTATTTTTAATCTGGTTTTTATTTTTGCTAAGTATATCTTTTTTTTTTTTTTTTTTTTTGCTAAGTAGGTCTTGTGACTAATTGTTAATATGAACTGTATATTACTTAAAATTTGGGATCATATCCAAAAAGGTAGAATGTTGTGTTTTAATTTTTACAGGCCCTAGATAGATGGAAGGAAATACCCATTAAAAAAAAGACAGAAATGATAGTTGAGAAAGATTCATAGATTTTGGGGTGAGATCATGGGTTTTATTTTCTTTGCAATATAAGATGTGATCATTTCATATACCTTAGAAGAATTAAATGGTTTTTTTCATTCTGTCTAAAACTCCAGCTATAATTGTTTGGCATTTTTGTTTGTTATAAAGTTGATATTCCTATATCTTCCAGTTAGAAGCTTAAGTCATATCAGTCACTAATGCAGGAGTTTAAGTATAATGAATTTATTTAAAAAGCCAGGTTACTCTTGTGATTGGTTGTCTTTTGTTTGTGAATAAGGCTTTTGAAAGAACTTATCAAACTAAAATTGTTTTCTGTTATGTTAACCATGAGACAAATACTATGCTTCAGTTTCAAGCATAGGACCTAAAAATATATTATGGGATATTTTGTATCTGCTTGGTTCTGAAAAAAATAGTTGTGTTTTTTTTTTTTTAAATTGAGTTTTAAGATAAAAATCTCCATTAAATTCACAGTGCACATTTTCACTAAGAATTTTGTTTTTTCTTTTGTAGTTATTTCCTGATAAAGGCACAGAGAAGACAGATAAGGTATTTTTTTTAAATGTAAGTGTTGCAATTTTAGTATTAGCTTTTCCTTATACACAGGTTAATTGGAGAATATAATTACTTTCAGGTTGATTTTGAATCATCAGAAGATACTAAATTGATAGAACTCGATGACTCACAGAAGAGTGAGCACACTGTGTATATAATGCTACCTGAGCAGCCTACTGATGATGGAAAGGACCTGTCCCTAAAGTACAGGTAGCAAAAAGTCTAAGAGTTGCTTGGGCACTGATTGGATAGTTTAATCCAATTTTCTGTTATTATTAGTAGATATATATATTAATTCAGTGAACTAAGAGAGATAAGTATTATATGGAGATGCCACAGGTACTGTAATTGAAGAATTAGATGGTCTTATTAGAAAGCAAGCCAGATATTAATCATTATTCACCTAAACATATAACCATATTTTACTCTTTAAAAGTTTCAATTCAGAAGAAGGAAAAATTAACTTTTTGTGAGGCTTCTCACTGCCTTTGGGAATTTTACAAATATGAATACTCCAAAATTCTTATTAGTTAGTAAGATAGGGAAAACTTAAAGCAGAGAACTAGGAATCATCCTTTGATAAAATAAACCTGAAGAACAGAATCTGCATGAGAATCCTTTAAGAAATTAGAATAGTTGTTACTAGAATCATGATACATACATAGTTCAGTAAACTTAGGAAAACCAAACAAGTACTCTTATGCATCCTTTTAATACCACTACATCTTTTAATAGCTATGCATGTATGTGTGTATCATGTGAGTTCATGTTACACATATTCTTTGTAACCTTAAATGGCCTGCAAATTTTTGTGTGCCATTAAATTTTTTGTCACATAATTTTTAATGATTATATTGCATGCAATTATGAGTTATTTAAATAATTTCTTGTGTAATTGTAGTTCTTTGCTATGGGTAGTTTTATGAACATGTACAAAATTTGGTCTGTAAAAGAATTCCTATAAAGTGAAATAAAACAAGTACCTTCCTAAACTATAGAATTAATAGAACTAATGTATAATCTGAGCAGAACTACATAAGAATGATGAGGATAGATCTGGAATTAAGTAGCTTAATTAGGGAGATTTAGCTCAGTGGCCCAAGTGCTTGCCTGGTAAGTGCAAGGTTGTGAGTTCAATTCATGGTACCAAAAAAAAAAAAAAAAAGCTTAATTAAAAGCTCTTTTAATAGGAAATTGTTTTAAACTTTGGTTTTAACTTTTTAAATTGAAAATTTGGAGCTAGGCGTGGTGGTACCTTTAATCCCAGCACTCTGGAGGCTGAGATAGGAGAATTGTCCCAAGTTCCAGGCCAGCCTGGGCTGCATAGTGAGTTCAAGGCCAGTCTGAGCTACACAGCAAGACCCTGTCTCAAAAAACAAACAAATGCAAAGTTACAATTTGGTATTGGCACACAAGGATTGAGTAAGGAAAGGCAGTATCACCTAGAAAAAATTGGTCAAAGAAAATAAATGGACAGTTTCCAAAAAGAAAACTGAAGTCTGTAATATGAAGCAATATTCAGTTTATTTAGTATGTAAAGAAATGCAGACCACACTGATAAGGAGAGAAGCATTTTCACCTATCTGTATGAGAACAGGTTATGTTACCAAGTAAAGTATGTATTAAATAGAATCAGTCTGGACATAATTTGATAGTTACTATAATTTTAATTATCTTAATGAACATTGACTTAAAATGCTGTTACTAGGTATTTATTCTAGGAAATTAAATGAAAGTATCCACAAAGATATTCATATAAAGATATTTGATTGGGCTGGGGATTTAGCTCAGCAGCAAAAGTGCCTGCCTTGCAAGCACATGGTAGTGAGTTTGATCCCCAGTACAGATAAAAAAATAAAAAATTTTAAAAAACACTTAATTGCAGAAATTTAGAAGTAACAATAATGTCCAACTAAGAAATTTGTTACATAGTACGTGCCTGACATAAAAATACAATGCTTCTACTATTAAATATCAATTCAAAATAATTTTATAAAACCCAGGTGTAGTGGTGCATCCCTGTCATCCCAGCACTTGGGAACCTGGCTCAGAATAATCGCTGTGAGTTTGAGGCCAACCTGTTCTATGGAGAGAGTTCAAGGCCAGCCTAAACCATATAATGAGACCCTCTCATAAAACAAAAAAGAAAAAAATTTATGAAGACTTAAATGTTACATACCAAATATTTCACTTAATATAAATTATCATTAAACATGGATTTTTTGATGATTAATTAATCTGTTAAATATGTGAGGGATTTGTTTTCTAGATATTGGTTGAAAATAAAGGGGGTGGTGAGAAGCCACTTCCATGTAGATGGTTTACATAACTGATAGATAATTGTAATATATTTTTGAAATCATCTAAGGACTTTAAAGAATACTATTGAGTACTCTTTGAGGGTTAAAAATATTTACTTAAGTACTAAAATAATATGAACAGTTAATGTATTTTAAATCAGCAGTTCTATGTTTTGCTTTTTATTTTAGTTACAAATACTTTCCACGACTGGATCTTAAACTTTTTGACAGACCACAGGAGTTGAAACTTTGTTTGAGTAGACACCCTACTGGGAACAGCATTACAAACAGTCCAGCTCTCATGGCTAAAAGAACTAAACAGGTCAGATATTCTTTATCTAATGCATGTCAATTTAGAATGTAAAATATGTATTTGTGCTATGTATTTATAGTATAAAATTAATCACTCACTGTAACCACTCGAAGATCCATTTTGTTGTTTGGAATTTTAACTAGATTTCTTGTAACCCTTCATAAATACTGAGTGCGAAACTTCTAAATGTGAAAGTTTATGCTTTAAGGACTCTTCGGGAATTAAATATACTTCTAAAAAACTATTTGGATAGAATTCACATACCATAAATGTACCTATTTAAAGTAAACAATGCAGTGGTATTTGGTATTTCCACAGGGATATTCAGTCACCACCATGGTTAGTTTTATTTATTTATTGAGACAAGGTTTTGCCATGTGTGGGTCAGGCTGGACTTGAACTCACTGTATATCCCAGGCTGGTCTGGAACTTGTTGCAGTTCTCTTACCTCAGCCTCTCAGGTGCTGGAATTACAGGCACATGCCATCATCCTTGGGGGCCACGGTTGATTATATCTTATTTTTTTCCAAATCCATTTTGTTTCAAAGAGAAAAAAAAATTTCAGTACGTGTCAATCATGGGGCAGAAGGGTACATACATTACACATTGTCATCCCCAAATCATTCACCCAGAGCACATCTGTATTCAGTTGTTCAATATCAGCACAAATCTTTCTCTTCAAGGAACTTAGAGAAATCAGTAGTACAACTCCATTGTAGAAAAATACATCTTTTTTTATCCATTCCTCAGTTGATGGGCATTTCTAAGATCTAGCTATTATTGTGCTGCTGTGAACATGGGGCACATTTATCACTGTGGTTTGATGTTCTTAATTCTTTTGGGAAGATACCCAAAAGGGGAGTACCTGGGTGGAGTGAGACCTATTGTCCTAGTTTCTTGAGGAATCTCCACACTTCTTTCCACAGTGGTTGCACTAGTCTACACTTGCACTAACAGTGAAGAGTCCTTTTTCCCTACAGCCTTTCTAGCATTTGTTATTTGTTGATTTCTCAGGGGAGGTGGAATCTCAGTGTTGTTTTAACTTGCATCTCTCGAATGACCAATGATGTTGAACATTTTTTCGTATGTTTATTTGCTGTTTGTATTTCTTCATCTGAGAGGCATGTGTTCATCTCAAATGCCCATTTTTGGATTGGATCTTTAAATCTGGGAGTACAGACTTTTTTTGAGTTCTTTAAATGTTTTCGATAGTAATTCTTTATCTGAGAAACAGCTGGCAGACATTTTCTCCCACGTTGTGGGCTGTCTCTTCACCTAGTTGGTGGTTTCTCTTGTTGTGCAAAAGCTTTTCAATAGGGCGAAATCTCAGTTGATTCATTGTGATAGTTCCTGTGCAATCAGAGTTTTGCTCACAAAGTCTTTGCCTATACCAGTCTCAAGAGTTTTACCTACTTTACTTTCCAGCAGATTTCATGTTTCTGTCATAATATTTAGGTCTTTGATCTGTTCTGAATTTAGTGGAGCTCATGATGAAAGATACGGATCGATCAGTCTTCAGCATATGCCAGGCCAGTTTTTCCAGCATCATTTATTAAAGAGGCTGTCTTTCTTCCAGTGAATTTGTCTGGCACCTTTGTCAAAAACAAGTTGGCTTAGTGTGTCTAGAGTGGTTTCTGTATCTTCTAATCTTTTCCATTGATCTTTGGGTCTTTTTTTTTTGCCAGTACCACACTGTTTTTATCACAGTAGCTTGATAGCATGATTTCAAGTCAGGGATTGTGTTGCACCCTATCTTGTCTTTGTTGCCTAGGATTGCCTTTGCTATTTTTAGGTCTCTTCTGGTTCTAGACCACAGTTAATTTTAGAGCATTTCATTACCCAGAAATGAAGCCCAAATTCTTAAACCATGAATCCCCATAATTTTGTGTCCCCCACAGCCCTAGGCAACTGGTAACCTGTTTTCTCTCTAGCTTTGTTCCAGGAATTTTGTAAATGGAATTGTACAATATGTGTTCCTTTGTGATTGGCTTTTTTCACCTAGCATTATGTTTTCAAGGTCCGTATACTTTTTAGCATATAGCAGTTCTTCATTTCTTGAAGAATACTACTCCATTTTATAGATACACTGCATTTTGTTTATTCATGGGCATGTAGGTGATTCTTGCATTGTAGCTATTATGAATAATGCTGTTGTGCCCCTTCATGTACAGGTGTCTGTGTGGATGGATGTGATCATTTCTGTTGGGAATAGAATTATTATGTCACGTAGAAAGTCTGTTTTCCGAGGTGGCTGCATCGTTTACATTCCTACCAACAGTGAGACTTCCAGCTCACCATGTCCTTGTTAGTTCTTGTTTCCTGCCTTTTTGATTATAGCCAACTAATGGGCATAAAGTGGTGTCTTATTATGGTTTTAACTTACATTTTTCTACTGACTAATGTGAAAATACACTTTATATCTCAATTATTACATAAAGAGACTTAAAGGGAAATAACTTAGGACAGCGTACATATCTTGCTTTATTACTGTGTCTGATTTAGACATCCAGAATTAAGCTTGTTTCTATTAAAATTAAATCTCTCGTATATATGCTAACATTTTGCAATTCTTCAAAACAGAAAATTTCAGGATGAAATCTTTAGGTTTTACTAATTCTTGGATAGTCTCTAAATCCCAGAGAAACCTAAAATATTCCTTAATTTCATATAGTTTATGTTTTTTTTTTTAATGATTCTGAAGAGGAAACTAAAGTTTTTTTGTTTTGTTTTGTTTTTTTCCCGAGTCAAGGTTTCAGGGCCAGAGATTTAGCTCAGTGGCATAAGTGCCTTCCTGGCAAGTGTGAAGTCATGAATTCGAGCTTCGGTACCCACCCCCCCAAAAAAGCTGCCTGAGACAAGGTTTCATTATACAGTTCAGGTAGGCCTTGAGCTCACAGTGATCTTCCTGTGTCAGTTTCCTGAGGGCTGGGATTATAGGCGTGTACCACCTGTGTGGCAAGAATTTTTAAAAACAGTGACCTGTTCAATGAAGACAGTTTTCTAAAATGGAATAATTGTACTACTCAGCCTCTAAATCTTACTTTTGGCAGAATTGCTTTTTTCATCTGAGTAGTTTTTATTTTATTTTTAAAATTTATTTTAAAGGAAATAAAGTAATAAAATGGAACCAAACAAAACAATGAGAATAATATTGGATTTCAAAAGCAAGACAGAAGGAAATTCCCCATAGTTGCTATATTGCATATTGTTATCCTCTAGATACTGGCTTTAGGCCTTGCAAGGTCAATCATACAATTCAAGCATTAAGCTGTTTTTGTTGTTATTTTTTGTACTTTAGTTGCTATCATCTAAGCCTGTGTTCCTCCAAGTCAGCTGATTGATTATGGCGAGGGAGTGGCTCACCAGGAGGGCATGGCTTGACTTCTTGGTTCTACTCCTGGCCCATGACTGTATTTGAAGTTTTTAGTACAAGCTGTGTATTAAGATTACTTTCTCCGGGGCTGGGGATTTAGCTTAGCGGCATAAGCACCTGCCTTGCAAGCAGGCAGTCGTGAGTTCGATCCCCGGTACCGATTAAAAAAAAAAAAAGATTACTTTCTCCTTCATTTTCTGAGTTGTTTCTTCCTTTTATTTGTCCTTATCCTTTTCTGCCTGGGAAGATGTGGCTTTCTGTTCCAGGATCTTTTTGTTTTCACTGTCAAGTTTTAGCCTGGTGATAACCACCCTGCTGGGATCAGTGTACACAGGACAGTTACATGATTAGTCCATTCAGTAGATATGATACTTTTTTTTTTTTTTTGTAAACCTGAACTGTTTTGCCAGTCTGCTGATGTGTATATTATACAATCTGAACTTCATCATCCTTTTAGGTGGGCAGAGAACAAATAGCATACTTCTGTCTCTGCTTTTTGGAAAAAATGGAAGACATGATCTTCCTGAAAACCTAGGAAGGTGCATTAAAAATGTCTTTTACAATTTTTGAAGTCACAAAGGAATTGAACTCCATATTGGCTGCTATTGTGGCAGTCCAGTAATGACTGCACAGAGAAAGATTGTTTTCTCCTGAGGCTAGCTTGGAAAGAAAGCCTTTAGATCTTAGGAAAACAAGGACATACAGTTTCAGATGTATTTTCAAATTTCATAGAAGAAAAAGAAGTTAGTATATCAATATTTTTTAATTAAGAGTACATCTCAGTACATTAATTTGTAGTGCAAGGCATACAAGGCATTTCTGGCACAGTGTATTGTTTCTCAGAGTATATAGTTTGATAAATTATCAGTGTATGATTTTAATACTTAATCTTTGTCCACTCAGTCACAATGAAATTCAAAAATAGAAAGTGTGACTATCAAACTAATAGGAAGGTGTTTAATTATTTTGAGACTCTATGGCCACAAAGGAATGTCTTCCAGGAATTAGAGAATTAGGACACTGTGGCTGGGTGGAGGAGGGCAGAAGGAGGTGATATGAAGAGTGAAAATCTCAGCAAGCAGTATTCTAGAGTATCTTGAGCTTCAGCAGGGAGAAGAATAAGAACATTGCTTTTCCAGAGTAGGGTAGTAACTTTATAATGTGATTGATGCCTGTAATCCCAGCACTCAGGAGACTGAGGCAGAACGATCACCTTCAGTTCAAGGTGAGCCTGGGCTACAAAGTGATTTCAAGGCCAGCCTGAACTGCCTAGTGAAACCCTCTCTCAAAAAGACAAAAAAAAAAGATAGTAGATTTACCATAAACATATATTAATCATAAATGAGTAAACTTACTGTGTATGTGGTTTCAGTATCCTTTTATCTATCAAGCATAAGTGCCTTCTCTATGAAAAGAATCTGATTAACCATTATATTACAAAATTATTAGTGATATTTACTCTTAATGAATTTGTAATTTATTTGAAGACACATATTTGTTAACAAATAGTTGCAGAATAGGATAAAGTAGTATTTCAGTAAATAAATGTTTAGGAAACTGTATGGCATTAAGCAGGAAGATACTTGTAAAACTGAAATACTTGATTTTAGGATCAAATTTTTTATTAATTTTTCTTTCCCTTTTCCTTTCCCCAGTCCTAATGGATTGTATTAGATACTATAATATTTTTATTTATCCTCTTTCTAGGAGATAAAAACAGCTCATAAATTGGCAAAGAGATGTTACACAAATCCACCACAATGGGCAAAGTATCTGTTCAGTCATTGTTACAGTTTATGGTTTATTTGTCTCCCAGCCTACATTAGAGTTTCTCATCCTAAGGTCAGAGCACTTCAACAGGCATATGATACGCTTATTAAGATGAGGAAAACAGATGTGGATCCACTAGATGAGGTAAGTATAATAAACTGATTAACTGTTAACAAGTACTAATTTTGTACTTTTGAGGAAATTTAGGTTTAGTTACTTTAAATTGTGCTCAAATATTTTTCATTTCTCAAGAAAGGTGCTCTCTTGTAGAGCTATTTCATATTGTCATCCTAAAATACATTTATTAAAAGCTTACTGCTTTAAAATAAAGCAAAGACCTCCTTACTTGAGCCAAATGGTTTGCCCTTGATGAATAGAACATAATATTTTGTCTTACTAATATAGATTTATTAAGGAATGAGTTAGGGAATAAGCTTTTTCCAGGTAGCTCTTTTTTTAGGGCAGTGTGCTAAGGTGAGTTGTGTAACCTGCCTGTGTTTTAGTCATCTGAAAATTTAACTCTAAGTTTCCTAACTTTGGCACTGTTGACATTTGACCCATGTAATTAATTATATTGGGGCCTGACTTGTAGATAGCAGAATGTTTAGCAACATCCCTGGCCCCAACCCAATAGATATCAGTAACATCCCTTCTCCCTTTATAGGTCATGACAGTCAAAAATACCTTATTGCCAAATGTCCTCTGGATAACAAAATTTCCCCTGGAGAACCACTGATGTAGGTAATAGTCATTAGTACCTTCCTTATAAGATTGAAGGTTAAGCTAAGTGAAATAAATCAAATACAGAAGGTAAACTGGTACATGATTTCTCTTAAATGAGGAACCCAAAATGTAATTTAAATAGCAAAATAAAAGAGGTTTGGTAGGAAACAGGGAGATAGACTTTGTGGAGAGGGCAAAGGAATCTGGAAAAGAAGGGAGAGGAAAGGGTGGGGGAGGGTTTAAAAATAAGATGCTATAGTATGTGTTCCCAAGATGAATGCAATTACTATGTATTGTAAACATACTCATAATGTTTAAAATATTAAAGGTTAAATAAATTGATATATTTAAAATACCTGGCTCATGGTAAGCACCCAATGAATCATATGGTAGACATTTTCATGCATTCTCTCTTATACCTAAGAGAACCATCCTGAGAGCAGGTACTACTGTCATCCAGTTAGTAGTGAGGAAACTGATTTAACTTTTCAGTGAGCACTGAGGTAGCTTTTCTCTTTGTTGTTTCGTCCTTTAGAAATTATTTTTGGTGCTAAGGTATAAATATGCTATAAATATCTAGTACCAGATTAGAATTTAAAATGAAAAGTTTTTGCTAATAATACTACAATGTATTTAATTTTTTCATGCTAGAGTATGAGTTTACAAAATAGTTTGTTATATAGGAATCTTGGAGCGACTGGATTTAATATTTTGACATAGAATATAAAGCATAGTGCTTAGAGAAGGATCTCTTTCAATCATATATGATTTTAGAAATGAATTCTTTCTCAAGTTATGGATAATAACAGTCTTTCTATTTGTGTAGACTTACATACTCCAGCAAACAAGACATGGTCACATAGGTTGTTCGTGAAGTAATAATGCTAATCAATAGGTTTTTAAAATAATTTACTAAGATAAACTAGAAAGGTAAAATGGCACTTAATAATTTTATTTAAAAAATTGAATAAAGTCTTAAAAACTTTCAAGTCACAGAACACTTTGCTGACCATTAATGCTCTGGTGTGATTTCTTGTTAGGTGTGCTATCGAGTGGTAATGCAGCTTTGTGGACTATGGGCTCATCCTGTTTTAGCAGTGAGAGTCTTATTTGAAATGAAAACTGCTAACATAAAGCCAAATGCTATTACTTATGGTTATTATAATAAGGTGAGTAGGATTGACATTAGGGATATACACTGCTTATTAAGAATGATAATTTTTATAACATTTATTCACAAGAGTTTTCTTAGAAGAAATCCAGGGAAACATAACTTTTTTTCTCCCTTGATTGACAAAAATTGTCTAGATTGTCTTAATACACACACTTGTAATCCAAGCAGTCTGCAGGTCTGAGGATTGACAGTTTAAGCCCACTTTGGACAATTTACTGAGACTCTGTTTTAAAAAACAATAGTGCTGACAATATATCTCACTGTGAAAGCCTGGGTTCAGTCCTTAGTACTGAAAAACAAAACACAACAGAACAAAACAAAAGAAAACAATTATAATCCAGGTGTGGTGGTACATGTCTGTCATCCCGCTACGTGGAGGCAGAAGCAGGAGGTCCACAGATTTAAGGCCAGCCTTAGCTACATGTTGAGAGTATATCTCAAACAGTGAAAGACCAAAACAAATGTGTGAGGTACAACATGATGTTTTGAAATACATATACAGTGATACCTCAGTTTATGAACTTAATTTGTTTTACAATTTTGAGGAAGATGGCCGAGTTTGTGTTTGTGTGGGGAAGATGGCTATGGTCATGTTTGTCATCCAGTGCAAACAGAAGCAAAATTTTGACAGATGCTGTTGTTCACGAAACAAATCATTTGCAAACAGAAGCATTAGTAAACTGGGGTTTTACTGTACATTATACAAAGGCTCATTCAAGCTAATTGACAACTGTGTTCTCATTTTTTGTGGTGACAACACTTAAATTCTACTCTCTTACTGGTTTTCAAAGTATAGTATGTTATTACTATTGTCTTCATGTTATAAAATAGAGCTCTCTTGAATTTATTTCTCCTAAGTAATTGAAATTTTATATCCTTTAACCAACATCTTCTCAAAGCCTACTACCCCAGAGTTCTGTAACCATCATTTTTTTCTGTGAGTTCAGTTTCTTTAGATTCTAGGTTTAGGTGAGATCATGCAGTATTTGTCTTTTTGTGTGTGGCTTATTTCGCTTAACATATCCTGGTTCATCCATGTTTAAAGCTGAGTAATACTCTGCTCCTGTATCTTAAACTTGTAGTCCTCCTGCCTCAGCATCCAGATTAGCTGGGGTTATAGGCATGCACAGTCATGCCCACCTGTGTTGTGTTTTCTTTATTAGTCATCATGGATGGGCACTTAGGTTGATTCTGTATCTTGGCTGTTGTGAATAACACTGCAACAAAAATGGGAGTGCAGAGGGCTGTTTGAGATGCTGATTTCATTTCTTATGAATATATATCCAGTAGTAGGGTTACTATATTATATGGTAGTTCTTATTTTAATATTTTGAGGACCCTCCATACTGGTTTCTGTAACGACTATATCAGTGGTGGCAAACCGACAGCAGGCATGCTATAGCTGGCTGTTAGTTATCACTGAATGCTCTGAAAGGTTCTCCATCCCTGAGATACACTAACACACATTTGACCAAGTGTTCAAGAGTTTCCTTTTCTCCAGATTCTTGCCTACATTTGTTATCTTTCTTTATTATAATACCCATTTGTAACAGATGTGAAGTGAGATTTAAGTTTTGTGTTTCTTTGATGCTGAGTGTGTTTTCCATCTACAATTGATAAGTTGATTAGCACAATTCTTTGTGTCCCTGTGTGTTGACTCTATTATTGATCTTTTGAAGGAAGGCTTGAAATACTAATAGCACCAAAAAAGAAAATCACGTTCTTTTACACAAATGTGTATGTGTATATATTATTTTTAAAATCAGATATTCCTGGTAAACATTTATTTTTACTTTTATTTTACCTTTAGGTAGTTTTGGAGAGCCCGTGGCCTACAAGCACTCGTAGTGGTATTTTCTTATGGACGAAGGTACGAAATGTGGTACGTGGCTTGGCCCAATTTAGGCAGCCACTTAAGACCATACAAAAGTCACAGGTCTCCTCAATATCAGGTAATGTAAATGACTGAAGAGATAGTTTATCTTTGAACCAAAGTTTTATAGGGATAAGAAGTTTTAATTATACAAAGTAAAAGACAAAAGAAATTTTGGTTGATATTTTCATACATAACTAAAATTATTTTAGTCCAAAATTATTTCTGTTACTATAATTTTTAGAAACTTAGAAAGTGTTCTATAAGTGAGCTGTGGGTTATACTTGTTTATGTTCAGATTTCCTGGGCATGAGTTACTGAACTTTGTCGTCCTTACCTTTAGCTCCTCAGCAGCCCGCAAGTGGAAGTGATGGGGACACGGCAAGCCGCGGGAGCGTGGATAGTTCTAACGATGCTAACAGTGGGGAGCACGCAGTCTTCGTCAGAGACTTAGTCAGGCTTGATTCCATTGGTAATCACTCTAGCGCAGGTACTAAAATCTGGGTTTTACTAACTCCTCACTTTCTATCATGTTAAATCTTTTCTTTTTTATTTTCCAAAAATTTTGTCCTCCCTGAGTTTGTGCAATATGAAATACTTTTAAAGTAGTATTTGTTAGTAAGGGAAGAAATTACACTTCTATACCTTTTTAAAATTTTTAATAGTATAAAATTAACTTGGAATACTGCTCTAGTGTATAGCGTAGTGTTTCTCTGTATTTGTTCATCATTAATTTGTGAAAGTATATAGTATAATCATTAATGAACCTCATCATTAGTGGTACAACTCACAAATCTTGTTTTCATTAAATGAAAAATACGTGTTACGACTTTCAAGGTTATGAATATTGAAAGGAGAAAATAAGTCATGCAACATTAGAAAGAAAGGTTACCATTTCTTTAAAGGCCATACTGTATGTGTATTTTAAAATCTGAGAAGTTACTTGTATATACATAAGCATGGGCATTACCTCTGTCTTCTAAAGTTAGAAATAAGTGTAATTAAAGTAAAACATTGGGCAGATACATGTGTGTTGCACATCCTTCTGTTTGTGTTGTTTCATTGTTGTGGTTGTCCTTAGCATCTCAAGTCTTCTGTAAAAAGAATTCTAATTCCTGTGCTTCATCTGAAGGACTTGTCTCAATGACTGAAGTTTCCTTTTCTCTGCTCTTTGTTGCTCTGCTTTTGCTCTGTGCTGTTTCTTGGTGCTGCATTTGTCCTTGGCTGTCATGGTGTGGGTGCAGACAGACTTTTATGACATGAAGCTATGGAAACACGTGTGCATTAATTCTGCCTTTGAATATTAACCACTTCAGGTAATTTCCTATTTATTAGGTTAAATTTTGCTGACATACAAGGGTGGGGGAAGATACTTTATTGTATTTTAAATATTACTACAAGTGGAAAACAATTTTTAGTTTCATGACTTTTTTTCCCCTCGATAATTGTACATAGTCTTTTTTCTTTTCTAATTTTTATTTTTATTAATACATATTTGCAGTGCATGATTATATTCATTGTGGAGAATTGGTGCATGTACATAGCACATCTTTATTCTTTCTTTATTATCTTCCCCTCTGCTTACTGTCCCCTCCCTCCTCCTCTCCTTTCCAAAAGATCTGTCTCCCTGTCATAAGTAGTTTCTTATGAAAATACCTAACATTTTATGGTCAGTTTGCAGAACATATCTATCTTACTTGAAAATATGCCCTGCTATCATTCTTGGTTTGAGTTTGGTTAATAACATCATTACTTTATATAATACTATGGGCACTAAAGAATTCATTATTCTAGCTGCTGAGGCACTCATTGCCTTCTGAATAATAGGCATATGTATAAATCATTGAAGTCAACATTAGGCTGGAGGGTTCAGTCTTGTTTGTAATTAACTTCAAAAATATTCAGTCATGCTTATAAATGGGATGTTTATGAGACTTTAATTTTAGCTATTTTATTTTCTTTCAGTAATTTTTTCTAATTCTTTAGAAGAAATGCTTGCTATATGGGAAAAAAAGAAGAAAGTAATTTTGTGGTTTGAAACTAGTTTACCAAGAATAATAATGATAATATGAGACAAAACTCCTTTGACTCTTATTCCTAATTTTTTTTTTTTGTGAGTAGGATAATTTATTGGGGAATAGTTCTGAGAGATGGGAGGAGCCTGAATGGATTGCCCTATTCCTCTGTATTTTTAAGCTTGTCTCATTATAAAGGTAATTTGAAAGAGTCTTCCATTAATTCCATGTAATTGATGTAAGGATCCTAATCAGTAGTTACAAAGAACTTTTGGATTTCTTTTTTGTATATTTTAAGCCCCTTGAAAGGGGGTGTCTTGATATGTTGTCTTGAATGCAGTCTTCTCACTTGAGCCTGCCGAGGGGCTGGGATTAGTGGCGTACGCCATTGCATCCAGTTATAGCAGTGTTTCTAATGACTGAGCCCAGACCTTGATGTTACAGTGGTTATCAATCTCTAAACTTCCAGTGATAGGTTAGGTCTTCCAGCACAGATGTTTAGGTTGGTAATATCACTAAGGATTATCTTACGGATTATCTTTCCATTTGCTACTCAGTATTGAGTCACCCACCTTATTTGAGAAATATCTAAATTTAATCAGTTTACTGTGCTCCCAGTCTGTTGCCCATTTCCTGGCGCTATGTATATACTTTCTGATAGAGCCAATAAAAACACAACTGAAGTTCATTATTCTAAATAGTAATATTTAGAGACATTTAATTTTTTTACATGATAAACCTAAAGTCTAGATGGCAGTGTAATAAGTTGTAGAAAGCAGAATGTATATTTTATGTCTTTCATTCATAACTTTATTCTTAGATTTTTAAATTACAGAACTTTAAAACCAAAATGAATTTTTCAGAAATCTTATTTTAAAATAATATCAAACATACAGGAAAGCTACAAAAATAATTTAGAAGACTATTGTATATCTTTTATCTAGATTCACCACATTTTTAGTTTTCTACTTTTTTTTATGATTTTTATCATTTATTTTTCCTAGATCATATGAACAGGTTACATACATTTTGCCTTTTATCATCTTAGTGCTTCAGTGATATTTTCTTTTGATACGACTATAGTTTAGTAACTAAATTCAGCAAAACATGGATGTACATCATAATCTATAGTGTATATACCACTTTTGTCAATTGTTTTAGTATTTTCTATTCTACTTTAATCTCCACTAACTTTGGCACAGTCCTTGCTTTTATCTGTAATGACTGACCTTTTTGAACTGAATACATTTTTTTTTCTCTTTCTTTCTTTTTTTTTTTTTTTTTTGTACTGGGAATTTAACTCAGGGTCTTGCGCTTGCCAGGCAGGCACTTATGCCTCTGAGCTATGTCCCTGGCTGATGTTGACCTTTTTGAAGAAGTCATTTTGTTCATTTTGTAGAATATTGCTTAATTTGAAATAGTCTTAATATATATGATTAGGTTAGGTTGTGAATATATCTGCATACTACAGATACGATGTTGTTTCCTTCCTAGTTTATCATATCCTAGAGGCAAACATTATCTGTCTCTTAGTAATGTTAGTTTTGATCTCAGTATAGTGTGATTTCTCTGTACATTGTTAATACCTTATCCCTTGAGAATGATTATCTGCAGGAGGACACTGAGATCATGTGTTAATAAGCTCTTTATTGTGCTCTTAAATTTAGTATCCATTAATGTTTGCCCTAACTAATCTTTTATTCTGATGGTTAAAAGCAATTCATTTTCACATTTAGAGGATGGCATTCTAATGTATGAAAGAATTTCCCTCCCCTATTTTTTCTAATTTGATATCAGCATGGCATTATGGATTATTATTTTACACTGTGAATCTGTAAACTAATACTGACCCTCAGATTATCCCAGTGTTGGCCAGTAAGGGCTTCTTTAAGTGTCCTTTAGATACGCTTTGATGATGTTTATGAACACTTTTCTGGTATAGCGAATTATTCTTGGTTCAGTTTCATACTTTCCCTGACTCAGCCTTGAAATCAGCCATTTCTTCAAAGATCTTACATTTCCTTTAACAGGGAATAGATTTACTTATTTACTTACTTATTTGTCTATTTATCTATTTATTTTTCAGGTTGGGTCTTGCTATGTAGTTCAGGCTGGCCTTGAACTCACCACGTAGCCCAGGCTGATCTCAGACTCAGGGCATTTCTGTTTTAGCCTCCCAACTGCTGACTTACAAGCATGTGGCACCATGGCTAGCGAGAATAAATTTTAGAACTGGGTCTGGGTCAAAGTTGTATTCAGGGTGTTAACTTCTTTTTTTTTTTTTTTTTTTTTTGTTAACTTCTTATTGATTTAATACAGCTGGACTGTGTGTGTGTGTGTGTGTGTGTGTGTGCGTGCGTGTGTGTATTTTAGAAATACAATATCTCTGATTCCAAAGCAGATTCACTAAGATTCTTTTACCTTTTTCAATTCATTCAAAAAATAAAAATCTGCTAGTTGTAGTAGTACATGGTTGTAATCTAAGGTACTCCGGACACTGAGGCAGGAGAATGCCTAGTTCAAGGCCATCCTAGGCATCTTAGTGAGGCCCTGACTTAAAATAGAAAGTATAAAAAGGTTGGGACTATAGTTCAGTATGAAGCCTTAAGATCAATTTCCATTACTGGAAAAAAATAATAAATCTGTCTTTCCGACCTAATAAGATTATAGTCAAATAATAAAAATACTGTCTACCAACAGCACCATCACACTCACTCATTGGCTTAGTCCTGCAGTATAAGTAATTTCAAAATCATCATACCCATCCCCCTGTGAGGAATAAATACTCACAAGTTACTTGGATTAGTTTTCTTGTGACCTTTTCAGTGTTACATTATTTCAGTGTCATATTATTCCATATGAAATACAGTTGGCTTCTTTTGCATTGTTTTAGCTCCCTCTATATGGTTGATTAAATTTTTTGAATATGTAGAAATATATCACCAAAAAAAGCACAATAAAATTCTTAATGAAGTTTCTTCCCTATTTTTCCATCCTATTTTCCTTCAGTCTTTGTAGGTAACCATTTTTATCATTTTCTAATTTACCATTCTTTTCTTTCTTTGTCTTTTTTTCTCACTTTCATTGCCTTTTCTTTCTCACTGAATAGATAGCAATCTGTAGACATTGAAGAGTATCTGTAAATTGTTACCTTTTGAAAACATCTTACCCAAATCTCTTTCAATTTACAGATAAGGAATTTTAAAGTTCACTATTTTCAAATGTGGAATGGTCTATAGTCTTTGATGACCTGTTTCTACTGAAATGCTTATCACTGCTCTTAAAATAGCTGTACCTGTGAACCCTATTTTTTCCGTTTCTTACATTTAATTGTGTAGATCAGTGGACCTCTCTTGTTTTTGTTTTTGTTGGTACCCCTGCCCCACTCCTTTTACTGTTTTTTGAGACAGCCTCTCACTATCTAGTTCAGGCTTGACATGAACTCACTGTGTAGCCCAGGCTGGCCTTGAACTCTCAGCTATCCTGCTGCCTCAGCCTCCTAAGTGCTGAGATTACAAGTGTGTACTACCATGCCTGGCTTGATCAGTGGGATTTTTTTTTTTTATTAAAAGAAATATTTATAAGCCTATGTTCTTTTCAACAGGTGGCCAGTCTGACCAAGGATATGGATCTAAGGATGAACTTATAAAGGATGGAATTCATGTGCCTGAAGAAGAAGCAGCACAAGAATTGATAACTAAAACAAAAGTGGGAAAAGAAGGTTTTGTACTGATATTTGAATTCTATTTAAAAAAATATCTATAATAATTTAAAGTTTATCTTGATATTTGGTGCTAATTTTCAGAAATATAAATCTGTCTCATAAAATATTATGTGCTATTATTATAGTAGATTTTGATAGTCTTTGAGGTTTAGAATTTAACAGGCCTGTAGAGAATGTAGGTTGCTCTTGATTTTGGAGAAATGTGCAGTCTGCTGAGGTATGCATTTGTCAGTGTTATATGGCTGCCAAGTGACGAACCCAGGACCAAACTTTTGAGTCATCAAACCTGTTTCAATTTTTATTTTAAAATAGTTTTTCACTACTACCTTCAGATGGTTGAGTAGATGTTTTTCATTGGTGGCTTAAAAATAATGTCATTTTCCTGTTTTTCGGGGGGGGGATTCACTGAGGGATACATTATTTATTATAATTATTTGGTAGAATATGGAGAAACATTTTACTTGGTGGTAATATGATGTTTCTTTTATTCTCTTACACAAACTCCCATGTTCTTTAATGTCTTAGAATTATACAGAAACAAGTCACTCTTCTACTTGCTGAATAATGAGAAATAGAATTAAAGGCCAGAACCTTAAGTGATTTACTGACGAACACTCAAGTTAGGATTATTGAATGCTAAAATAAAGTATTTATTTGAGTCAGTACTGGTGTCACAGAAAATCAGTAATACATTATATCACCAAAAAAAATTTACGTTTACTTTGTACTTAGAAACATATACACATATGCATAAAAGTCTGTATATAGTTTCTCTTCAGTATTGTCAAAAATAATTACAATATCCAAAAATTTTTTTTCCAGAGCTATGTGAAATCTTTGCTCTTACAGCCTCTTCGCAGCCCAGTCTAGAGCCTCAGAGCCCTTTGGAACCTCCTTCGTGGGGCAGCAGCATTGTGAAAGTCCCATCTGGCATATTTGATGTCAACAACAGGAAAAGTAGTGCAGGTGAGTTTTTATGTAGTGGTTTGTTAAATATTTAGCATATATATCTGTAAATGTACGTTTGTCTTTACTGACACTAAATTGTTAACTTAGCTATAGTGAACATGCTAAAGGGCCAGAAATATGTCTGTTTCCTGTAAATGGGCCAAAGGAAAAGTTAGAACGTTGTTGTTGAAAGGTACAGTTGGAGCCATGCACAGTAGAGCCTACTCGTAATCCCAGCTGTTTAGGAGCAGAAGTGTACTGCATGTTTGAGACTTTCATGGGCAAGTTAACAAGTATCTGTCTTAAAATAAGATTCAAAAGAGCTGGTGTTATAGCTCCAAGCTCCCTGTACTTCCCTCTTCCCCTAAAATGTATCGTTGACCCTTTGTGTGCTCATCTGGCAAATCTTGGGTCAAATATTAGAGAAAATTACATCTGTATTCAATATGCAAAGATTTATTTACATTGTTTTTGGTAATTTAAGTAGTCTAATATGATTAAAAGCATGTAAGAGTATATATGTTATATTGCAAATACTATGCCGAGTTATATAAGGAACTTGAGCATTTGTGATTTTAGTATTTGTAGGGTGTCCTAGAACCAATTTCCCATGGATACACAGTGGCAGCCTATGATTAATTTATCACATAGTAGATATTTATGCTTGGTGTTTGGAATGTCTTCCCTGTTATAATTAACTGGTTTTAGTTTGTTTTGTCTCATTGTAGGTAGTGAGGGTATAGGGCCACCTATATTCAAAAAACAGGAATGATATGATCAAATTGTAGAAGGCATAGGATCAAATCCTGCATATTGGCAGGAGAATTCCTATTCTAGAAAAGGAAGAGGAAGAGTCACATCACTGTGCACAAAGATGCCACCCCGCCTAAAGAGGGAGATGCTCTTAAGGCTACTGTGGGACTTTTGTTTAATGAAACAGTGCTCTCCTACAGTTAGACTTGTGTTCTTTTATTTGCCATTGTTTTTCCTAGCACTACATATATTGAGCATTAGTAGGCATTCAGGTATTTCTTGAAGAGCTGAATATATGTGAACAAAAACGTTTATCTACTGAAGATTTTAAAAGATTTAGTCCAAGTTTTTACTTTGGACTGGTAGTGCTTTGGCTATGACAGGTGTCTAATTTCCCCATAATTACAAATTTGCTTTGTGCAGAATAGATTCCTGGCAGCTATTTCGTGTTTCATTTTGTTTTGTGTGGTGATGCTTCTGATTAAATCCAGAGCCACACAAATGAAACTGTTTGTTTAATTGGATGTATGAAAGTTAAGATTAAAAAAAAAAGTTAAGATAGAAGAGATTATTTCATTCGAGGTCTGTTATTTAACTGATAATGACTTTTTTAGTGACCTTTAAAATGTGAAAAATAAGAATAGACCTATGTTTATACATAGGAGGTAAAAGCAGATTTTACATTAAAATGTTATTTCTGGGAGGCAGAATTTAATAGGTTTCTTGAGGTTACTTGTTTTCTGTGTACCTTTTAAATTTTCTGAATTTTACTCTTTTTTGAGTAAAGGTCTCGCTATGTAGTGCAGGCTGGCCTTGGACTCACAATGAATCCTCCTGCCTCAGCTTCCTGAGCGCTGGGATTATAGGCATATGATGAATCTTGGTCTTAATATGTATCGTTTTCACAATCAGAAAATAAACCTTTTTGTATGTTATACTGGAAAATAGATTCATCTTTAATATTTACTATTTCTTTTAGGAAGCACATCAAATGTGCTATTTTCTACTCAAAATCCAGTTGAAGATACAATCTTTGATGAAGTTACAAATCTAAAGAAGAATAATGACAAAAGCGAGAAAAGACAAAAGCATTTTTCAGAGAGAAGTTGTAGTTTTAGTTCTGAAAGTCGAGCAGGAATGTTACTTAAGAAGAGCAGTTTGGATTTGAATTCAACTGAAGCAGCTGTCATGATGGGAGCAGATGCCAAGATTCTCACAGCAGCCCTGACCTGTCCTAAAACTTCTCCACTTCATATGGCAAGAACCCATAGCTTTGAAAATGTTAGCTGTCCTCTAACTGATTCCAGGACTTGTGGGTCTGAAAATGCTTGGGATTCTGAGCGCAGTGCACCTGCTGTGCTGGAGATGCTGGAGGAAAGTCAGGAGCTCCCTGAGCCTGTGGTTGGTGATCATGTAGCTGAGACTGGTCTGACAAAAGCTACGTGTGATAGTCTGCAGAACGGCAGCAACGGCAGCCAGTCCAGAGACTTGAAGCCAGCAACCGAAGGTCGCATGAATAAGAGAAACAGTTTATATGGTGTTGCTAAAGCTGTTGAGAGGGAAGATGTTGAAACTGGCCTAGATCCTTTGTCTCTTTTAGCCACAGAATGTGTAAAAGAGCAAACTCCTGATTCTGAAGATAAGATGTTCTCTCCAGTTATTACCCGTAATCTGGCTGATGAAATTGAAAGCTATATGAACCTAAAAAGTCCACTGGGCAATAAATCTTCCAGTATGGAATTGCATGGAGAGGGAAACAGAGAATCTGGCAATACTACTGCATTTATTCACCCTTTAGAAAGGAGATCCAGCCTACCTTTAGATCCTGGTCCCCCAGCAGAAGAAAATCCTGAGAGTGAAAACAGTTCCTCTGTGGTGTCTAGATCCAAAACTTTCACTGCACGCTTCAGGCACCAAACTCCTTCTCGAACGTGCAAAGATCGTTCAACTTCCTTATCAGCATTGATGCGTTCTTCACATGGCTCACTAGGTTCTGTAGTAAATTCTTTGTCAGGTCTAAAGCTAGATAATATCCTCTCGGGGCCCAAGATAGATGTCTTAAAATCCAGTATGAAACAGGCAGCGACAGTAGCCAGTAAAGTGTTGGTGGCTGTAGCATCTGCCTACAACTATTCAGATGATGAGGTAAGAAATGTTATGTGTGTGGGTCATCTGGATGTTGTTGTGCCTTTACATCTATCGATAGAATTTAGAAATTTCTGGCAACTTTGGTGTTCACGTCTATTAGTAATTGTTTTATATAGTTGGGTGCTCTGGTATTTGTTGCATATATATTTGTGACTGGTATCTCTTCCTCTTAGTTTTTATTTTAAAACTTTATATCTATTTTGGTTTTTTTGAGATGACTTGAACATACATGAAAGGAAATTGATAATGTAGAAGTAGAATATTAGGATTACTTTTAATTCCATAGATCATTCTAAAGTATTATTTCTTTGAAACTACCAATGACTCATATTTGAATAATAATGTAATAATGCCATGTTATATTTTATAGCACTTCAGTTTTTAAATAATTCTTAGCTCTGTTATCTCCTTAATATATGATATGACTCTTCAGCTTAATCCATAGATTTCGTGCTGCATTATAAAAATCATTATAAATAGAGTTCATCATTAGATCTTTTTATGAATATTATGGGAGTGTGAAATTTTTCTTTTTTAAAAAATGTTTTTCCTTGCTTTATAGGAAAATTAATTTTAATTCAGTATGAAATTTGTGGATTTACAGAATTATAAATTTATAGAACTATATAGTGTAGAGTACTTTATTCTAGAAGACAGATGTTGTAAATGTTTGCTAGTAATGTATGTTCTAGGTACTAGTATGAGCTATATGTTTTTGGATATGCCTAGGCAAAATATATATATGTTTAATTTTCATATCAGCCTTATTAAGTAGGATTATTTTTATCGTCATTTTATGGATAAATTAGATTCAGTGAGGTTAATTAATTTCCCAGGATAATACAACTAGTGAGTACCAAAGGTGAGATTTCAAATCCTAGAGATTGGCTCTGGTGTCCCTGGTTTTCACCTTAGAAGCATTGTCTTGAGGTGTAAGACATTAAAGACCAAAAAGGGGTTCAGCAAAAGTGAAGCAGATAATATATCGAGCTTTAAAGGAGGAATTTGAATTTTTGAGTTACTAAAAGCAATAAACTGGCAGAATGGAATATTTGAGATTAAGAGTCTCATGTTCTACCAACTGAGCTAGCTGGGCAATCTCCAAAATGGTAAATTTGAAAGAAAAGTGTAGGATTCTTTTTTGTTTGTTTGTACTGAGATGAGCTCAGAGCCTTGCGCTTGCAAGGCAGGTGCTGTGCCACTGAGCCATATTCCTGGCCCTGAAAGAATAGTGTAAAAGAAACATGGATTGAGAGCTGAGTGTGGTGGTGCATACCTTTAATCCCAGCACTTACGAGGCTGAGGCAAGAGGATCACCTCAAGTTCAAGGCCAACCTGGGCTACATAGTGAATTCAAGGCTGGTCTGAATTACATGTTGAGACCAAAAAAATGACTGCTTAAAACATTATACATCATTGAGATAATAATAGATTTAGATTACGAAAGCTCTAAATAGAAAACATAGATACATGAAAATAAATTGAACAAATATGATTTGTATTCTACTTGAAGGAAAACTATATAGGCAAAATACTATTTTAAGTACAATATTGAGTATTAATGACAAACTACATTTGCGTATGTGTGGGTATTTATGTGAATGTGGATGTTGCTGGAGATTGAGAATTTTCCAGGGCCTTATGCATGCAACTGAGCTATATTATAATCTCAACCCTGCATTTTAGATTAAAAGTTAACAAAAATCAGTCCCAGAAAGGCAAAATAACTTCAAAATTATGTAACTTGACATTATGTTGAAGAAAAAGGTGAACCATTTATTTTTGCAATTGTATTTAGTAGTGTTAAAAAATACTTTTAAAGGTCATTGACCAGGATGTCACAGTGTGAATTCCAGGTAGTCATGTATCTCATCTTTTTATTGCTATAGCCAGGCACTAGTAACAATGCCTGCAAAGGGTAAATAAGATAAGCTGACAAATATTTGCAACTGAAGTAATAAAGTAAAAATTATGACATGTTTTTAAATTTCATCCAGGGTTTAATCTAAGGAAATGGGAATATTTGCCTGAAAGAATCATCTGGGGCTGGGGACTTAGCTCAGCAGCATAAGCACCTGCCTTGCATATGTGTGGTCGTGAGTTCGATCCCTGGAACCGATAAAAAAGGAAAAGGAAAAAGACAAAAAAAAAAAAAAAAAAGAATCATCAGTTTAATTTATATAAGATACGAAGCATTTTGGAACAGGAGATTTATTAAATATATTACTGGGTTTTTTTTTTGATACTACTATATTTCAGTAAAATGGAGTAGTTTACAGTAATTTAGTAATGTAGAAAAATAAATTGAAGGTTTCAGATTAAGTAATATGAGAAGTGTATGTTAAAAACAGTGTCCTTGCTGAGCACGATGGCATGCACCCATAATCCTAGCACTCTGGAGGTTGAGGCAGAAGGTTCATTGTAAGTCTGAGGCCAGCGTGGGCTGCATAGTGAATTCAATGGCATACTGAGCTATATAGTAAGACCTGTATTCTCTCAGCCAACACCCCCAAAAAAGCAAAACCCCCAATATCCTAATTTGTAAAAGTTTGTTACATGATTATGCATGCATATTTTAAAATGAATAGAAGGATAGATCATGATTTTGATTGTACTCTTTGACTGTTCTTCTGTTATTTTGTTTTTCCTATCTGTATTTGATTAAAAAATCATCTAACATCGTTTTATACCAAACAAGATACAAATCTTTCCTTTTTAAAGAAAAATAAAAAATACATATTAAAACATTTTCTATCTAAAGATTCAGTCACTCATAGTAATTAACTAGTATTTGGAACCTTATTCATTTTTTTCTTCTAATTTTAATGGAGTTGCTATGAACAGTTCGATTTCCAACTGATATTTTCAGAGCAACCATATTTGAACAGTCTCATATTATTCATGTTTTTTAAATTATGTAATTAAAAGGTAGAGACATTAAATAATTTCATTAAGTTACTTGCCTAGTAAATGATAGAGCATAATCTGCTGTCTTCATCAGAAGCCCTCCTGTTTCATTGGAGACAGCGAGCTTCTGGCATCCCTTTACTTCATCATGTTGAATATTGAGACCAGATCCGAAACTCGCTTGACACAACCCAGGACTATAGTAACATTACTTCTTAAAGTTCCAGAGTGTGGAAAGGATGTTTCATGAACAATGAGTTGAATTCATGATTTTTGAAAATTTAGGGGTGATTTGTTTTCAGATGTGTTTAATTCTGGAAAAAATAGAATGCATATAATCCCATGGAGAATATATTTATGTATGTGAAATTTTACTCTTTTTAATTCAAGGAAGAAACGAGTAGAGATTACAGCTTTCCTGCTGGCCTAGAAGACCATATTTTGGGGGAGAATGTATCTTCTAACCCAAGTGTTTCGGGGTTGGTCTCCAGTGAACTGACCCAGAGCACCACAAGCCTTGGCAGTAGTAGCAGCAGTGGAGACGTTGGAAAACTACAGTATTCACCAAGTATGAGAAAGGGTTTTTCCCCCCGCTCCTTTTCCCTCTCCTTCCCTCTGTGTCCCTCTCCTTACGCTTGACCGTTACCTTCTACCCCTATATTCCCCACTTGTTGAGCCGCTGTTAGTTTTTGTTTTCTCTTTTCTTTTTTTTGTATGTGTGTGATAAATTTTTAATAGGCACATTTTTCTATTACCCTGATTTTGTGTGCTCTTAAATAGTGCAAGTCACTCATTGTTTTAGTTGTGGGTTATATTACTAGTTTTCAAGTTCAGCATACATCAAAATCATTTAGGGAATTTGATTTAGAATATATACAAGTATTTAAGTCATAGGCTAAAACTTTTAAGACTGCGTATGTGGGGCAGGGCCTTCGAAGTATATATTTTTAACTATTTCTCTGGGTTGGATCACTTTTTGAACCACATTTTAAGTATTTCTGGGGTATATCACTGAAATTTCTTAGCTTCATTATTCTAAAAAACTATAATCTCTTTTTTCCCTGACTTTTTAAATGAAAAATTCCAGTTCTCCTGAAAAATTAAAAGAATTGTGTAGTGAACAATTATGTGTCTCCTACCTAGATTTAATTAACTTTTACTAAATTTATCTGTGTACACACACATATTTCTATGTTGAATTGTTTGAAAATGAACTGCAGATCATGTTACTTACTTCATAAATGCTTTAACATGTGTATCCAAAGCCTAAGGACTTTCTGTGTTTACTCCTTTGTAGATGAAATTCCATTTCCAAGAGGGACAAAAGGGCAGGACTTCGAAAAATCTGACCATGGTTCTTCTCAAAATACCAGCATGTCTAGTATCTGTCAGAATTGCGCAATGGAGGTAAAACTGTGCATGCTGCCCATTTTCAAGTGGCTATAAATTTATTTTATTAACAACAGCATTTTTAAAAATCCTATGAGACCTGTGTAGATAGAATAATAAAATGTCATTTTGTTGAATTGTTTGACAGGTTATGTAAGTGAGGCCATAATTGATATCTTTGCCTATAGTATAACTGTCCCACAGTTGGTTGGTAGAAGATTAAAAATCGTGTTTATCTGAAAAAAAATGGGTTTTATTTTGTTGACAAAAGGTCTCAGTATAGTTCAGCTGGCCTTGAATTTATACTATGTAACCCAGAGTGGCCTTGAACTCACAGTGATCCTCCTGGCTCAGCCTCCCAAGTAAGGGATTACAGGTGTGCACCACCATGCCTGACCCAGAACGGCCTAGTAGGATTGGGTTTCACCACTGAGATCTCAGTGACCGTATTTTCTATTCTTAGGTTTTGATGTCAAGTTGTTCACTGTGTAGCACTTGTGGAGCTCTAGTTTATGATGAAGAAATTATGGCTGGATGGACAGCAAACGATTCAAATTTGAACACAACTTGTCCATTTTGTAAAAGCAACTTCTTGCCTCTTCTCAATATAGAATTTAAAGATTTGAGAGGCTCTGCAAGGTTAGTATTATGAAAGTTCCTTTGAGAGGTAAGTGCCCTCCAGCAGGCACAATTCTTAGGGTCCAAGTGAAGCATTCACTGTATGTTCTGGACATCGTTTCTTCTCTCTGTCGTCTTGTCTTCAGTGTTGGAGTAGAAAATGCTGGCCAGTGCCCTGCCTTTTCTCTATGTCTTTCCTCCCCTCGCCGCTCCCCTGCCCTCATCAAAGGAGTCTCTTGGGTAGTCAGGCTGTCCTTGACTCAGCATCCCGCTGCCTCATCTGTGAGTGCTGGGCTCCTGGCAGTGTACAACTGAGCCTAGCTGCTGTTCCTTTTTATTTAATTACTGTGTGATTATTAGTAGTAGCTAAGACTTGGAATGAAACTTTCATTATAGATAACTCAAAATTGTAACGTTAGGCTTTACTTCAAACATTCTGCCTTGGCAACCTCTTAATTGTTGTTTCTACTCTTGTTACCACTATCTGGTACAAAGAAGCAAGTGAATTTTAGGCAGGTGGAGACTGGCTGGTCTGTAATCAGCCACTAAGTAATTGAGAGTTTGGTAACTATATATCTGACCTAAGTAATTATATTAATATTTTATTTGTTTTATCAAACAAGTAAACCGTATACTATTGTCTACTGTTTTTTTTTTTTTTTCCTGATTGCTGGGAATTAAACCCAGTGCTTTGTTCCCACATGCTAAACATACACTGAGCTATCTCAAGCTCCTTTAGTTGCTCGAAACAAAAACTGAAATAAAACTACAGTTGTAGAGATGTTCCCTATTTTTCCTTTTAATCTTAGGCATGAAGCTTAGTCAAAACATACTGTTTGATTCCTGACATACTTAGCATTGTGATGTGGGCAAAAGCCCCTTTAGCCCCCCTCTTTTATTTATAGTCTCTTCATTCCCACTGTTTCCCTTATCCAACACAGATATCAGCTTGGCTGTGTAGTATTTATCCTTGAATATATATCCTTATAAAATATATAAGGTTTTAAAAATATATATAGTGTTTTGTATGATTGCATATTTTAATTTATACAATAGGATAATGCTGAAAAATCTTATTTTTTATTACTCAATTAAAAATCTGGCTGCACTTCTCCGTATACAATTTATTTTTCTCCTGCTTGAAGTGAATTTTATTTATGTATTTATCTATTCCTAGTGTTAAACATATCAGTTGCATCTAGTACTCTTGTATGCGTCCCCTTGGGCTTACAGTTTCTAGTCAAAAGTGAGATCATAGGCTTGTTTTTTTACATAATTTCAGCTAATGCTGAAAGGGTGCTTCCCAAGTCTTACTCTCCTAACATTAGTACCCAAGCATTTTCATTACTTTACACCCTTATCAGCCATCGGTATTTCCACTTTTCCAGTGTTCACATTGTGAATGAGATGACGCGTTGCATCGTTGTTTCTGTTTGAATTTCTCTGACTATATTAGGTTTGCCTTCATTACTTATTATGCCCGCATTTTATGTGACTTGCTTACATTCCTTGTCCACTTTGCTTTTGTACTTTGTTTTCATATTGGTCTAAGTTGGTTTTTTTTTTCTTTTTGAGACAAGGTATTGCTATGCAGTTCCGGCTGTCTTGAGCTGGTCTTAGATTGGCAGTTTTCTTTCTACCTCAGCCTCCTGAATGCTGGGATTACAGGCTTGCATCACCATGCCCAAATAAACTGAATATTCTTGATATTAATTCCATGAAGAAAAACTGTTAGTTTTGATGTCATTGTCCATTAATTTTCCACTTGCGAGTTGTGCTTTTGGAGTCTTGTTTTAAGTTACTTCCCATACACCAGGCATGTTGGTGCATATCTGTAATCCCAGGACTCAGGAGGCTGAGGCAAGAGGATCCCTGTGAATTCGAGGCCAGCTTGGGCTACATAGTTCAAGGCCAGCCTGAACCATATAGTGAGACTCTGCTTTAAAAACAAACAAAAAACAAAGTAGTTCCTATGACTAAACATTAAGATTTTTCTCCCTGAGTATTTCATTTGTTGTTGGGGTTTGTTTTGTTTCGTTTTTATAGTGTTGGGAATCAAACACAAGGCTTTGTATATCTAGACTGACTATTTTTCGTATTTTATGTATGATATTTACATGTTTACTTTATGTAAATTCCACCTTTGTGTGGAGAAACCCAGTTTTTATTTTTTTCATATATACCCCAGTATCATCTACTAAATAACCTATCTTGTCTCCATTGATATCAAGTTGCCATATGTACCTCATTCTGATTCTGCATTTTTCTGTTTTTGTTTTTGGTTTTTTTTTGTTTTTTTGTGCACAGTGTTTTTATTGCTTTATCTTTCTGGGGTTTTTTTTTCTGTTTACAGTTAATTATTTTTTCTATAAATGTTGAGAATTAGTTTGAGTTCACGCACACACACACCCTCCCCCCTCCCCACACAATCCCTTTAGAATTTTCATTGAGATTGCATAGGATTTATAGATTTTTTTTTTTTTTTTGGTCTTTTTTCTTTTTATCGGTACCGGGGATCGAACTCACAACCACCTGCTTGCAAGGCAGGCGCTTATGCCGCTGAGCTAAATCCCCAGCCCCCAGGATTTACAGATTAATTTGGAAAAAAATTTTTTCCAATATTATGTAAGTATGATATGTCTCTTCATATTTTTCAAATAGATTCTTTTTTTGTTTGTTTGTTTTTTTCAAATAGATTCTTAGTAGAGTTTTAAATTATCCTCATGTGACCTGTACTTTTTATTGTTTTTTTAAAGCAGTTAGAAAGATCTTTTAAGTATATTTTCTTATTAGATAAATGGAACATTATTGATCCCCTCCCCCCATGTCATTGTGGAAAATTTAACATTTGGAACAAATCTAAAGACTGTTTCTGGGTGGTGGGGGCAAGGATGAAGCCAGGCCTCGTGCGCCCTCAGGATGCTCTCTGCCGGTGCCCTGTGCTCCTGGCTAGTTTAGAGGTTTTTCTTTCCACAGTGAAAAGTCATGTCCATCTCTGTGTTTTCCAGTTTACATTTTACTGTGTGATGTCACCTATCTCTTCATCTGCTAGCAGTTTATCTTATTTTTTATTAAACAGTAAGACAAAGCCTGTTGCTTGCCCCTAATCTCAGCACTTGAGAGGCTGGGAGTGACATGAGTAGAGACCTGTCTGGGCTGGGCTGTCTAGGGAGCTGCACGCTACCTAGTGAGACCCTGTCTCAAAACAGACAGAGCAAGGAAAAACAGCAAAAGTAAGGGGAAGTGTTGTTCTCCCAAAGACCTCAGCATATATATTATTAACTAAAGTCACATATGCTGTGCAACAAAATGTACAAATATACCATATTGAAAAGTAAATGCATGCATTTGTGCAAATTAAGCCTTTTATTATAATAGCCCATAATTTCATAAAATTCTCAGACATTCCTTTTGAAGGCCCACTCTTAAGTCTGTATCCGAATGGAGGTGAAAGAGAAGGTAAAAATAAAAATAATGAGCAGAAATGACTAGAAAACTAGAGATTCGCAAACAAGAAAAATATTAAAAACAATTACAGGTTGACACATTTTAACATGGAGCTGTTGCCCACTCCACCTTCCTTTCTTCCTCTTTCCCTTTTTTCCTTTCCCAGTCCTGCCCACTCCTTCCTCTCAGGCTCCTTCCTTTTCTCCTTTCCTTTTTCTTTTTTTTTCTCTTTTTCTTTTGCTTGTTCTTTTTTTTTTCTCTTCTCTTCCCTTCCCTTTCTCTTTCCTCTCTCTTTTTCTTTCTCTCTGTCTCTGTATCTGTCTGTCTGTCTCTCACTCTCAACTTAGGGAATTAATAAAATATTTTTGTGTTCCCCCTTCCTTTATAGCTTTCTTTAATAGTTCTCAAGTACTGAAGTAGTATTATACTGGACTACTTTAGCTCAATCCTTTGAAAATCTTAGAATACGAGGAGAGAGGAATTGAGAGCAGAGGTGTATATATGTTTGAAACAGACAGTGTTTCCCTTTTGAGTTGTTTAATTCATTAATGACTGCTTTACCATAAAATAATAATGATTTTTTTTTCCCCTGTCTTGCTCCATGTTTAGCTTTTTCTTGAAACCAAGCACTTCTGGTGACAGTTTACAAAGTGCCAGCATTCCATTGGCAAATGAACCCTTGGAGCACAAACCTGTATGTAGTTCTGCAGAATCTGACTTGATCAACTATATGGAATTCCCAAAACATAATGAGACTATAACTGAAGAGACAGGCTGTGCAGTGGAATCAAGGTACCATAAGATGCAGATAACACTTTATAATAAATTAGGTATCCTTGTACAAATTTAAAAGTTCTTATAAAGTTGACATGACTACTGTACACATGAGTTTTGACAGTTAAATTTAATCTTGACATTCAACTATCATGTAGTGTTTAAATATCTAATGAGTAAGTCTGATAAAAGAGATTAAACTAACTGAGCTACCACTCCAGCTCATTTGCAGTTTTTATTTTTTGAGAGGACTCACAAACTTACTAGTTTGCCCAGGCTGGGCTTAAGCTGGCAATCCTCTTGCCTTTGTCTTCCAGGGTGCTGGGATTTCAAGCAGATCTAGCTTGATAAAACAGTTTTGAACTAAGTACAGCAATGTTTTACAAACTGAACTCACCAGTAAAAAATATTTTCCCCTTTGTGAAGCCATTTCCAGTTTTCAAAGACATAGTCTCTTTGTGTAAAGTGTACATTTTACTCCTCCATGTTGATTGAGTCACACATTTCTTGAAAGACTGTATGATAAGCATTACATTTGGCCCTGACATTAAAAAAATAGTGAGACCTGGTGTCTGTCCCTGAGAGAATAACAGGTAAGCAGAGATTAAACATTAGAGAATGCATTTGCAGGTAGCAGTACTTCTGGATGACTTTACTGAATAAAAATAATGTTTCTCACTAAAGCAATGGAGTGAGTACTTAGTCTTTTATTACACCACGTGTCTTCTTCCTATCCCCGAGTGGAATTCTTTCTTTTAAGGGGTGTGCAGTGGTGCTGGGGACACACTCAGGGTCTCAGACTTCATTTCTGAGCTGTACTCCCAGCCACAGATTTAATTACTAAAAGGTGGTGTTGGAGGGCTGGGGATTTGCTTAGTGGCACTAAGCCTGACTGGCAAGCGTGAGTTCGTGAGTTCAATTCCTGGTACCAAAAAAAAAGGTGGCATTGAAATATCTGAAATAATAAATGATAAATAAATAGTAATAAATGATATCTGAAATATCATTTCAGATATTTGTAGTAGAGTCAAAATTCACTGTAAATAATACTATCTACAGATTGTAACCCAGAATTTCTTCATTTTTGAAGTGACACAATAAAGAAAGCCAGTGGAGATGTCCAAACTCTGAAAATATCATCAGTGCCTAGCAGTGTATCAAAGCGAAATGTATCTTTGACTCGAAGTCACAGTGTTGGAGGCCCTTTGCAAAATATTGACTTTTCCCAGCGACCATTTCATGGTACTTCAACGGTTAGTCTACCTAACAGTCTGCAGGAAGTTATGGTATGTGATGCTGGACTCATGCTGCCTATTCCTCAGTACAGTTAATAGTGGTACTTAGTTCGCAGGTACATTCATTTTATAACATGAAAAGTGATAAATGTTTCTTGTAAACAAAGTAACGTTTTAAGCTTTTTAATACGGAGGATGTCAACCATGTACAAAGATGAACAGAATTGTATGAGTCCGTTGACTCATCATCTAGCTTCAATAACTTGGTTTTTGGCCATAAATCTTCATTCATTTTCCCTTTGCTAGATTGTTTTGAAGGAAACATTGAACAACTTACATTTTAGTTGAAAGTATCTCAGGATGAATTTTTGAGGATTTAAAGAAAAAACTCACAATGCCATTATTACAAAAAGCCCAAATCAAGTTATTCAGTCTTTGCTTAAAGTTCCAGTTGTCTCAGAAGTATCAGGTGTATATAGGAGTGGGGCGCAGTTTAAGGCATTGAGATCAAATAAAGTTCATGCCTTGTCTTGGTCATTGTGTTTTAGTCTTTTCTTGGGTGTGTGTGGGAGGTGTCTTTATATCAATAAATTCTTCTAAACTCTTTAAGTGAAATAAATTGGACACACGTGTAGATACCACATTGTTTTCTGATGTGAAAAACCGGAAGTGTGAATGAGGACCAAAATGTGTAATAGCACTGTGAAATAGGAACATTTCAGTGAGGAGAAGAACAAAGAAGGACGGGGGGAAAGAAAGGAAAAGTCAAAAAAACAGAAAAGAAATGGAAACAAAACTTTCATAAACACTGAAGGGAGGGTAGGGGAATGGAAAAAAATCAAGTTATATTATGCACAGGTACAAATTCTATGATGAATATGATCCTTATATCTAAAACGCACCCAAAAAATCTGATTGAGAAAATAAATTGGCACCTTTTTTTCTCCCATTATCTGTTGATAAAACTCAGTCATTTCTCCTTCAGATATTCCAGGTTAGCAAAGTTCAGATTTGAGTGATTGTAATCTTATAAATTGGTATTTCTACCTAGAAACTTAATCAGATCAGACTCAGGGCTTTTGATTTGTTGTTTATTTTTGTAAGATAATTGGATGAATGGTAGTATGTTCTTTCCAGTGGAAAACATCAACTGTCTTTGTGATACTGTTTAACTGTTAATGTCCAGTGTCTAGATAAGTAACTCATTAGAAGCTGTAAGATGATGATCATCTAATTCTGTCATTTCTTCTTGGTTACATGGAACATATCTATATAGAAAACCTTTCCGGTGTACTTTATTTGGTTTTCCAAAGGTCCAAATTATACAGTATTGGAAAGATAAGAAAATATTTGATTCTTTCTTCCATTTATCAATTTTTAAACCAAGAAATGGAATACCTGGCATTCTCTAAAGGGATCTGTTAGTTTGGGGCACTAGGATATTACTATGCATTTTTCAATTTAAACATTCTTGTTTAAATCCACTGCAGTTTCTATCATTACTGATCTTTGTGTTGTTCTATCTTTAGTCAGCTAGAAGCTTCCACAAATTGGCTCAATATTTTTTTTCACACAAATTTAGTAATTTTTCTGTACTTTGTTTAAAGCATCCTTGCTTTCTTACATAAGATATTTCATACTCGTGTTATGTCTTTGTTTTCCCAGACCTACCTAGCATCAGCCATTTCCTTTAGAAACTGGAAAGTGGCGCTTGAAGATCTGAACATTGGGTGTGTTCATCTGTTAATGAGTTAGTCATAAATCTTATCTGTTAGTGAGTTGGTCATAAATTTACAAAGTCTGGGTTTTTTTTGTTTTTTTTCATTGCTTATTTCATCTGCATTGTGACACTGCTGTTTCTTTAGTTCCTTAATTTTTTGTTGCAGTCAAATGCAAATCATTACATATAATTTTAAAAGGCATAAAGAAAGAATATAAACATTGAGTAATTGCTTCATATGTTAATAGTTGTAAAAATAAAGTTAGATATTTTTTGTTTTAAAAATATGTGAAAAAACTATTTCAGACTAAATATTGAAAATATGAGTCGTGTATGTTATACTTATCAGCATAATAGAAAAACTTTCACGGTATGTTGAAATGATTATTTTCTCTTATAATTTAAGGTTAGTAAAGTGGCTTTCTTTCGTTTAAGGTTATTCATTAGGATATTGTGCTATTTCATCTTGCAGTAATCGATTTTAAGAGTAGAGAGAAATAACTCATTGAAAAGTACTTTAAGCATACAGAATTAAACAGATAATATTTACTTCTTTTTGCATTTTTTTAAAGGACCCTTTAGGAAAGAGGCCCAATCCTTCTCCTGTCTCTGTACCTTATTTGAGTCCTCTTGTGCTTCGCAAAGAACTTGAATCATTACTAGAAAATGAAGGTGATCAGGTGATTCATTCATCCTCTTTCATCAATCAACATCCAATCATTTTCTGGAACCTTGTTTGGTATTTCAGACGTTTGGACCTTCCTAGTAACTTGCCAGGACTTATCCTCACATCTGAACATTGTAATGATGGTGTACAGGTAGGGTACCAACTTTTATACTTATAGTATATTTTATAGTTAGGGGGAGGCTTCAAGCTACTGAGCATGTAATTTAACAGTAACTTCACAAAATCAGTGTTTGTTTCTCTTTTACATTAAAGACTGAATGGAAGCTCTATGGTAGTAGAGTGTCAGGAACTTGACATTCTTCCTTTTGTGTCTGTGTTTATGATCCCCATTTTATCCAAGTTCTGCTATTGGTCTAGGTAGCTGTCACTATCTTCAAAGTCTCAGAATCATGTTTCAGTCAACGGGAGAAAAAGGGATGGAAAAGCATGTGTTTCCTCGCCTGCAGCTCATGGAGTTGCACACAGCATTCCACATGTATCCATGTGGCCCGAACGTGTTTGGTCATATGTAGCTGAAAAGGAACTGAAAAGGTTAATTTTTGTTCTGTACTGTCATATGCTCATTGAAATCCCTATGACAACCTTATTTGAACCTAATCCGTGTTTTTTAGACATTATAATTAAAAGTTGGAGAAGTGAAGTGATTTCTGTAAGGCCTCATACCTAATAAGTGAGGGAAAATTAGTATCACAGCCCAGCTGCCTGACTCTTAGAACTCCAACTGTACTTCCACTGGAATTTCTGCTTTCATTGTAAACAGTGGGCTCTGAATACCGTATTCTTTTACTGTGTTTACTATACTGAATAATTTCAGATACCAAATCACAAACACAACTGGGCGACAACACACTGTTAAAGTATTATAAACTGTATTTTGACATTATTTTGAGTAGAATAGCTGAAATAAAATTATTTGGAAGATAGTAGAAATTTATACTTTGACTTCTTATAATGATCGATCATCAACCTTTTATATGACTTCTGTGTCAGTTACCAAGTTATCTTTCTAATCCTCAAAAGTCAGACCAAGAAACCTGTAAGGCAAGCCAATCCATAAAGGTTGCTATTTGGATGCTGAGGCAGGAGGATCAATAGAGGACTGTGTGAGCAAGTTAATGGTGCTGTATCTCAAACTAAACCTAGGGCTGCGTGAGGCAGCGGGTTCAATTCCCAGTAGCTCTTTCTCTCTCTCTCTCTCTCTCTCTCTCTCTCTCTCTCTCTCTCTCTCTCTCACACACACACACACACACACACACACACACACACACACACACACACACAGAATGAGGAGGGGGGTTGGAAGGAGAGGAGGAGGATGAAGAAATGAAACCTGTGTCAGAAAATAAAAAATATATGATCGGGTATTAAAATTTTTAAATTTTTGTTTAGAATTTTAGCTCCAGTTTTGAGAGAACATATCTGTTTTATATAGTTTGTTAGATTCATGGATAATTACCATGTTTGGTACACTAATATTTTCTATTGATCTCTTGTAGCTTCCTCTGTCATCTCTGTCCCAGGACAGCAAACTTGTATATGTTCAGTTGTTATGGGATAATATCAACCTTCATCAGGAACCAGGAGAACCTCTGTATGCCTCGTGGAGGAATTTTAGTAAGTAAAAATTGAACACATGATTTAAAGACTCAGACTCAGCTTGGGTGTGGTGGCCCTTGCCTGTAATCCCAGCATGCTGGGAGCTGGAGGCAGGGTGCTTACAACCCTGACAATCAGGAATCTAGCCTGGGCAACCTGTCATCTTAGGTAGGGAGGGGAGGAAGAGAGAAGGAAGGAGAGGTGAGGGGATGGAGGCCAGGAAGAGATAGAGAAATCATATTAAGGAGGGAGAAAGAAAGAACAAACTTCGATGCAATTCAAATCCCTTCACAGTACTGGATAAGCACATTGTGGTTTGTGGTACAGTCATTCCCGTAAGTCATTCATTATCAAAAAAGGAGAATGAGTGGAAAAGAATAGAATTAAAGAGATGAGAAAAACATTGTTTTGCTCTATTTTTAACTTTCTAATTTTAAATTGGTTTATTACTGTACTGATCTGCTCACGTGTGTCAGGGTGCAACTGAGTCGAAGAATAACTTTTTTGAAAGTTTCTGTTTGGGTATTTTGAGGGTAAAAAAATTTTAATGTATTTATTTACTTACTTTTTTGGTACTGAGAATCAAAGTTATGGCCTTGTGCTTGCCTGGCAGGCACTGTGCCACTAAGCTACATCTCTGGCCTGGGAGTAAATTTTATATAGTGGGAAAGTAATATGTTGTGTTGGTATAGGATCATAATTTCAGTTATATGGGTGAGAATGGTCTCAAAGATTCTGGCGCTTTTTTTTTTATTTGAGAGACAAGCTTTCGTTATGCAGTTCAGACTCTCCTTGAACTCATTTTGTAGTCTAAGCTAGCTTCAAACTCACAACAGTCCTTCTGTCTCAGCCTCCCAAGTGCTGGGATTACACGTGTGTGCCACCATGCCCAGCTCTGCCTTTTTTTTTTTTTTTTTTTTTTTTTTTGTGGTACCAGGGATCAAACTCATGACCTCATGCTTGTCAGACAAGCACTTAGGCTGCTGAGCTAAATCCCTGGCCCTGGCTTCATTTTTAATCTTTTATATTTAGAAGATTAAAGGTTTAAAGACTCATGATTATCTGTGTATTCAGAACCCATACAAGTCAGTAGGAATAGTGGAGCCCAGTAGAGAAGAATGCAAACGGTATTAATAGGTAGATCATGGAAAACAGTGCTCAGTGGCTCACAGACTTCATTGTTTCTGAGGGCTGCTGTAACAGAATACATACTGGCTGGGCTGGTTTCAACAGCACATACTGATTTCCCACAGTTCTGTGGGCTGGAGCCCCAAGACCATTGTAGGGGATGTTTTGGTTTCTCCTGAGCCCCTTGCTTGCTTGCCTGCAGGTACCTGTCCGCTTGCTGTGTTCTCATGTAGCCATTTCTCTGTTTTTGTGTGTTATCATTACACAGCTGTGTCGCTTTCTCTTAGAAGAACACTAGTGGTTTCGGGTTAGAGCCTCCTGCTCTTGGGCCTTATTTCATCTTATTTCTTTAAAGTCCCTGTCTCTAAATGCAGTTACTTTAGTGTTTGGTGTTTTATATAGGAATTTTCAGATTTGGGGCCACAATTCTTTTCTCTTCTTTTTTTTTTTTTTTTTTTTTGAGAGAGGGTCTCGCTATGCAGTTCAGGCTGACCTTGAGCTCACTGTGTAGCCAAAGCGATTCTGCTGACTCAATCTCCTGAGTGCTAGGATTATAGGCATGGGCTGCCACACCCAGCCCCAATTTTTTAAATAACATAAACATGAAAAGATGCTTAGTCACATTAGTTTTTAGGGAAATACAAATTTTTTAAATTAAAACACAATGGAGCCAGGCATCATGGTGCATGCTTGTATGTAATCCCAGCACTCAGAAGGCCGAGGCAGGGGAGTTTCTGGAAGTGCAAGTCTGAGACCAGTCTGCCCACATGGACAGACTGGTTAAGGACAACCTGAACTACTAGTGAGATCCTGTCTCAAAAACAACAAAAAAGGACATTTATTTATATATTTTCGATATCCATTTTATTTCAAGGAGAAAAGAAAAAATTAAAACTAAATTTCAAAGCTCAGCGGCATAAGCACCTGCCTTGCAAGCAGGCAGTCGTGAGTTCGATCCCCGGTACACATAAAAAGGAAAAAGACAAAAAAAAAATGTCAATCAGACAAAAAGAGAAATTTAAATTTACACTGGGCAAAAATTTTAAAGAATCAATATTGTTGAAGCTGTAGGGGCAAGAACACTTTTATAATACTGTGAAAAGTAAAATGACACTTCTGAAGAACTATGGCATTCATTCAAATTTGATAGTAATGCATGCTTTAACTCGAGAATTTCAATAAGACAGTCTTGCTCTATAGAAATACAATACAGAAGTTGTCAGTACAAGACATGTACTGCAGGATTATGTCTAATCATGAGAAACTTTATTCAATAGAAATATGGAAAATTCAAACTGTAATACTGGCAATCAAGGAAGAGTCATTTGCACATAGGTGCCTCAAAGGTGAATGCCCATTTTCTTACTGAGTGGGAAAAACACAAGTTATACAGCAGTATGTAATCTTTTCCCTTTGTTGTAGAAAAAGAAATACATCTGTGTGGTGTTTTTGGTTTGGTTTGGTTTGGTTTGGTTTGGTTGACCTGGTCCTTACCAGGCACGCACTTGTGCCGCTGAGCTAATTCCCCAGCCTTGTCTGTGTGTTTTTAATACATGCATTGACGGCAGGCTCAGTTGTGCACACCTATAATCCCAGGCATTCAGAAAGCTGGAACAATAGGAATATAAGTTCAAGGCAAGACCTTGTCTCAAACATTTTTGTGAAAAGGGAGATAATGTGTTGCTAAGATATGGCTCAGTGGTTGGCACTCACTTGTGTAGCAGCAGCAAGCTCCTGGGTTCAGTCCTCACATTATGGGGGTGGGGGGTCAGAAAATGTATCTGTATATATGGATGCACAGAAAAATGTCTGAAGCCATTGTGTGCACTGATGCCTGCCTGTGATCCCAGCTACTAAGGAAGGAGCCTGATAAATTCAAGGTCAGCCTTTCAGTTTAATGAGACAGTGTCAGTAGCATAGTGTGAACCTGCTATGAGAAGGCCCTGGGTTTAACCCCAGTGTGGTAAGAGAAAAGAAAAATGCCTGAAAGTATATATTCCAAACTGTTGATCGTGGCTACTCAGTAAAGAAAGGGAAAAGTTCCATTTTTTCCTATTTCCAACAATCTTATCACTGTCATTTCTTTTACTTACAACTGGGAGAAAAAAAATCTGTCACTGATGCATGAAATATACCAGTCACAAAATACGATTGTAAGCTATATTTGCCTTTGATTTTTTATTTTGGTAATGACTTTGAATGCTTAAGCAAAAAGACCACAATAATGTTAATTAATTTGGAAAAGAATAGAATCAGAACTGCCATTTCTTCAGTTGCTTGCCTGTACCACACACACACACACACGTCATCTCACTGTGTAGCTTACTTTAGACTGGCCTTGCACTCACTGTGTGCAGGCGGCTGGCCTTGACCTTGGTGGTGGTTCTTACCTCCGGTGCCCAGATGCTGGAATTAAGGCAAGCGCTACTGTTGCCCAGCTTCCTGTACCTTTTGGAAGACAGAGTATTGCAAAATGTTCTATAATTTTTGGTGGAAAAAATATATAGATCTGTCAAGAATGGCCTTTAAAAAAAAAAAAAAAGCTTGCTTTAAATGGTGAATTAACATGTACATAACTAAAATACAAAAGTTGAGATATGCCTTCTAGAATGACAGTACAAAGAGCTCCTCAGACCCACTTTCCAGTTAACAACCTTAACTGGTGACCATTAGTATCATTGTCCTAACACTGTAGAGTAAATGAAGAGACATTTACTCAAGAAAATTTGCCAAATCTCCTTGAAAACAGTAAGGTTAGGGACACTTGAGCCACAGCTGTCTGTTCTCTCCATTTGTCTTTGCTATATCTAAATTCCTAGCATCACTACCCTTGTGCTTTGGGCCCATTATTAGGTAAAGTAAGGGTTGTTTGGACACAAGCACTTGGAGAAGGCAGGAATTAGTCTCGTAACAAGCAACTTCTGAGGACTAACAGGCAGGAAACACAGCATGGGTGCCTGGCTGCGAATGTATGTAGCTCAGTGTCCTCGGGTCCAGTATAGAAGCAGAGCACATAGACATAAAAAGCAGTAAGAGATAGCAAGGGGATAGAGACACTGAAACCTTCACATGCTGTGGATTAGAATATAAAAGGTCTCTAAATGCTAAGAGTTATCCTGTGTTCACACAAAAACTAATACATAGATGTTCTTGGTAGCATTTTTCATAATAGCTAAAAAATGAATATAATCTAAACTTTCATGATTTGATCAATAGAGTTTGTTACAGCTGTACAAATTTTAACTGGGTAGCAAAAAGAATAGTGAAGTACTAACACATGCTACAACAGGAGGAATCTTGAAAACAGAAGTCAGTCACAAAAAAGCATAGATATTATTTCATTTATATGAAATTTTATAACAAGAAAATGTATAGAAGCGGAAAGATTAGTGGCTGCCTATGGCTGAAAAGTTGAAGGAGTGTTGCAGTTTTGAGATAATGAAAATACAATAAAATTAACTGTGGTCATGATTGTTACATATTTAAAAACCATTGTAGTAGTCAGGCCTGATGGTGCATGCCTGTAAAATCAGCACTTGTGAGGCTGAGGCAGATGGATTACTGCAAGGTCAAGGCCATTCTGGGCTACATAGTGAGACCTGGTCTCAAAAAAATAAAAGCAAAACTATTGTACACTTTCAGTGAGAGAATTGTATGTTTTGAGAATTACACTTCAGTGAAACGCTATTTTAAAAATTGAGTTAAAGAGAAAATAGTGGAGTTGCTTATTTGAGTTATGCTCTAAGGTCATAGCATAGCATGATAATCAGGTCTATTCAGGGGTCGTCATTTAGTTAGAAAAGCTAAGATCAAAATCTATAGCAGCCAGTGTTTCTCCTTGTAGACCTTTTGAGGACTATACTGTTTCTTTGGTTTGCCCCAAAGTAGTAGTTTATTATGGAGCTGTGGTATATGAAAAAGAGATTTTGTGACAGGCCCTCAGAATGAAGCTGACTGTGGACTGTTGGAGGTATAGTTCCAATTTATGCTAATATGGGTATACGTAAAATTGTATGGTTCCTGGAATTACCAATATTATTGTAACTTTCTAGACCAAGACAGTTTTTAATTTCTGTATATCTAATATTCATATGTGATCCAGCACCATTCTACCATTGAAATGCTTTTGTGTGTTGTTCTGTTTTTGGTTTTTTTGAGACAGGGCTTTGCTATGTACTGGTTTTGAACTTACTCTGTAGCCCAGGCTGGCCCCAAACTCATAGCAGTCCTCCTGTTTTAGCTTCCTAAATGCTGGGATTACAGGCATGCACCACTATGCCTGGCTTTGAAACAGTTTTATAATCTCTGAAAGCTGCCAAAACGTATTTTTAGTAGTTCTATAATTACTTTTCTCTTAATTAGGATTAAGCAGCTATTTTAATAGAAAATAATAGAAGCTTAAGGTAAATTTTTCTCACATGAAGATGTTACAAATCATATTGTACTTCGTATATGATTTTACAAGTTTAATTTACAAAAAGTTTAACTTAAAAAAAGAAAGTTATAAATCAGGTCAGGGCTACTTAAATTCTTCTGTCTTCTGAGATTAAGGCTTCTTTTATTATGGCCATTTTACCATCAGTAAAGCTTGCTTTATGGTCACAGATGGCTGCTGGAATACAGACTTTCACATCCCAACCTCAGATAAGCAATTTTAAATTGGGAAGGGCAGAGGGACAGATCTCTTCTATCAAAAAGGAGCAGAAAGAGCCAGGCATAGTGGCACACACCTGTAATCCCAGCATTTAGGAGGCCAAGGCAGGAGGATAGTGGTGAGTTTACCAGTCTGGGTTGCATAAGTGAGTTCAAGGCCAGCCTGAACTACATAGTGAGATCCTGTCTCCAAACCAACCAACCAGTCAGTAAAAATAAAACAAAAATAAAGGGGCCAGTAAAAATACTTTTTAGCTCTCACACTGTTACATAATTTAGCAAGAGAGATGTAATGTTCAGTAGAAAAAGAAAACACTAAGGGGAAAATAATTTCTTAATAATTCTTTAATAATTGGGAAAATAATTTCTCATTTACTGTGTTTTAATTAGATTCTGAAAAGAAACTGTGTCTTCTGTCCGAGGAACAACAAGCAACAAGCACTTTGATAGAAACTATCAGGCAGAGTATTCAGCACAATGATGTTCTTAAACCCATCACTCTGCTTTCCCAACAAATGAAGTCAGGCGTGAAGAGACAAAGGTAATAATCCAGCATTTTTTACTTGGTGCCACTCAACTTCATGATGTAAAAACTTTAGTTTTAGCTAGGTATACACTGGTAATCCCAGCTACTTGAGAACCTAAGGCAAGAGGATTGCAAGTTTGAGGCCAGTCTGGGCAGGACAGCAAGACCCTGCCTCAGAAAGGGAAAGGGAAGTAGTTCAGTGGTAGAGCACTTTGCCTGTGTAGCAGGTGCTTCTGGTACCACACTCCCCTGACTCGTTTTGCTTAAATACTGTACCTCTCCTTGTAAAAGAAGTATAAACTCCTTGTCAAAACAGTGATGAGTGCTACTCTAACATGCATTTATAATTGAACAAAAATACATAATAAGTATCTCCCTGGTAGGATAAATTTTAGGAAGATAAGTCATTGACAGCTAAAAGGTACTGTGCATTTTACAAAGATTACTGCTGCTCTTCACTGGAAACCTTCTGTGACTTCATTAGCATTGTGGACTGCTTTTTAAGGTCATGTGATACCCATACATCTTTGTTCTTGTTGGACCAAAAATAATGTGGGATTCTAAGTAGGCTTAGGAAAAAGAAGCAGAGAATTACAAAGGATGCGAAGCTGTCTGAATTGTTTCCTTATTGTTCGCTAAAATGTTTGGGTAACTGCACCTCCCCGTTTCAGCGTAAGACAGTTTTGCCATAGAAGTTTCATAAAGGAAGATACAGTTGTTTCAAACATTACTAATATTTCCAGAGTCTCTTAAACTCTCCTCAAAAATGGCATCTTAGGGTCTATCAATACAGCTTCAGGCCCAGCACCTCCCTGGCAAGCGCAAGGTCCTAGGTTTGATTCTGGTACCCCACGCCCCCAAAAAAGAAGAAAAAGAATGGCATCTTGGAAGATAATCTCAGAAGTGATAGAGCAAGAATTCATCATGGAAATAGATGGATCCTTTTGTGATACCCAGCTTGAGGAAGAGATGATCTTCACAGTCTAGTGAGCAGCTTGCTTCATGATCTGTGGTTTAAGGGCAAAAAATTTTTTTAAAAAATTGGAGATGTCATATTATGACCTCTGAAGCTTCTAAAGAAAGCAACCTAAGATGTTAATCTGTTCATTTCTTTTTTTTTTTCTTTTCAGTTTGTTTTGTTTTATTTTTTGAAACAGGATCTCACTATGCAGTTCAAGCTGGCCTCAAACTCACTGTGTAGTCCAGGGTGACCTCCAATTCAAGGCAATCCTCTTGCCTCAGCCACCTCAGTGCTGGGATTACAGGCATGTGCCACCATGCCCAGCTTTCTGTTTTTTCTTATTGTTATTTTGAGACAGGATCTCAATATGTAGTTTAGGGTAGCCTGAAGCCCACTTCAGTCCTCTTGCCTCAGTCTCCCAAGAGCTGAGATGATAGGAATCTTATCACCACTTCTATCCAAAATGTAAAATTTGAAAGAGACTCTTTGTGGGCAGGCATTGTAAAAATTAGTACACAAATTGCATTGTGCTCTTTATTCAGCTAAAAGTAATATCACGTATACCTCCAGTATAGTAGAAGGCCAGGAAATTTACATGGCGTTAACTAACTACAGAATTTAAATCCACTTTCACCATTTTTAAAAAATTCTGCATTTGTGTATATGTATTTTTATGCTGTTTACCCATTAACTTTTAAAATACATTTGTTTTACAGGAGTTTGTACAGAGAAATCCTCTTCTTATCACTAGTGTCTCTTGGAAGAGAAAATATTGATATTGGTAAGTTAGTTAATGGACTAACAAAAGGAGGAGTTCTTGGGGTTTGCATGTTTGTTTGAGACAGGGTTTCCTTATGCAGTTCAGGCTGGCTTTTTTGGGGGTACCAGGGATCAAACTCACGACTTCAAATTTGCCATGCAGACGCTTATGCTGCTCAACTAAATCCCCAGCCCCTAGGTTGGCTTTGAACTCATTTTGTAGCCCAGGCTGGCTTTGAATTTACAGTGATCTGCTTGAAATTATAGGCATGCACCACCACACCTGGCAGTTTTATTTTCTAAATAAATTTTTTTTAAAAATGTAGCTTGTATAGCCAGCCATGGTGATATACTCCTGTTATCCTAGCACTCAAAAGCCTGAGGCAAGAGGATTGCTCCAAGTTCAAGAGCAGTTTGGACTACATTGTGAGTTCAAGCCCTGCTTGAACTTAGTAGTGAGACCATGTCTCAAAAGGAAAAAAAAGGTAGCTGCTGAACTGGGAGTGTAGGGCTTTTGACTGTCATGTATGAGGCCCCAGGTTCAGGCCCCAAAACAAAAGGGTTTGGAAGGATTATAGCTGTTATGTGTAAATGCCTGCCTCTGAAAAGAGTTTCACCTTTAAAATATGTATTGAAGCTGGGAATTTAGCTCAGCAGCATAAACACCTGCCTGTCAAGTGCACAGTTGTGAGTTCGATTTCCAGTACCAAGAATGAAAGAGAAAGGAGGGAGGGAGGGAGGGAAGGAAGGAAGGTGACCGGCGCAGCCCCCCAATGAGACAGAGGACGCTCTTGTGGGTAACAGGAACTGCCGCTTTATTTTCGCGGGCTCTGGTTTATATATTCAGCCGTGACCAATCACAGGCTGCCACGAGGAAGCAGGGCTGGAATGGGACGCAGGCTCTGGCTACTATACCCAGCTGTGGCCAATCAGGGGTTGCCACAGAGTCCGCACGGGGCGAATACGGAGTGAGCACGAGGTGCGCACGGATTGGCTAATTTAGAGAGGGATGTAACGCATTGCGGAAGCTGACGTGGTCTTATCCTCCCGGGCGGGGTGTGTTGAGCGCCTGCGCCCGACGGAAGGAAGGAAGGAAAAAGTATTTGAAACATATGGGCTGGGGATCTGGCTCAGTGATAGAGCTCTTGCTTGCCTTGCTTAAGGCCCTGAATTACATCTCCAGCACCCTGGGGTTGGTGGGGAGGGGAGAAGAGAAGTGAAATATACATATTTTGACTCTGTATCATTTTTAAATGTACTTTTTTTCTTATTAAATTACAACTGCATTTTTAAAAATGTCTTTCAGAGGCTTTTGACAGTGAATATGGACTTGCATATAATAGTCTGTCTTCACAGATTCCTGAAAAGTTACAGAAAATTGATGCCCCACCAAGCACCAGTGTGGAGTGGTGTAGGAAATGTTTTGGAGCACCTCTTATTTAAATGAGATTCATTAGAGTTTTGACAAACAGTGCTGGGGGAGTTAATCTGGAAATATTCAAGTTTTTTCACAATCCTAAGAATTGGTGAAAACAAAACACTTGGGGACAATATACAGTGAATTAATTCATACTGAACCATCTCAAAATATAAAATGCCATTAAAATACTCTGAGGTTTATTGATGTTGAAGATTCTCAACTCCTGAACTGTTTCTCTGCCTCTTCTGAAACTGTTTTTGGATTTCTCTGTATTTGTAGCAGGTTGATATTAATAATGAGAAACCATATCGATGCTCGGCATTTGTTTATATTTGAAGCTGTTGGCCTTGGGGATGGCAGAGGAAACTTGCCTGCCCCCAAAACAAATGGAATATCTTAATTATAAGAGCAACTATATGTGTGAGATTGTATAAATGTGAGGGCTTTGTAGGTATGTGTTCTCAGTGTATATTTATTAAAAGTCTTAGGCTGCGTGTTGCAATAGTTTTGTGGTAGGGCTCTTATGACCTATCAGTGACTACTGCTAAAATCATCTGTAGTCATTAATCTCACAGTTATCTGAATGTCATGACAACTGCCTTCCCCTGACTTTAAATTTAATATATATCTTCACCGTTTATATTATATGTCATCTTGCATTATGAGTTATATCTTGAATATCCAAGGACTTCCTTCCATCCTTTTCCAATACGGTGTTAATTTGCGATGAGTTTAAAATTAGAATGAGTGAAAATAGTTAAAATTAAATGAAGTTCATAATTTACACTTATTTGTAAGTTATGTTTAAAATGCTAATGTTTATATTGTCTTCAGTCCTGAAGTCTTTGTTCAGGTGTGTAAATTGTGGCAGTTGGTCACTTTTAAAATCCTGTGGGATAGCTGGGCGTGGTGGTGCATGCCTGTAATCCCAGCACTTGGGAGATTAAGGCAAGAGGATTGCTGAGTGTGAGGCCAGTTTGAACTACATAGTAAGTTCAAGGCCAGCCTGAACTGCATAGTCAGACCCTGTCTGAAAAAACAAAACAAAAAACCTGTGGGATAAACTTGCACTGCACACAGAAGTTGTATTCATGTATAATATTTAATTTGTGTGTTAATAAGTAAAAATGTGTATTTGTAAATACTGTTTTTTAGATTGAATCAAGTCTTAAAATTTTAAAGCTTACTTAGCTCATTGCTAGTAGGTTTAAGAAAATCATGGGCTCGCCTGCCTCACTTTGACAGTTACCATGCTTTTTGTTAAAACTATCCACTAGAACAGTAAGTTTCCTTAATTCTCTGTGTGGTTTTAAATACCGATTGTTGAATATGTACATTTATAGTAATTTGAAGATGCTGGTCTTATGGCAGGTTATCCTCCTGTTGTAATGTCAGTCCTTTTTCTTTTAGTAACTTAAGAAATGCTCCAGTTTCCTTTCGCTTTTCAGGTCCTTCAGTTTACAGTATCAAGATTTCTCATTTTATGAATCATCGGTATTTTAACAATGGAGATCTACAGTAGTGTACTCACAGAAAATCACAAAAGAATGTTGATATACAAGTTATTTCCATGTGGTATATGTTACAACCTTTTAAAAATTATACTGTGTCAGTCTTTCAGCATTTAAAGGATTAATCTGACCTGTCAAATCCAGTCTGAACTTACTGTCAGAGTGCTAAGTGAAAAGACTTGTTAGAAATTACATACAATCTTATCTTCAAAGTAGACCTTTTGCACTATATAAAGAATACCTGTGTTTGCAATTTACAACTTAACACTGACGCCACAAATTTTGGAAACCTTGCATACAAAAAAATTGAGACTGAATAAAATGAAAAATAATCTTAAATTGCTTGTGTTTATGTCTGTTAAATTTTTAAAGCTCTTACAATCTGAACTTTTGTAGTGGTTAGAGTTCTAATACTGTTTTGCTATTTCTTGTCTTCATAAGTGGAACTAAATTGTTATTCATCGAAGTATTTCCTATTTACAAAAATCTGTAATGAAGATCTCTTTCTACATTTAAAAGCTAAATGCTGTCAGCTTTTTAAGGTATGAGCTTTACATTTATCAAAGGTAGGAAAAGAACTGCTCTGCAGATTGAGCCCCCTAAGAGATCCGCTTTCTTTTTGACAATGATTTCATAACATGTTCAAAGATTTCTAGCAGTCATAATCTTGGAAACCTTAGCCTGTTGCCATTTGGATCTGTAGGAACTGGGTGTATGTGGAGGGTAAGGGATGACAAGGCAGTCCTCCTGTAGGCTGGCCTTGAACTTGTTATATAAAGCCAGGCTCACCTCAAACTTATAATCCTCCTGCTCCAGCCTTCAGAATACCAGAATTCCAGTATTCACTCCATTTGGCAAAGGACTGATTTATATTAAATCTCTAAATGCTTTCTTGACCTTTACAAACAGTGTAAAAATTTACAGGGAAAAAATCCTTGCCAGTTATCTAGTACATGGAAAAATTTTAAAAATCTCTAGAATAGCATAACACTAAAAAAAAAACTTCAATCCTGATTTAACTTCTAAAGTCTTTCAGGCCAAGGTTGTAGTTCAGTGATGAACACGTCTGGCATGTGCCAGACCTTGGACCAGTGCTCAGTACTACCACACACACATGCACGCACACACAAATCTTTCAAATTAGTTCAGATTGTTCAGCAAAATCTTACACTGATTTGGGGTTTGATACTGCCTCTAGTTGCATTTTGTAGGTTAATCATAGTGCACTAAATACTTGACTAATGAGTTACTTAATGAACATAACAGGCTTCTATACTTCTGGTTCTGGTATGAGTACTTTTGCAGTATATGTAACTCATCCTAACCAGACTCATGACTTAAAAGTTAGATCTGCTTGTTTTTCATGGTTGTATGCTTGAAAATCAGCAAGGTATGTATTAGGTTTTGTCTATTACAGCTGAGGTACCACTTAGAGGACTATCACACTCATTTTGTGGCATTACCCTATTTGAATGTCAGTCCTTTTTTCTCAGTAACTTCAAAAAATGCTCCAGTTCTTTGGCTTTTTAGATTCTTGTATCAAGTCTCATTTTATTAATCAGTATTTGAAAAATGGAGATCCCCACTATGTTCACAGTATTAGCCTTGGCAGCTTATGGTAAAACCCAGGACCCATTACTAAATGGATCTGCCAGACCTCCAGAAGGTCATTCCTGTATATACATTTTGGTTGTGAAACTTTAGGCTCTGCAAGTTAAAACCTTTTGAAATTGTATTCATCTGGTAAAATGTGGGGGACCAATTTTTTAAAAATTACAAAACACTTAGCAGCAGTAATCCCCTGCATACATTTTGTAGGGGACCAGGAACTGAGCTCATGACCTTGCTAGGCAGGTGCTTATGTTGCTGAGCTATGTCTTCAGCTCCTCCCCCTAGTTTTAAGCTGGACTAGTTTTCTGTAGTTCTGGTCTTTGAGGTGATAAATAAAAGGGATGCTATTTAGTGCCACCCAGGCTTCTAAATGCATTGGGGTATCTCCTAACCTGGCTCATGGTAGTTTCGCTTCTTCCAAGTATGATCATGAAAGGTAAACACTTTGAACCAATTCAAGACAGAACTTAATAAAACCATAGCTCACTCTACAGACCTCAGGGGAGGAAAAAAAAATTTTTTTTCACTGATAGAAGTCTTGTGTGGAGTGGAAGTAATGAATATAGGGCCCAGTGCCTACTAAGCAAATACTTTTGTTACTAATACCTCTAGCCCATTTTGTTGATTCACCAGTTACAATGTTGCTCATACAGCCACACAATTTTGAAAGCTTTAGGTATCATAGTTTTCCATTATCTTAAGTTCTGTAAGAAAAACAGTGTTATTTGAACTGTTACTCTTAAACTCTACAAGATTAAAAATGGCACTCGTTTCTTTTCCCTAAATTTTTCTATGCCTTTCTGAAAAAGCAGTGTTTTGTGCTAAAAATCCTTTTCTGAAGGGTGGGTATGGTGGCGCATACTTATACTCTCAACACTGAGAGGCTCAAGAGGCAGGAAGATCACAAAGCTGGGAATGTAGCTCAGTGTGGAAAGCCTAAGCAGCCTTTATCTACGATTCATGTTTCCTTCTCTACTTGTATATCAATTAAAAATCAATAAAGGAAGGTTGAGGCCCCATCGAGTTTATTTGTTACTTAAGCATTTTATTTCTGACTGGACTCAGACTTAGAAGTAGAAGCTCTCAGAGAGGAAAGCCTACGTCTCTTGGCAATTTGTTCCTGGCGTTTTTCTTTAGCTTCCTAAAAAACAGAAGTACAGAAGAAGTCAGACTTTTATTCCAGTGAAAACAGCAAATTAGCCATTCTGGTTTCATGGCCTCCCTTATCTCACTCACCTTCATTCTCTTGGCAAGAAGCTTAGCATATTCTGCAGCCTCCTCTTTGTTTTTCTTAGTACGCTGCTTCTTCAGAGCAATACGGCGGCGCTTGTGTTGGAGGACACGCGGAGTAACAAGACGCTGAATCTTAGGGGCTTTAGTCCTGGGTTTCTTACCTAAAAATTCATATGATTCAGTCACTCCTCAAAAGCCTCATTGGGATGACAGCGTGCTCGGCATGCAGACCCCGGCTTTAATCCCCACACATACTCAGGCATAAAAGCCATACCTTGTTAAGATGTTTAAAGATAGTAGCACCTACGAAAACTTACTAAAACAGTGGCATTATTTTTAAACATGTTATTACCTTGGTAAGTAAACTATGTCAGACATTACCTCCATCATCATTCTATCATAGATAGGCTTGAATCTGTTTCCTATGACAGATCTTGTCAATTTGGGGAAACTAGCTACACATGTGGCTGCTTATTAGTATCTTCATTTAGTGTTTCTGGTTTGTACTCCCAGCTGCTTCTGAGTTATAGGTCTGTCCTGGGGCAGAAACTTTTCAGACAGAGTCTGTCCAGTCTCTGCTAAGTGATAAAATGTTACCTATTCCAGAGATAAGCACTATTTTAAACACAGCTTCCATTAGATCACCCCTCTGTAACACTGACCCTTATTTCCAGATTATGAGGCACTACCATGTATTTGCCAATTTCTATTTTCTGTAATATAAGCTTCCCAAAGGTAGGAACTTAACTACTTATACCATTATCGTCAGCACTTGGCAGCTGACAGGTGTTCAAATATTTGGAACGAGGCTAAAATGCTCACAGTATATACTAAACACTTGACACTTCAGTTCACAAATGTTTCTGTTGCAAACAATTTCAATTTGGTTTGCAGAAAGTGTTCTGCAAAAATTTGCCTGTCAGCAAACTCCCAGTCAGGTGACACCACCACAGCAATCTTCCTCACACAAACACAAGTTCAAATGTAGCAATCTTTCCCAGTACGGTAAAACAAATTATATTCTTAAACCAAGATCCCTCTGTACTGGCATAAGTCAAGTCCTAAAAAAAAAACCCAAAGAATTCTTCCTGAGCCTGTCAAGAAAACTCAAACATGCTATCTATCCATCCTTTCACTAGTGTATCGTATCACTCTACTATGGATCTGATTGATGGTAAAGATTACAACTGCTCCATTTTATTTAAAATAGTCTCACAATTTTCATCATTCCTATCACCCCTAAACCCCAAAGGCATCTTCTAAGTGCACAGAGTTACTAAAATCAAGCCATAAATTGCACTATTCCTTTTACCTTCTTTGTTTAAGGGCTTCCTGACAACATATTGGCGAACATCATCTTCTTTAGAGAGATTGAAAAGTTTGCGGATTCTGCTTGCTCTTTTGGGCCCCAGGCGCCGAGGCACAGTAGTATCAGTCAATCCAGGAATATCTTTCTCTCCTTAGAAGAGACAAATGTAAACAGAAGTATTTCAGTTCAGTAATTTCCTTTGTAACATTGAAATGATCATTTACAAGGGTACTTGTAAAATACACTGGTTAATATGCAAACACCGTAAAGGAAAAAACACCTGTAAGTCATCAACAAAAACTAAACGTGAAGAGCATAAACCTCACCTTTTTTTACAATAACCAAGTTGAGAACGCTCAGATTGGCATCCACAATGCAACCTCGGACAGATTTACGCTTTCTCTCTCCGGTTCTCCTTGGTCTATAACAGGAATGCCCCTTGCTCAGTAGCAAGCGAACTCGGCCATGAGTCAAGACGCCTTGCTTCATAGGGAAACCTTGCTTGTCGTTCCCACCACTGATCCGGACCACATAACCCTGGATGAGTACACAAGGCCACATTTACTATTTCTATTCCAAAATTTACTGGACACTGAATTCTTGGTAAAGCCATTTTGAGCTTACATTTCCGATTTCCTTTCATTCATTTACCACTTCAGTGTTTTACTGGTTATAACATTAAGATGACAAATATTTAAGAAGTCAAATAATTAATAATCGAATACAGTTGTTTCTTGGCACTTAAATATTATCAGGACATTGGCATTTCCTGAAAGCATGTGGTAAGGGAAGTACTATACACTCATTTCCTAGCTTAACCTGTATAATCTCAGATGCTACGAAGTAGCATGCAGAAATCAATTACACATGGTAAGAAAACAATTCCACGCTTACTCTTTCTCACTACAATAGGCACAATGATTCGACAGTTTAACTTTTACCTTCCACTCTTCTCCTAGAGAGTCAGCAGCAACTTCTGTGGCCATACGCTTCTCATAGAACGTACGAAGTTTACGTTCATCATCCACCTCAATGAGTTTCTGGCAGCCAGTGGCGGGGAAGGAGATGTTCAGCTAAGGATTAAGGGGAGAGGGTTAAAAATTTAACATAATACTCTAAGGACTAAAAGGAGACCCAAATCTTTTTTTCCCCAAATCTTATCTTTTAGGTAACTAAAAAAAGGTTTCTGTAATTACCAAATAGGCAACTGTAGAAACACCCACAACAGTTCCACTTCAAAAAAAAAAAATTCTTACACAGAAAACGTGAATGATTTTATTCACTAGTAACTGCGTGTAAGCACTGCACTTACAGGGCACGTTTTCCACGCAGCCCTACAACCATTCACTGTCTCCGAGCAAGGAACCTAACCTAGGCAGTGAGGTTCAACAGACGCAAGCCAAGCCTGCAGCAAACCGAGAACTAGGCCCGCAGCTGTCCCGGCTAGACCGGGGCCGCCACCCTGGTGATCCGCACGGACGCGACTCCAGGCACAATCGAAAGCCATCCGAGCTCCTAAGGACCTCTAGTCCTACGACTACAAACCTGATCCTGCCTCAGATCCTTCTCCACCTAAAACCAGGATTTTGGAGGGCTACAGCTGTGGCACTGCCGCGTTCTGGCGCCCGATCCAAACTCCCCAAACCCAGTCCAACACTTACTACAACTTCCTACCTTCATCTTGAAGCAACTGAACGCCCTCTAGGCGCCACGAAAAAGAGACCCGACTTCCGTTTAGCTCAGCTCACATAGCGCTTTCAGTTCTCGCGAGAGTATCGGATGCTTGGGAAAGCGGAAGTGACGAGTGGCGCGGCACTTCCGGGGTGGGGTTAGGTGGCGGCAGCTAGATTGACCCCTTGGATTGGCTGTCCGCAGTTGCACCCGCGGACAGCTGTGGTGTCCCTGGGGCTCAGTGGTGAGGGTAGCCGTTTCGCTGGGTATTGTTTTCTGCGCTTCTTGGGTCTGGTACACAGCGAGCTTGCTCCGTCCTTGGCATTCTGTGTGTGGTGATTTTAAAGCAGGAAGATACACCTAAAGTTTGATTTGCTTCGCGGGCTGTCCTGCAGTCAGGCACTGCCGGAAGAATTCCAGCCCTGCTCTAGCCCCAGGGATTCCCTGCAAGAAATCCGGAAAGCTTTGCCTTGCTTTTTATGTAAAAATGCCGGGCCCCTGGGCGTGGTGCTGCATGCCTGTAATCCCAGCTCTCGGGAGACAGGCGGGAGGATCGCGCAAGTTCGAGGACAGCTAGGCTGTATAGCAAGATTGTCTTAAAAATAGTGGATCATCTGCTTGGTGTTGCCCTGTTTTCTGCCTTATCACGGAATGACTCTCTCGGTCACCCTCTCCTCAAGTCATAGGTCCAAACAAACATCAGGTGCCTACAAATGTTTCCCTGGTTTCTTACCTCTTAGGTTTTTGGGAACTGAACTCAGGATGTCCATGTTAACTAATCAGCCCATACTGTATCACTTGGCTCCAAGCCCAACCTCTACAATCTTTGCAATACGCAAAATTACATTACTTCCCCGGAAATGCTTCATTTACTTAACCACAGCAGTTAAATGTACAAACTCTACCGTAACCTCACAAACTTCACAGCCTTAAGCTCATCTATTGCCACTATATCTAATGCCTCTCGGGTCTTTCAGATTAAATGTGGCCTCTTGAGAGAAGATTCAACAGCACTACCCTTAGTCACCAGCATAGTTTTCCTTTGTAGTACATAATCATGATACATAAGTAATTTGTGTATGGTCCCCGATACTATTTGTTAAGTTTGGTCAGGACTCATGTCTTCCTTCTGGTGTGCTCAGGATGCAGCTAAGTGCACACAGCACATAGTAAGCAAGTGTCAGTGTTTGTTAAATGCTTACCTTATAACCCCAGCTCTAGTATTGATGGAGAAATAGGCTGGAAATCCAAGGGATCTATCTGAATCCCGCATTTTTATCAGTATCTTTAAGGAAGTAACATTAATTGCTTATTAAGCATGTACTCCATATTTTATCTTTAAAAAAAGAGAAAGAAGGAAATTGTGAACTGAATGTGTTGCTGATACCTGTAATTACAGCTACTCAGGAGGACAAAGCAAGAGAATCACAAGTATAATCACGTCTCAAATTTTTGAAAAAAGAACTGAGGGTGTAGTTCAGTAGCAAAGTACTTGCCTTGCAAGTTGAGAACTTGGGTTCAATCCTTAGTAATGAAAAAATATGTATTCTAAATAACCAAGTAAATTCTAACCTCCAAGATCGTTATATAACATCTGCTTCATTATCCACTCTTTAGGCCTGCTTCACACATAAATTTCAAAGCTTCTACTGCATCCTGTGTAATCATTGTATTAATATATAAAACATTGATGAAATGCTTTTAATAACCTATATCTAATTTTTAACTTGTATTTCTGAATTAAACAGTAATGTTGAACATTTGTTTTACTTTATTTATTGACTAATCTTTTGAGATGTGTCTATTTCATTTTCCCACTTTTTTTTTTTTTTTTTTTTTTGGTATTGAGGATCCATCTCATGACATCACCCTTGCCAGACAGGTGCTTACACCACTGAGCTTAATCCCTGGCCCTTCTAACTTTTATTGTTGAGATGAATTTAACATGACAAAATCATTTAAAAATGAATGATGCAGTGGCATTCACTACTTTCACAGTGTTGTGCAGCCCTTACCTCTAGTCCAAAACATTCTCCTTACCCTAAAAGGCAACCTTGTAGCTCATTAAACATTTGCTTCCCATTCCTTATTTCCTCCAGCCTCTGCCAACTGCCAATCTGTGTTTTGTCTCTGTGAATTTACCTATTCTGTGTATTGCATAAATAGAATCATAACTATAACTTTTTGTGTCTGGCTTCTGATGCTTTTGAGATTCCTCCATGTAGTGGCATGTATCAATACTGTATGCCTTTTTATTACTAAATAATATCACAATACATGTATAGGCTCCAAGGATTTATCCTTTAATCCTTTGGTGGATATTGGACTATTTCCACATTGTGTCTACTGCAAATAGTGCAGCTATGTTTGAATACTTATTTTCAATAATTTTTGGTGTATACCTAGAAGTAAACTTTTGGATCATATAGTAATTCTGTGTTTAATATCTGGAGGAACGGTAAAAACTATTCCACAGCACCTAAACCATTTCACATTCCTACCAACAACACATGAAGGCTCCAGTTTCTCTACATCCTAGCCAACATTTCATATTTTATGTTGTTTGGGGTTTTAAAAATTATAGCCATCCTACTGGAGTATGATACAGTATTTCACTATAGTTTTGATTTGTGTTTTTCCAGTAACTAAAAATGGTCAACATTTTTTCATGTCTTTGTTGGCTATTTATATACTTTTTTGGACAAGGTCATATCACCTTAGGAAGAACCAATATAGTGAAAATAGCCATACTTCCAAAACTTTTATACAGATTCAGTGCAATCCCAATCAAAATTCCAATAGCATATTTCACAGAATTAGATAAAACAATCCTAAAACTCATGGAACCAGAAGAGACCTAGAATAGCAAAAGCAATTCTGGGCAACAAAGGCAAGGCAAGGAGCATCAGAATCCCTGACTTGAAATCATGCTATAAAGCTACCATGATTAAAAATAGCATGGTACTGGCATAAAAAAGAAAAAAACAGACCCACAGAGCAAAACAGATTAGAAGGTGCAGAAACAACTCCAGACACACTAAGCCAACTTATCTTTGACAAAGGTGCCAGACACATTCACTGGGAGAAAGACAGCCTCTTTGCTAAATGGTGCTGGAAAAACTGGCTCTCCACATGTTGAAGACCCATGGACCCATATTTTTCATCATGAGCTAAACTAAAATCAGAATGGATCAAAGACCTAATACTATGATAGAAACATGAAACCTGCTGGATAATAAAGTAAGTAAAACTATTGAAGACTCTGGTGTAGGCAAAGACTATAAACAAAACCTTGATTGCACAGGAACTATCAAAGAATCAACAATTGAGATCTCACCCTATTGAAAAGTTTTTGCACAGCAAGAGCAACCACCAACAGAGAAAGAGACAGCCCACAACGTGGGAGAAAATGTTTGCCAGCTGTTCCTCAGATAGAAGATTACTATGGCAAACATATAAAGAACTCAAAAAAATCAGTCCTCCCAGATTTAAAGATCCAATCCAGAAATGGGCATCTGAGATGAATATATGCTTCTCAGATGAAGAAATACAAACAAATAAATATATGAAATACAAATACAATATGAAATACAATACAAATAAATATATGAAAAAATGTTCAACATCATTGGTCGTTCGAGAAATGCAAATTAAAACAACACTGAAGTTTCTAACTCACCCCGGAAAGAATGGCTTTTATCAAGAAATCAGCCAATAATAAACGCTGGAGAGGCTGTGGGAATAAGTGAACTCTTCTCCACTGTTGGTGGGAGTGCAACCTCTGTGGAAGTCAGTGTGGAGATTCCTCAAAAAACTAAGACTACAGGTCCTCTTTAACCCAGCTATTCCACTTCTGGGTATCTTCCCAAAAGAATTAAGAACATCATAGCACAGTGATATATGTGCAACCATGTTTATAGCAGCACAATTTGTAATAGGTAAACCTTGGAAAGTCTGAATGCCCATTGCCTGAGGAATGGGTAAAAATGATGTAGTATTTTTATACAACAGAGTACTACACAGACATAAAGAAGGATAAATTTGAGACTTTTATGGGTAAATGGATGCAAATGGAAACTGTACTCATAAGTGAAATAAATCAGACATGTGTAAACATGGTGGTGTCTAGTGTAAGAAGCTGAAAGGAACAATGTATATGTATGTATGTGTATATAATATGCAATGGATATATCATTATTACACCCTAATTATTGTGCTTTGAAATTTTATTTTTTTTCTCTTCTTAATTACATACTGGTTCACATGTCATTTGATAGTAACAGCAATGACAGCCAAGTTATAATGAGCACCCAGCACCAATGTCTTGGTTTCTAAATACAGATCCCAGGGCTGGGATCACAGCATCACAGCACCTACCTGGCAAATGCAAGGTCCTGAGTTTGATTCCCAGTGCAAAAAAATAAAAAGAAGTCTCAATGGTTGTGGGGGGGTGGGAGAAAACTTCTTTAGATAATTTGGTTGGAGAACAAAGTGAATATTTGTGCCAGAGAGAAAGAAATGTATCAAACACTAACAGATTTATATCAAAATGTCAGAGATGAAGGTACCCTGATGTTATAAGAAAAATCAGACAAACCCAAAGTGTAGGTTCTTCTGTAGAACTGACTTAAAATCTTAAAAATCAGTGTCATAAAATATAAAGAAAAAGTGGCAATTGTTCTAAATTAAAGTATCTTAAGGGATGATATCAGTATAAGACATGAACTTTGATTAGCTCCTAGACTGTTAAGAATGAAGAAGGAAATTGTAAAAAGACATTTTAGGGACAGTTGGTAAAACTTAAGATAGGACTTTTCAAAATTATATTACCAAAGTAATGTTAGTCTTTAAGTGTTATGGCTTATCTCTAGATGTCCCCCGAAGCTTCACATGATCATATGTTGGGCTTATGAGGTGACTAGATCATGGATTTGTGACACTGAATTAGTCCACTGATGGGTTTATAGCTGGATTTGACTTTGGAAGGTAGAGCCTGGGGAAGTGGTGGGTTGGAAAGGATGTGGCCAGGAATGGTATAATCTGCACCCCATGGCAATGCTCCCTGCCTCCCATGCTGTGAACTGTTTCTCCCCTGCGGTGCCCCTCTGCCACACTACGCTGCCTTGGAGCCAGCTGACTATGGACTGAAACCTCTACAAACTGGAAGTCAAAATA